GCAAGGTTAATTCCAAGTATACGGCTGCGAGCGAGATAAAAACTCATTGTCGAATGGATTCTTGAACAACATTTTCTATTGCCTTTTTTCCAATGTCGCTCGACTTGTAGATCGACTGACGTGTCTACCGTCAGACGAACAATCAATCGATTATGTGAGTGTTAACTGTCACCAAGACTGACATCTTCGTGCGATTCTATATCGTTACGAAAAAAAACTTTCTTTTTGTTGCAGTTGTAGAGTTGCTTTTTATTGCCGACGCTGCAACCATTAATATTCTCTTTCCAACCAATCGTTTAGTGTAAAAAAAAGAAATATTAATCAGCGAAGAACAGCAACTCGGATTATATAACGTCGAGACAGGTCTATTTCTGTGGCAGTAAAAAATGAACAAGCAGAATTCGTACGAATTCACGGCTTCATTAACGTCAAACTCTCCCATTCGTTCAAATAACTCTATCCTTAATGAAAAAAAGCAATGATTATTATCAACGGCCTGACAACCAGCGCGAAAAGCGCACCATAAGTCGGACGACCTTTTGATCTGGTGACGCGCTGGCTCGAGTGTACTCGCTCGAAGCTGTAGGCCAGTGCGACGATGGGATAAATTTTGCGCGTGCGCGCGACCGAGTTCGCGTCGAGACGTGCGCGCGGCAGAAAGACAACAAAAATATATCGCGTTCGTCTTTCGAGGAAATTCAGCAGCCAGACGACTCGATGCGGCACGTGCGCGCGCGGGTGGGCGTTCACGCACGTGTGTGTGTGTGCGTGCGAATCCAGAGGGACGCACTGGCGCAGAGAAGCAGCGAACGAGGGAGAGAGAGCGCGGCCCGACGAGGAGTCGAGCGCTCCGTGAAACGCCGGCCGGCAGGCTGGCGCGCTCCATTGGCCCCGGCTACCTGCGGCGTAATTGCGCAGTTAGCTTTCGCGCGGCCTGGCCGCAGCCGAAAAACAGCCGCTCCTCTTTGCCCCCGTACACGTGCATTATTACAGCACGCGCTACGCGAAAGTGACTTCCTTTATAGATTCGGTCACGCACACTTGCCCCTGGCGATGTATCCGTGTGACAAGTGCGCAGTACTTCCGTGGCGGGCGGTTCGATTTTCATTATGAGAGCGCTCATCTGGAACGTAGATGTCGATCGTCGCCGGGAATGGAATTGAGCTATTTATGCCGGGAAACAGTATACTTACTATACGTACACGACAATAGCTGCTACGCAGTCTTCTAATTCTCTCTCTGTTTTTCTTCTCCTTCTTCTTTTCTGTGGACGAGTGAAAACATGCTATTTCTATCTAAGTTCAGTCGCGTGGAATCACGCGAGTATGTGCTTGCTTTTAATTAGCTGTTGTTATCGAGGCGTGCTTTTAACTCAGTTATTTTGGTCTTGTTTGTCCGAGCGCAAAGTGTTTTGCGCGTACTTGCAATGTATGCTAATTTTAAATTACGCGCCACCTTATCCATCGCATGACGCATCGCCTTTATAGATTGCGCCACTGTCCAACAGAAAAATAGCGCCTTTAATCAAATCGTTTGTTTTTTTTCTCTTGTGGGCCTTGTGAAAAAGTCATACAATAAGTTTTGTTAGCACGTGAGCTATTAATAAATACGCATACATTAGATTAATGTAATATTTCATGGATTTTATGCTAAATCAATTACCTTTACCAATGGTGTATGTAATTTTGTAATATTTTAATCTATATGTTAAATAAAAAAACATCCGAGGGTTTAGTTTCCAGCAATTTCCTTTCGAAAAGTTATACTCTCTTTGATGAAGTTACAATTTTTATAAATACTTTTTCAAACTTTTTAATGTCCGACATATCCATTAATTTCAAATGAGTGTACAATGTTGAGTATGATTTTCTCACAATGTTTTCATCACATTATAAGCACATACCTACTTCACGTTAGACAAACTATCAGAGCTGCTACTAACTTCCCACTTGAATGTCTCATATAAAAATACTTTCTATACTAAAATTAAGTTCCATTATAACTATAGTCTCTTGTCGATTGATACTTTTTATTAATTAACAATTTCATAATTATCCGTATCGTATATTTGAAAATGATTACGACAAAGTCTCACAAACTATCATGAAAAAAAATATTTGTTTTCACTTAAAATTTATTTAATAACAGGTAATTAAAGTTGTTCTTTTCTACTAGACAAATCAAAGATTGAAGATATGAAATGTTATCGAATGCGAAAGTTGATGTGATCATTAATGCATTGGCATTCATTCTAACGCGAAAGTTAATTTTATTATAATCAGATTGACATATGCTATTAAGGCCTGCTGACTAAGTGATCAAAGTAGCCCACGAGTCTATAACCATCCATTTACATAAAACAGATATTCCATTCAAATTTTGTTTCCGACAGCCTATAAACTAATGCCCATACTTTTAAGATAGAAAGCTAATCATACATTGGGTTAACGTTTCATTCGTTATAAGGATACATATATATATATGAAAGTAGACGACAGGTAATTGAAGGCGTCTACTTAGAACGTGAAATTCGCGGACATTTGCAACGAGTAAAACAATACAACTTGCAATTTAATTGGTTATCCGTTACTCAAATGAAACGATAAAATGCGAAGCCTCCCAAAGCCGTTATCATTAAAAATCACTACAACGCGAGATTTTTTGCTCGCCGGTTATTGATTCGTTCAAGAGTAGAAACATCCAGTGCACGACTGAAGCTGCAACTATAACCGAGTGTATGCACTCCGCGTAAAGTGTGTACGCCGACACTGTAAGGAATTCCCCGAGCGATTGGAGAGCGGCAGAGATGAAGGGCCCCTTTACTGCAACTGTTCGCGGTCTTGGCGCAAAGCGTAACGAATTGTTACGAGCCGCCAGGGCTTGCGTTTTTCCTGAGGGTGTAGCTTTGTTGTCTACTCAGCGGAGAAGAAAAGAAAAACAACAACACGCACTTCCGTTTCCGATCCACTGTACGAAACAACAACCATCAATTATCAGATTTTTTTTTATGGAAGCTATACGCGTACTTTGATTTTCGATTCAGATAATCGAATTAAAACTGCTAATATACTAACTTGATTAAAGCGTGAGTCGTGGACGTTAAACCATATAGTCGATCGGATTGAATCTAGTATGAATCAGAAAAATACGTGTAAAGAACGTAATAAATAATGGAATCGAAAAACAAATTGACATTTTAAGAGCGTTATCGCAAGCGCAAATCCATTAAACGTAATTCTCTCAAATTACCGGTTTGCTCGATAACATCCCAAGTCTAACGGTACAGCGACTATTTGTAAAAAAGAAAAAAAAAAGAAAAAAAAACAGTTTATTTTGCAAAAAGAGAATTCGTCGAACTGTTTATCAGCTTCTTACAATTGGCAGCGAGGTGTAGGAAAAACGAAGGAGAGCACCGTCGTTGGGCACTGGTCCTTATCTTGACTCCTCGAGTGCAACGGTGAGACCGAATAACGTCTCTGTGTGCGCGCAAGCCTGGTGCATCTCGCGCCTGAGCGAACACGGAGCTGCGTGTACCCACAATAACACGGCTCTCTCTCTCTCTCTCTTTAGCGAGGTCAGTGCGTATCGATGCTTCACAGCGAACAATGCGAAAGGAAAAATGAAAAAAATACTCAGTCCACATTTCGGCGTACGTTGCGGCTCCGGAACTATGCTACTATTTGACGAAGATTTTAATTAAACTCTTTCCTTGCCGCGCGAGCTTTTCAGAGAGAGCGCGCGCGAGGAATTTTAAATAATACGAATGTGCGCAATTCCGCTTTTATTAAATTCCTTGTAAATGCAGCATGCAAGCGCTTGCGGTACAAGTGAAATTTCGCTCTGCACGAGTTCTACTGCAAATGTAATTCATATTAGAATTTTTGTTGTTGGTCTGCTGAATAACAATTATTTGAAATTCAATGTTATTTAATGAGATTCTCGTGTGCTCATTTCAGAGTTACGCTTTTAAAGCTCTGCTTCGGTGCATGGGTTTCTTTTATTTATTAGAACTTGGCAAGTCAATTTGTTATCTTCAGTGTGCCTCATTGGCGCAAACATTGGTGTTTAAAAATACGTCGAGGCATAATATGCGTTATTATACGATAGGAATAACTGGCGTTCTGTTAAAAAAAAGCGGAGCTATCGGAATATCAAAGATGATGGATAATTTATCGAGCATGTACTATTATTAAATGATTTTAAATTGAATCTTTAAAGCAATAAGTATCAGTAAAATTTTGTTTGCGTGTAGGATACGTATAATGAGAATTATGCATATAACCAACGGGTCATGTCTAAGTAAACATATCCTGTTTTTACTCGGTTTCAAATAAAGAATCTATTTTATAGTGACAAGACGCGGATGTCCATTTCAATGCCAACAAAACAATGTGTATCGTCAATCGGTAACTGACGAACTTCGACTACATTTTTGAAAATATCAAGCACGAATGATCGCATAAACGTGATATTTTTCACTCGTGTGATGACGACGCATTAAAGCATGTCGCTGAATAGTGCTCTGTGACATGAATGCAAAACATCGCGTCTTATTGACAAAAAAACTATTTGTTTCGAAAATATGCCTTCTAGAAATATCTTCACCCATCGCAACTATTATAACTTCGAACATTGCGTTTTCAGAATCGACAAATTGAAAAAAGTCAAAATATTTGTTGCAAGTTTATAAGAGAATGAAAATTATACCAAGTAGACATGTACTTATGACATTTAAACATTAAAGATGCCAAACAAAAAATGTGCTTGACCGACAACTTTATAGAAATTTGGAAATAATATCACTACAATGTCAAATACCTGTCCCAAGAAAGCACATGTCAAATCAAAACAAACATAGTAATCGAAGATGGTGACTACTACATTAAACGTGTAAATATGTACGGCGCTTTTGCATTAATATGACAGAAAATTGTCGAATGTCATCAATCAATTCTTTATAGCAGATCAAGTGTAATTGATCGTAAACAACATAAACTTACTTTCTCCGTATCCTCCATGACGCCGGAAATTCACGTGAGCGCGGAAAATTACACACATCCCAAAACACTTCTAACCTTACACTGAAATGACGCGGCACTCGGGCATGTACGCAGCGAGTTCATTCTGTCTTCGTCGCTCTCATAGTCTCATCCCTACAGACACCGGTATCGGCAAGCATGCCCACACTGGGATTCGTCTAAATATCAAGGCGCGAAATTACTTATGAATCATAAAGATCACTATTGTTGTAATAAAAATTGAAACTATACAAAATAAGCTGACCATCAACGGCTTGTAATTGTATTATTTTTAATGAATTAATGTATTCCGTGACGTTGTCGCAAAAATAAAACTACGCCGTTTAGCGTGTGACGATGGTTGATGCGCCGTAAATTGACGACACATCACTCGCACCCAACTCCTCGCTGCCTCGATGCCAATGTCCTTGCCGAAAATATACGTTGTGTACGTACACGATCAAACCAGAGAGGTCTTTTTGTTTACGCCAACTGACTCATAAGCCTTACTTTTCTTACGATGCACTTTCACGACCGTTTGACAACGGAAGGCCTTGAGATGTGCAGCTGTTTCCCTATATACTGATCAAGGCTCTTCTTTCTGACTCAAGTTGATTGTATGCACGTTGTTTTTTAGTGAATTGTCGTTCTACTATACCCTGTGACGATTGATAATTGTCATATGTACATGCAGCCTTCTATGCGTTTCAGATAATTTTATCGTAATTCAAAATCCATCCAAGTTACTTTAAACTTTCAGGACTCCAAGTTCATAAATAAATCCATACCTGTGCAGAGTATCAAATCGATTGATTATCTGGTGTTCTCAGGCATAAGGCAAGGCGTGAACATGGAAGGTTTTTTGTCATAACATTTTTAATAACTAGGCCACTTTTTTGACAAACTAAACGATGCTAGATATCATAAAGTTTGACCATTCAGTTCCGGCGCAATAGCTATTAGAATGTTACACTTTTGGCGATTGTACGATTCAGTACATGTCGTTTATCGTTAACTATGAAAGTTTATATTTCTGTTGCTGACTTATTGATCAATTATTATAATGAATTACAGTTGTAATAATCATTACAAAGTCTCTTATAATTACATTTTTTTATTTTTATCTTCTCGTAGCTATGTATATACTATACAGTATATGATATTCTACCTTAACACATTTAAATTAGCTTTCAATTAATCAAAATAGTATATTACGGTACGTACGTAGGACTGAAGTAGCTTATTATGCACGGCGTGATATTAGTGATGGAGCGTTAAAGAGCGAAATAATCCTTCGGTAAACCAATGAACTACTTCAGTTCCAAAGTGTCGTGCACACTATTTAATAGTTAATTATCCTTTCGTGTGTGTGTATTGGTACGATTTATTTCCTTTATTTTGAGATAGCATGTGAACGTATTTTGCATGGAATAATTAATAGTATTTCGAAAAATGTATAGATAGTGCAAAAAGAGGCAAAATTTCACATTTCCCATTCTTTCGACTTTTGGTAGTTTTTGCCCGTGGATTTTTCCAATTTGAAAAACTTCTACTATAATTGTTACTACACTAGTATTTTACACAATAGGTTGATAAATACATAAGTAACAATTTCAAATGTATAAAAAGAATAGCTGTAAAGAATTTGGCTTTGTCTCCAAACTATTAATATATAGTTTATTACTTTTATAACTCTACAATAACTATCATTTCCGTTTCAGGAACGCACTTTTGAATTTTTTATTGTCGCGCCATTCTAAGAAACACACGTGTTCGGCACTTTCATAATATAACCTTACTTTTCCAGATGTAAAACGTTAAACTCGATTGTATTAACACGAATGTAGAAGCGTCTATATTCGTCGCTATTCACAATATTTATACGTTTGAATCATAATAATTGTTTTGTTACGACAACTCACATCTATACTTACCATAAATGTAATCAATTTCTACTATTAATTTTTTCATGAAAATGCATGTCAAAGGGTAGATGATTCAAAGTATTCTACAAATTATAAACATTGTAAGCATTTTTCGCTGTAAAATTTTCAAATTATTTTATTTCTTTCAAGTTAGATCGTTAAATCATTACCAATGCTGAAAGTACAATTTTACAATGTGCTCATTGAACATTATTTTTGTATTACAGGTACTCATAAAATATGCAAAAATTGTATCAAGTAATCATATTGCTCATATGCTAATTTAAAATATTTTTGAAAAATGCAGCTAAATATTCTAAAACTATATAAATTCAAAAGAGCACAGAAAATATACTTGTACACTTCATTGAAATATCATAATCAAGAAGTTTATAATAAGTTGATTTCAAAAAGCACAACTGACTTCAATGATATCATAGATCCAAAAGTAAAAAATATAAAAGATAAACTGTTGTACAGTGATTATTTAGAAAATAATCAATTGAAATATGGCTATAAACAAAATATAAGGATAAAAAATAAACTTCGATATAAATTTGACAAAGAAAAACAAGAATTAGATCGGAGTAGTTTTACCTTAAGTATTGCTTTAAAATATCTAGATAATGAAAGTTCAAATTTATTTATAAAATCACAGATTAAAGAAATCAATGACCATAAAACTGATACAGAAGAATTAGATAAAGAGAAACCAATTTACATGCCTTATGCTCAAACTGATAAATTTGAAAAGAAAATTATAAATACTTCTAAAAATATAGATGAAAATGAATTACATTTATTAGATGAAAAATTTAAAAAGCTATATGAAAAATATTTGGAAATTACATCATATTCACCTCAAAATCCAACTGCAGCAAGTATTAAGGAATTTAAATTAAGATTAGGAGATGATTGTTCAAAAATTCCCTCAAGTTGGATGACAGATTATGAAGTATATAACGATGAAAGGCAACAAAATATAGTGAATGATGAGGAAGTGAAATATGGAACACCAGATCCAAATATTGCAGTTAGTTCTATACCTTGCGGGGGCTGTGGAGCACTTTTACATTGTCAAGATCCTGCTATTCCTGGATATTTACCATCAGAGTTGTTTACAGACATCTGTGACATTGATTTGAAGTCAATTATATGTCAAAGATGTCATTTTATGAAAAATTATGATACTTGCTTAGATGTACGAGTTTCACCAAAAGAATATCCAAAGTTATTAGAACAAATAAATGATAACCCAAAAGCTTTGGTCATATTATTAGTAGATCTTACTGATTTTCCATGTAGTATATGGCCAGAGTTGCCATCACTCATTGGACCTAAAAGAAACGTAATTGTAATAGGAAATAAAATAGATCTCTTACCAGTGGATGGACCAGAATTTAAAAATCACGTTAAAGATTGTTTGACTGAATCTTTAATCCAAATGGGCATAGTGAAGTCAAAAATTAAACATATTGGTCTTGTTTCAGCCAAAACTGGATTTGGAATAGAAGAAGTGATAAATAAATTGCATGCAACATGGAATTACAAGAGTATGTTAGATTATATAACAATAATTTCATTTTATATTGATATTCCATCAGTTTCCACAGTTAGTTTTTCTATAATCAAAGCTAATAAAAATTAACTTTATTTGTTAGGTGACATTTATTTAGTGGGCTGCACTAATACAGGAAAATCAACACTTTTTAATCATTTATTACAATCAGATTTATGTAAATCACAAGCTGTTGATCTTGTACAAAGAGCAACAACATCTCAATGGCCAGGAACAACCTTAAACCTACTGAAATTTCCTATTTTAAGACCTACTCCTTGGAGATTGTATGTTAGAGTGAAAAGACTGCAAGAAGATCGGAAATTGAAAGTTGAAGAGGATCGCGATCAGTTAAGGCAATATAGAAAAACTCGAAACATCGAGCTGACAACTCTACAAAGTAAGTTATTACATTTTTATCATTTAAAAATATAAAGAATTTTAATTGCTAAATAAGTTATTCTTATTTACTTAGGTCGCATCACGCACTCATTCAAAAAAGACTATGAAATCAAGCAGGCCATTACGAAATCACCAAATCAAAATTTTATCGAACTTAGAGAAATAAAAAAATTTGGTTTAGATGAAACAGCTAATGAATACAAGTATAGTAAATGGTTTTATGATACACCAGGTACCATTCAACCCGACCAAATTTTACACCTTTTAACCACAGATGAATTATTAAAAACTCTTCCAAAGAAAGTGATTTCTCCAAGAACATTTTGTATTTGGCCTGGCCAATCAATATTTATAGCTGGATTAGGAAGATTAGATATTTTAGATGTTCCTACTTTCATAAGGTAACTAATTTGTATTCATTCAAATATAACATTGTAAAATTCATGTAGTAGGAAGTATTAATTAACTGTATTGAACTACAGGTGTACAGTATTTGCAAATTTAGTTTTACCAATTACAATATGTCGAGTGGAGAATGCTGACTTTATTTATAGAAGATTACTTGAATCGGAAGCATTTATTGTTCCAGTGAACAATCCAAATCGATTAAAAATGTGGCCAGAATTAAAATCAAAAGATATGGAAACAGTTGGAATTGGTGATAAAGAATCTGTGTCTGATGTGGTGTTATCTAGTGCTGGTAAATAATTATATAAATTTAAAAAATTTTAAATTTAAATTAGGATACATAATAAGTAAATATAATTTAAAGGTTGGATAGCGATCACGGCAAAATCAGATGAAAAAGTCACTATGAGGGGTTGGACACCAGAAGGTCGAGGAATCTATTTACGAACTCCAGCGTTATTGCCATATTCTGTAAATTTACGTGGGATGCGTAGAATTAATAGTCCTGCGTACAGATTAGGTCGACGAGTATATACATCAAATAGGTACTAGAAATTTAAAAAAATAATAAAAAGAACTTTTTTCTCCGTTTTCCTCACGTTGTTTTGAAAAATACGGTACCTATGTAACATGTTCGAAAAAGAGATTTTAATTAGATAATAGTAATAGTACTAGTGCGGGACAATAGATTCTTATCTTGTGTGAGGTTTATTGAAGTAAAGCAAGGATAAAAAGGTAGACGAGACGAAAATCTGTTTTCTGAACATGTTAGGTTCAATTTTTTTTCAAAACATGTGGAAAGCATCCATTTAAGCGCACGTTTTTCGTCGAGAGTGCAAGAAAAGTCGTACCACGGCATGTTAAAAAGTCTGTCTAACAAACAAAAATTTCCAGTTTTTTGTCAATTAATGTGATTTTGTATAATGTTGTTTATTAAATTGTACTTTCAATTGTCATCAGTTATATTTTTATAAGAAATTAAAAAAATGTATATATAAAACGTATATTACAGTCGTTATAAATCAGTGGAATTACTATTTATGCTAAAATGAATACTTTTTCTATACTGTTAATTGGATGTCGAATGATTGAAAATTTTGAATTTTAATAACTATAGAAAACATTTTTTCTTCTGTATTCCAATTATTATGCTAGATGAAGTAAGCAATGTAACTATCTAAATGTTACATAAATAAATGTGCACCAAGGTATTCTTTTTGAAAAATCACACCTTTTGCCCTCTTCAATCACTTTAAATGGCAATTTATAAATTATGAAGGACTGCTATAAACGAATATTCAATAAATATAGTATTTTTTAATTTGAATAATTAAACATATAAAAACTTCATGTTTATGTACAGTTTAGTTCAATGTTATCCAAATAAAAATTAATTGTACATATTTTATTTTTGTACACCACAAAAGTAAAATATGTATTAAGTCTGATACTAACATTCTAACAGGTGATCGTATTGAGAAAGTTAGTATATCTATCTAAAGATATACTAACGTAGTCAATGAAATGGTTTAATTTTTTTGGTAATAAGAAAAATGTACTATTTTTAATGAACTTCAATGGTAATTTTTTTATGATTAGTAAAATTGACCGTTAATTATTAACAATTGTAAATAAAAATATTTCAAAGTATATGAAAATGCGAAATTTAGCGCTTTTATCTAGTATCAATCAATCACAACGCTGAATGTATGCGATTCGTTATTTTTTTAAGATATAAAAAAAAATAAATAAAAAAAAATAATAAAAAAATAGAGGAGAGGATAGAACCGCGTTAGCTACGCTTAACAATTTAATTTTGTTTATATTTTAATCTGTTGGACGTGATATCACGTTTTCCGTAGAATGTCTCCATATTAATAAATAAATCATTTTAATTTAACTATTTTTCAACTACTTTTTTATTGTTCATCTGTGACTATTTGAAGAATTTGTTTACATTTATAAATTCAATTTCAAGTTTTTAAAAATAAATTAACGGTGCCGAATGCACCGAAATCAATACACACAATTTCATATGAAATGTCAATTAACAATTTTTTCATTATTGATGATATTTATCCGAATTAAGATATTCTATAAATTTATATGTTCGATCAAATTCAGTCAATCACACCACGAATAAAATTACTTCACTCAGTATTATTTTTTCGTATAGGAAAGAAAAAATATATAGGATCAGATACACTTTCCCCACTCTTATCTTCTTTTTCACTTCTTATTGTTATATTAATTAAAATATTTAAGATAAATTACTGTTTTCAATTTTTTTACAAAACATATATCGCAGCGGAAAAATGTGTATTATTGATGAAATACATTGGCAAATTCGATTTATCATATCGAAAACTGCAATAAATAATCCTTTTGTTTTTTCTTAACGGATTAAATTATTAGTAAACTTTTTGAATGAAGATTACAACCTTACAACCTTTATTTTAATCTTACACATTCAAAAATCAGATTATTAATTAGGAATAAAAAATATTTAGAGCAATGTCAACAGTTTGTTTTTACGAAATGACTTATTCGCTGCTAGTTTTATAAAATGAATGTAACAACAATAACACTGCTGGCTATCTACTTTCATTACATTTAAAATTATCCGTATCAGTTATAATAAATTGAATTTTTATTACTAAAATATTAACTCGAAACCACATCGCCGCGCTTATTTGCCACCGCATAAGAGTATATCACGTAACTATATCTCAACCAATCAGACCACGAATAAAATTCTTCAGCATGGCATCCATCACTTTTTATAAGGAGAAAAATATGATTTACAGTAAAAGTTTTTTTCCTTATCCCTTGGCCGAAAGTGCCTATTTCCCGGCCTGATTTCGCTCCGGGAAGAGGGACTTTTGCGGCCTGTTTGGGAAAAGCGGCGCTGATTGGCTGTTTGGGAAACGCGGCGCTGATTGGCTGAAATGCTTTTTTCTATCCAGGCGCGGAAAGGCTTCGGAAAGAGTGTCCTTTGCGGCGTTTTTAAAAAATGTAGACCCCTGATAGGCAAAATTAGAGTTTTTTTTTTATCTTTTGACCGAAAGGCTAAGAAAAGAGCGCTTTTTACGGCGTCTGTAAAAATGCGGGGGTTGGCTGAAAGATTTTCTTGCCAGTCAAACCAAAGCTTTTGCTACTGTACGCCGGTAAAGACGTAGAGTTTGATCTCCGTACATAGTGTTGTGCAAGTGACCTTTGTTTTTCATGCCCGCCCTGACCAGTAAAACCTCGGCTTCGCCTCGTTTTTACAAAAGTCAGGCGGGCTTGGAGACACCTAACCGTACTGCAGCTAGACCAGCTTAACATGATTTAAGCGGAAAGTAAAAAGCACGCGCAGCTACATGGAAAGAATTTCATGTTGAAATGACTAAGATAGCTTAGTAAAAATTTCAGTGACGCCCAGTAAAATTTTCAATCATAAAGTATGACGACTTGGGGTTTCCCCGGATTTTCCCCAAATGTTTTTTCTGTACGCTATAGAGCAGCGGCATTAGACGCGCGACGCGCATGCGCAGCTGTCATTCCCGCACACTCGGTTAGCCTCTAAAAGTTTAGGTATTTCAACTTTACAGAAAGATCACCATAATTTTTATTCTCTCCGTGTACACGGCACTTTCGGCCAGGGATAAGGAAAAATAGTATACGACACACGGCCAGATAGTTGGATACCCTCGCCTTCGGCTCGCCCGTCACTTACGCACGCCCCGGAAATACAACTTTCTGGCCTAGTGTCGTAATGTACTATTTATTCAGCAGAGCGACTGACCAAATGCCTCTTAAAACAGGGTCGAGCAAATGTTTAAGACAATTCTGTAATTATCTGTGAGATTATGTTCCTCCTCTGAAGTGAACCAGTCATCAACTTATCTGCTGCAAATCTGTAAAAATGATTGTAGAACTTTAGTGAACATCTACAAAGCCTACGCATTTAATACAGCAGGACATTCATATAATTGCACTCTACGATCGGTTTGAAAATGATAGTTACCTAACTTTCAAAGCGTGTGTCTGGAAAAAGTCGCATTGAAATAGCATTGATTAATTCATCAGCGGTTCATCTAGATCAATTGTCAAAGTGGTGGCGGTAATCGGAAGGAAAAGAAACAGATTTTTCGAGCTATTTCAGACACGAACATAATGCGCTGATCAAAAACCCGTTCTAAATCAGTCTTCCTGAAGCAACTACGGTGGAATTAAAACAAAATTAATTTATTAAATTTCGATACTGGTGCGAAAAAGTGATTTAAGCCTCATGTAGACATTTGCGTCCGAGCCAAACGAGGGGTCATAATTGATCTAGACAGACCACATCTTGATGAACCTCGCCAACTTCATAATTTTCATCTAGACCGATGGAAATTGTTTAGAAAAATTATTTATAATCAGTAGGCCGGAGCTGTTCCGGCGATGTGGCATTGCATCTTTATGTCACAGTATGATGCAGCCTATCGCAAGTATTTCACCTTTATCAAATGTCTACCTACTTCCGTACATACCTATACACACCTATGTACTTTGTCCGAATGTTTTATACTGTTTGTTATTTCGAATTTCAGTACTTTACTTTATATTTTCACAACTATATTACACTGTAACAATATAATTTTATTATTAATATTTTGGTACCAGATAATTCCAAATTTTTCCATGTCAATCGACAAAAATATAACAGCGAAAAATAAATAAAATGTAAATGCAATGGTAAAAGAAATTGTTTAAAAATAGTTATTTAAATGCCCTATTAGCAGAATTTGAAATTATAACCCAAATTTATAAATTATAAAATTGTTTTATTCTGTCAACGATTGCTTTTTCAATTTTATACAATTTTTCACATCAGAAAAATTACAAACATTTTTTAACCCTTTTCCTCCCAAATAACACAAATTTTTTCTTAACTTTCATCCTCATATCTTTTAATGAAAAAATCGTATGAAAAATTTATCAAGCATCATATCTTGTAGATTTTGACCTCCTCTTTCGAATGCCGTTGATAAAATTTACCTAAATTGTAAGCCGGAAACGTTATAGGCCGGTTTTCCGGAAAATTCACAAATTTTTCGCGTTTTTTTTTTCTAAAAAAAGTATATTTTGAAATGGAAAAAGTTTGCACACACCATTGGAAACACTGTTATCGGTGTTATAGATGTCTTTTCTTTAAAATGCCGTTGGATTTTTTCCAAAATTCAAAATGGCGAACAAAAAATAGCGTTCGAAAGAAAAAATTTTTTTTTTTAAATTTGACGAATTTTTTCCTCCAAAACTATCAAGTTTAGTGAAAAATTTCTAAGAACAAAAATATCTTAAAATTAGTCAAGAAATACTCTCAAATTTTTTCAGATTTTTTCAAAGCGAATTTGGAAATTTCGATTTTCCGATTTTCCACGAATTCGAAAATTAACTCGGAAAATTTTGAAAAAAATTGAGAGTACTCCTTGGTAAATTTTAAGATTCTTTTGTTATTATGAATTTTTTTATTGAGTCAATAGTTTTTGAGAAAAAATTAATCAATTTTATTCCTAGTATACATTTTTTTCAAATTGGTTTCACAAAATTTTAAAAAATTTCAAGTCTAACAATTATTTTTTTTTACTACCCTCGCTAAAAGTCGATTTTCCTGATCGCGAAGCGATAGGACTTTAGGCGAGAGTTAATTTTCGAATTCGTGGAAAATCGGAAAATCGAAAGTTCCAAATTCGCTGTAAAAAAATCTGAAAAAATTTGAGAGTATTTCTTGACTAATTTTAAGACATTTTTGTTCTTAGAAATTTTTCACTAAACTTGATAGTTTTGGAGAAAAAAGTTCGTCAAGTTTAAAAAAAAAATTTTTCCTTTCAAACGCCATTTTGTGTTCGCCATTTTGAATTTCGGAAAAAATCCAACGGCATTTGAAAGAAAAGACATCTATAACACCGATAACAGTGTGTGGCGTCCCCACGGTTCGACCATCCCCATCGAGATGGCATCGGCTAGCCACGAGCGGCAAGAAATACGCTCGCTGAACATATAAGTCCGCATAGCGACTCGCGCACTTCGAGCGTATGAGGCAGATGTTACCGGCCGTCAAGCCTCACTGACGAGTCCAGCCGGTAGCATCGGGACGAAACGCTTTCTTCCTTACCGACCGCCCGAGTGTGAGCCTGGCTAGCTCACACTGCGACCAACCTTTCCTCGAGACTCCTCGAACGCATTCAAGCATGCGCGAACGACGCGCATGTAGCCAAAAGTGTTTCCAATGGTGTGTGCAAACTTTTTCCATTTCAAAATATACTTTTTTTAGAAAAAAAAAACGCAAAAAATTTGTGAATTTTCCGGAAAACCGGCCTATAACGTTTCCGGCTTACAATTTAGGTAAATTTTGTCAACGGCATTCGAAAGAGGAGGTCAAAATCTACAAGATGTGATGCTTGATAAATTTTTCATATGATTTTTTCATTAAAAGATATGAGGATGAAAGTTAAGAAAAAATTTGTGTTATTTGGGAGGAAAAGGGTTAAACGAATAAAACAGTATATTTAAGAAGATACATAAATGTGAAAGCGGTTTTATTTACGTAGTAAATAAAATTTCTTATATTTGTTGTTTTTTAACAGAATGTTATTGAAACAGGAAATTCTTCAGAATCAAATTAAATTGCTTACTTTTTGTAATTATAATCTCATTTTTAAATCAAAATACTTAATGTAAATATAGCTTTTTTACATTAATAACCATGCAAATTATTTGATAATCTATAAATTATTCAAAATTCAACAATAAATAAATATACTTTACTAATTGTGATAATGAAAGCTAACTTTTGTAAAATAGTAAGAATAACGTCATATATGTACGCGTTTACTTACTTTTTTAATTATTAATATATAATTTAATATTTAATAAATTTATTAAATGTTAAAAAATAACTTATTTTTCACGTACTTGTTAAAAAACCATCTAGTAGTTTTTTTCAATTGCAATTTATCAATACTTTTCTATTATAATTTTGTTCACTTTTACCTTTTGCAATAAACAATTTTTGAATGTTCAGGATACATTTTTCAATGTATTACGTATATCGTTGATAACGTTGAAAAATTTAATAAATATGTAATGTATGTTTACGTATATTTTGGATAAAAATCCACTAAACGATGACAAGAAGTGTAAAAAGTGACTAGTTCCAGTATTTCCTTAGGTAAAATGAAACTTGTAGCTTCGTCAATCGCATCTGTTAAACTGATCATAGTTATTCTGACTTTCAAAGCAACATTAAATAATTTTAGAATTGACTGTGAATATAGCGGAAACATGTTTAAAATATTGATCAGATTTTTATAATAATTTTTATCGAATTCTTTGCTTCTCATGCGTCGCGTCAACTTTAGTAAGCTTTGTGTGAGAATGCAATATGCTGTAACGTTATTATGAATTTTCATAATCTTCATATTTCTTAATTCATATAAACACTTATTGTAAAATTCACTCATCGGTGGATGCGTGTATATTTGTAATAAGTCATTTTTATTAACCTTAATATTTTTGGAAGTTAAAATTGCAAAATGCTTAATCATGATTTTACTAGCATCATGAAGATAGTAAGTAGACATAAGAGAGAACGGAGTACACCCTCTATTATCGAGATTGTTGACATTAGCACCCAGAAATAGTAGGAGTGCTATGTTTTGTGATGATCTACATTTGCATGCCTCGTGTATGGGATACTGACCATCATCGTTACATACGTGTATTTTTGCGCCATTCTTAATGAGCAATGCAGTCGTGGAGCAGCTCTTAATACTACAAGCTAAACATAGATAGAAGTTACCATCGCTTCGTTTTTTATTTGGATCAGCACCATGTTCTAAAAGTAATTTGACCTATAAAATAAATATCGTATTAAAGAGAGCTCATAACATTTATTACATATAACTTTTTCTGTTATTAGTGCTTATAAACTTTATTTTAATATTAATGTCATATATTTTTTTACTTTACTAATTTCTGCACTAAAATTCTTTTTAAATATCACTTGAAATGGTCATGTTTTTATAATTTGATTTTGTGTACAGTAGTGTACAATAAAATTTAGATTGTTTTCTTTTTAACATAAAGAAAAATTTGAAAAAGTATTCTTTTATTTCCTTAAAAAATAAAGAAAAAGAATAAGCATAAATACGGAACATACTATTTCGAATGACTTTTGGTCAGCAATGGCATAATCAAGAAGCGTTGAGTCGCAATCATTCTTTTCGTTGATAGGTACTTTGAGATCCAACAATGCTTTCATTGCAGCCAAGTCTCTGCCAATTAGAACAAGATAACCAAGAGCTTTCATTGCTCGACGATTCCTAGTTTCTAAGTCGGGAACATTGTATTGCACTAGATGTGGTAAAAGTTTTTTAGCTCTAGGACTTTTAGCAGCCACGTAGAGAACATTTTGATTAAGATTATTGACAGCATCGATGTTGGCTCCAAGATCAAGTAATTTCTCGATAATTACGAATGAGCCACTTTCCATCGCGCAATGAAGAACGGTGTTTCCATTAACGTCGACTACTTCAATGTCAGCTCCGTACTCTAACAGTAACAGTGCCAATTGCTCAAATTTTTTAGTTGTAGCTTTACGCACGACCGCGTGCAACAAAGTGTTGTCTCGATCGTCACCAGCTCCGCGGACGTTTACGTTGACTCCTGCGCGTATCAACATACCCATGATTTTCATGTTTTTGTTCTCCAATGCTTGCCACAGTAAGTTACTAAATTCGTCTGAATCTAGCTTCACGTAATTTTCGGCGATTATGGCGCGCACTTGTTTTGCATTGTTGAAACAGACTGCAAAACGTAACTTTTTGAGCTTGTATTTGAGTAGATCAGAGACGTCCAATCGCTGCGATTCATTTGATGAATCATACGTATCTCTCAAAAATCTTAAACTTTTTGATTTTTTTGTTTTTCTTACAAAAACATTGTTTACTTTTAATAAATTATTCAACACGCTTATATTTGTATCGCTTTCTGCTGACGAACTCGATGCATTTTCCAATAATCTTCTCCTTTTCAATTTAATTTTGCTATTAGGAGTACAAATTTCTTCTAACATACAAGAATTATTTTCGATAAAAGCTTCATTTTTTATCGACGCTATCGACGAATCACTTGACAACGTTTTGTTTTTAATATTTTTGGATGTTGTTCTGAAATAATCTGCGATTGTTTCCGACAAGTCCGATGAGTCCGATGACGAATCACTTGATAATATTTTTTGAGTCCTTTTAATTTTTCTTTGAAAACTGACATTTTTATTGGATAATTGTGACAAATCCAATAATGAGTTTCTTTTAAAACTTTTAATTTTGGCTTCCAATAGTTTACTCGGTATGCCTGACGAATTAAGCAAACCTTTTAATGACTTTCTTTTTGATAACATAATTTTTACGATAATTTTCTTATTTCTTTATTGGCTTATAAACTTTGATGTCTTAAACATTATTTATTGGACACAGTCCGTAGTCTGTGGATAATAAAAAAATTTATATCAGATATATCATTCACGTGTAGAAATGTTTTTTATAAGTTGGAAAAATATTACCTGAAACTATCCTGAAAGTAAATAAGAATCTACAAAATCAGCAGACATTAACGTTCCAAGGAAATGCAAGTTTTTATAGAACGAAAATTTGGATTTGCAACAAATATCATAAGCTGTAGCATAACCTAAAATTTATCATCGCACACATTCACGTCGAACGTAACGTTAATTTCACATTTATTACAACGGATTCTTTCAAATATGCACCAGTATAAACATTTTTTATACTGAAACTTAGCTGTGTACGAAAAACAGAGATTACCTTTGCTCTTTTAATTTATAAAATCGTGTCGTAAGCTTGACGAAAAGAAACAAACAATACGAAGTAACGCGCAACCATACAACACTGATTGACTGATATTGACTATGATACCAACGTATATATATATACACGCTTATAAAAAAGTCCGGAACCGTGACCGTCATCGACCATTGGGAAAGCCATATATGAGCCTCTCTCGTTCCGCGCGTGATTGGTTAGCTCGACTCCTTTCTGCAAAATGCGCCATATTTAAATGTTTCGATAGAAAACTAGAATAAAACAATTCTCTCTTTCCATGCAACCTTTCACTATAAGTAAAAACCTAGGAACCAGACACTCTAATTGCAGTAATATGTACATATTGTTCAACATAACATAGAACCATTAATTTATTTATTTCATATTGGCGACGATATTTTTTAATATACAACTTATTGATTAAATCGAACAGTACTGATAGAAAACTTGAAAAATAATGATCTATCTAGATTTTCCTAGTAAACTAGAGAAAATCGTAGAATAAATTTTCTACAGTCAAGTACATTTCTCGCATTCAATAGTTATTGTTAATACTACAGTAAAATATATAATATTCTGAAATCAATGTTTTCCTGGCAGGTAAATTACTTCAAACTTACAGTATAATATTAAAAAATTACTCTGCTTAACATTACTCACTTAAAATTACTATTCCATTTGTATTATTAAAACTAAGATGACCATGTTATTTATAGCATAATAAAAAATAAAAATAACCGTGTTTTTTCTTTCGTCATTTATAATTGTCTATAAAAAATTATTAACCTTGAGGTTTATTATTTTGAAAAACGAATTTCATTAATCGATTCTACGGGAAAAATTATGAAGAAAACTTCTATAGCATTTTTGTGAGAGTTCAATTTGTTACTGTAAAATGCTAATAAAAATAAATAAAAATTCAAGTAACTTTTCGCATAAAATTTCGCATAAATTTTTCGAATAATACAATTTTGAATGCTCATCGAAAATCTAAGCAGGCTAATCAATTTAGCATTTTTCTCTACATGTGCGGAAAATGTACATTTCCTGCAGATAATTTATTAGCGTAGTTAATCTCATTGGAATAAATGCTAAGTACATATTTGACATCACCTGTCTAACAAGGCAGGTAGCAAATTTTGGTCAGTCATAAAATGTGCAATTGTGATTCATACTGAGTAATAGGTATCGATCAGTCGACTTTATAATAAATAAAAAATTAACTTTTCGAGATATATTCACTATTAATAAAAATTAATAACTTTTTGAATATTGTTGAAAAGATATGTTTGCATCGGTAGTTTGATAGTTCAGAATTTTACGAATATTTAAAAATAATTAGAATCAATAGCTTTAATGGATGCAGAAATTTCATTTTAATAATAAACAATATTTTTACAAAAATATTATCACTTACCATTTAGATTTTTTATTGTACTTTCGATCGACATTATGATATGCGAGCTAGTATTTTTTGCATCAAATTTTGCATGTCACATGTAACGTACAGTAAATACTTATTAATTACAATTGTTTTGTCAAAACATCCTCAATACGTGTTAAAATGATTTTCAAATACATTCCCGGTGACTTGAATTAACAGAATTATTCATGATTTCAGCTTAATCTGTCGAATCGCAAACCGCCCTCGAACTTCATGATTAGCGAGTCAAAATACTTCAAAACAAACTTTGATAAAATTGTCTAAATCAAAACCTTACTGGACACTAGACACCTTCACACAGCTCCATTACGTTTTTAGAAAATGTTTACGCTACTAGTTTCATAGCTTAAAATACAAGAACAAATTCTTGTTCCTAATTTACAATTTTTGTTCTTAAATTTACAATACCCTAATGGCCTAATGGACACGTTGCTCTCCATTCATCACATTACTATATACATACTTTATGTACAATATGACACTTTGAACATTCCATTGGCTTATTTACGGAATAAGTCATTCACACGCTAATTTATTTACGTCCCGTGCGCAACTTGCGCAATCACCTCACCATCGATTATCCTTATAGCTCAGTGAGAACCTTTCCGGACTGGAGCTCCGCGAAGAATCGCTAGACCTGTCTTTTCTCGGCATGGCAAAGTTCTCGAATCTACTTGCGTTCGCCTCGTCATCCAGAGGCTTGTTGCGTTCCGCGTTGATGTCGTCCGCGATCGAGCGTTTGGCCTTGCTGAACAATTCCGAGCCAGCTCTTTGGACTTTTGTAATCGTATTCTTCACAGCGCTAATCGCCGCGCTGCGTTTCTTCGTCTCTCGCCGGTTTTCCATCTCGCGAAATTGACACATGAGCTTTTCCTCGAGTTTCGCTTTGGCACGAGCCAGATTGTGCAAAGTCTGGTCTTTCTTCTTATCTTCCTTGTGATATTGCTCCTGCGTCTCAAATGTTTTCGCTATCAATTCATCATTGTATTCATACATCTTCGACATCATCTTTTGCAACTTTGCAATGTCATTTTGCAGTCGCGCTTTCTCATCCGTTAAATTCTCTACCTCCACGCGAAGCAGACGATTCTCGTTGTTGAACTGGAATGTCTTCTTCTGCGACTGTTTTTCATAATCTTTATGACGTTCCGTCAACTCGTCGACCTTTAATTTTTCTTTGCGGTATTCCTTCATCAGAAGAGTAAAATCGTGCTTCAGATTTACGTATTCAATGCTAACTTCATCCGACGAGTCATCTTCACTGTATTGTATCAAATTGAAATTTACCTCATTCGAATTTCTCTCCTGCAGCTCCATCCGATCATCACTGTTCGAATATAGATTTAACTGAACCGGGTGCATCGTTGATCTCTCTGGTACACTCATGATCAAATTTTCGTCACTACTGTAATCTTCGCTATCTTCGTCTAAGTTTATTTGCATTGCATCGATCGATTTCTCTTCCCTATTTTTTTCACACTCGAGTTTAAATACCGTATTTTCCAATTCTTTTGCAATATTCTCAGCACTGCGCACCGAATCTCTCAATTGCATATTTTCTATATTCGCCGACGTCAACTTTTCTTCGAGCTTACCTACCTTAGCGTTTAGATCTTTAACAATAGATTCAAGCCGATTCTTCTCCTTTTCTAAATCATGAAGTTGAAGTGAATTCTCCAGAACAGAATTCTCTTCGAGAATCTTCAACCGACGACTTTCCAGGTCGAGTTTGAGCACTTGTGAGTGGACGCTTTGAGAAAGCTCCTCGGAAAGACTATTGTTGTTGCGCTGGTTGAACGTCTCATCGGCCTCGACATCGAAACTGTCGTCAAGATAGACGTTCATTGAATTTGAAAATTTAACGCGACGTTCTGAAAAAGAAAACAATATTATCAGTTAATTATCTCCGTTTCATACAAAATTTTTCATTAGATTACAGAGTATGGGAATACCGGTGAAATTTTAACTTACTCTTAAAGGAATCTTTAATGGTTGAACAATTTTTTCATGTTATTTATTTTATGTGTAATCGTGTTGTACTCGATCATGAAGGCAAAAACAGAGAAAATGAGGGCTGGCCCATGTACCAAACTCTTCAGAACTTACCCTTATCCTTCCCCCTCTCCATAAAAAAACGATCTCGACTTCAATTTAATTTTTGTTACGATTACTCGTTAAGTTATGCTTCAATTAAATCAATAATGAAATGGGATCATTACGGTACCGTACCCTTTTCAATGAACTTTCTCCCATTATCGATATTGGTCAAGCTCTTCCAAAGTTATTCGCAATCGTATATAAAAAGAAAGTGAAATCAAACTGATACGCGATATTACGTAGAATTTTCGTAATCTCCTTTCTATTATTGTGATTAAACACTTACTAGATCATTAGAAAAGCATAGTTAACAAAAAATTTTACACAACATTTGTCTTCAAGTAAAACGGATGATTTGATACGATCTGTATCTGACGGGTATATTTTGAATAACAGTTACTTCAGTGTTATGGCATTGAGTCTTAGACAATATAACAACTGAACTATATTGCTCAGTTAAAGTTGCGTAACGCCAAAAATGGACAGTACTAGCATGGTTTATAAATTAATATGTAAACTCTGTGACGTCCTATGCGTAGGTCAAATGGAGCGACTGTTAAAATTAAGAATTGACGAACATCAGAAAAATAAAAATAAGAATGCGGTAATAAGTGCACACATGATGATACGTACTTATCAATTTGACTAGGACGATGCATAGACCCTTGACTTTAAATCACTGTGAAATGAGCGTCTCATTTCTGAAATGATTTATACCAAAAGCGAACACAATAGCATTAATAAATGGGAAGTTGTACGAAGATTACGTCATGTTTCTAATCAGAATATTCACGCTTTCCGCAGAAGCTACATAGTTAGCAGCCTAAATGTGTTACGAACTCGACTGGTCGTTCACTCGTTCCATCATTCAATCCCTTTGAAATTCAAATTGCATTTGAAATGAGAAAAAGACAAGGTGCCGCCGACAAAAATTATGGTTAGATTAATAAGTGCAAATTGAGCCGCTTATTTTGAAAGTGGCCTAACTCCATTCATCTTAAAATCGAGATATTGAAAGTTTAGGCTATTTTCAAACTACACGGCTCAGTTATTCAATTAATTCGGAAAACTTATGTGTAAAAAATGTATTGTATATTCTCTGAACATAAGCAATCTGAAGTGCGTCACTGATAAATAACATGAAGTTGTACATGTAACCATTGTAAACGGTAGAAAATTAAAAAACGGAGTTAGGTTACTTTTAAAATAAACGGCTTAATTGTTGTTTGGTTTAATAAAGTTCTGAAGAGGTTGGCGAAGCAGCCATCGAAATGTCAACCCTAGTTTATTCTATCTTTGCCGCCACGATCGTACAACGCCATTGCACGCCAAGTAATGATATAAGTGAGAATGAAAATTGCACTGTAATATTTATGTTAGCTATACTTTGCGTGGTGATAAACAGCTTTGCGCACGAATTAGAAACAATTCATACATTATACTTGTGTGGGAAAAAAAAATAGGTTTTTGTTTCGTGTGACATTTACGGCCGAATAACGCGACGGTGGAAAGGGGCACAAGACAAGGATCGCTTTCTTGAAGCATCTTTTGTAGAGATGCTGTTTTTGCACGAAAAAAATTTCTCCACCGTCAATTTCCGAGATTTCCGGTTAAAAATTATTTGGTCAATTTGCAATTTCTTTCCCCCCAAGTCTGTGCTGAAATTTCAGCGGTAAACCCGTTTATATGCCACTCTTAATTACTCAAATCGGCATTCTCTTCGCAAATTTGGAAGTTCCGCGTGCAGTTCGCTTGGTTTTCAGTCTCCAAGTCGTGATTCTTTCGCTGTAGTACACGGATCTCCCGCTTCATTTCTCGCATTCTCTTCGCAAACTCCGCTTTGTCGGATTTCAATTGGGTATCAATTTTATCTATTTCCTCGATTAGCAATCGATTCTTTAGCTCCGACTTTTCGAAGAGTGTTTTGTAGGATGACATTTTCTTCAGTTTTTCTTTATAATTACCAAGCTCCTGACTAGATTGTTCTTGCTGTTGCATTAGCTCCGAGATGTCTTCCAGTGTTTCGCGGTGACATTCCACTTCGGAAACTGCAAAGCCAAAATAAAACCATCACCAAGAAGAATTTCTCAACAGACGATTAAAAAAATGTAGAAACTCACGTAATCGTTTATTCTCGCTCTCGAGTGAGGCGACATTACGTTTGTAATGATCCACTTGATCAGTCAACACTATGACCTCAGCTTCCCACTCGTACAGCTCCTTCTTGCAACTTTGTACAACATTTTGCGACGATGCTGAGTATAATTGCGCGAGCAGCTCATTCCTTTCTTTGCTCATCCGACTGAAGCCCTCAATAGCTTGCTGAACCTTCTGCTTGTGATTGAAAAGTTGCTCTTCTTCGGCAGAATCGATCAACAACATTTCCTTGCTGAGTACTATGTCAGGCACGTGTAATATCTGATAAATAGATTTTTTTAATTAGGAAAACTACCAACTTTTACAGTGCTCAACATTCATTAAGTGTTAACATTAAATTCGATATATTAAATTTTGCAGGAGAAGTCTACATAAAGACTTTAATATAACCTAGTTTTAATCTTCAACATCAGATAAATTTTTTCTACTATTTTTATAGATTCGACTATATTAGCGAATTCACGAAGAGTCAATTGATTTTATTTTCATAATCGTGTTTGCTAGAGTTTACTGAATAAGGAACTCCAATTTTCCAGCGACTAACTTGCAGCCTATTTAATCCATGCGGATTAATCTTCGGTCAATGCATTAATTTTTTTCGGGCCCATCAATCGAAAATCAATGACGCTATCGGAAATATAGTTTGATTTGGAAAGTTAAAGCGAGACTGGCATAAAGTCTGCACGCAAACAAAGAATTGTACAATAATTCACTGTGTCATAAAAAATTACACCACAAAGGGGAAATTACAGTCTACCTTGCTGATAGCCGCAGCGAGAGCCGCTTGCGTGTCCTCGTCGAGCAGCGTAATCTTGTGGACGAAATATTCATTATTTCGACATTTCACAGCACAGCCAAGAAGAAGTAGGAGAAGTAATTCAACTTGACAGATATTCGATCGTGGCTCCTGAGCGATGAGATGAATTCGGGGCAAACGCAAAATCACTTGCCCAAGATGATCCTCGTAGAAATGACGGATAAGATGCAGCACGCTTTCGAGGTTGGCGAGACGTTTCCCGGGGTTGTTGTGCGCGGGCGTGACGTCGTTACTTTGGCCGTCGATATCCCTGTGGAAATCAAATTTCAAATCAAGCTCAATGTGTTGACAACAGTATTTGAGGGATGCGCAATAATAACCCAACGATACAAACATATCCGTATACTTACATTTGTAAGATTACGTCGTAGATAAAAACTCCATCGACTAGCTCTTCGTAAGTGAGCTGAACATTGCCGCTTCTTCCATTCAAGCAACTGGAGAACTGTAGATGAATCGATTGATGAATATTAAGTAAATCTTTGTAAAGATTTCTTCGGTCTGTACATTTTTTATACAACGCTAGTGAATGTAATGTGTTTAAACATTATATACTCACCCATGTCACGATTGGACTTATCAGGAACGCGTCAATTTCCTTGGTTAGGATTTCCTTTGCCATTTTGGATCAACTTCTCTACTTCCACAAAATCAAAATGAATGCACAAACGATACTAATTATCACCCATGTAACACGACGTCTGGAGCAGAACTACGCGATGTCTCTCTTGTCGACTGTACACCATTATTCGCTCGTATGTTAGCGTTGCTGGTGCGTTCCTACGTTTATTACGGTTCCTATGCGGATATAGACAGATTTCGCAGGGTGGCTAATTACGGGAAGAGCGTGGCGTGGCTGTGCCATTGTCAACTTTAGAGATGATTGACTGCTAAAAGGTTTTGGAAGTATAAGCCTTGTCGGCAGAGCGGATTATCTTCTTAAATCCTATATTTAAATGTAAAATGTGTCTCCTTGAAAACTGTTATACTGAGATCGCTAAGCCTTGCGTGTATTACGCATTAATAGCATAATAATTAGATTGCACGTTATGATGGAATTTATGTGTTATTTTGATGATTTATTTTCATTGTTATTTTCGGCAATTGACGAGCTTTTAACAATAAAGTTAAATTTAAAAAGCTTCCATTAGTAGCCTATTTGTTACTTGATTATTTATGCCATCGTTTTTTCTAACCTGCTATTCAATTCCTTCATTGGTAAAATTATGTTTTTCTTTTTCAATTATTATGCACTCGGTTTTCTCTAGAAAAAAGACGCATCACGCGTGCCTGTTGATTTTCAATTTATTTATAAATAAATTATTAATAAGTTTATCAAAATCGAAATTTTAATTCGATATCCTTATCGAAATCGAATATTTGATCTGCGATATAAATCTAAGAATTAATTTGTGAGTAATTGAAAAAAAAACGAAGTCAGACTCGGGGTTTTGCTTAAAAAATTATTTGTTTTGTCTGAAACTGGAATTTAAAATCGAACTTCAATATTTAAGACTATAAAGCATCAATTTTCTAACTATAAGATAAACCTTGAAAAAGATCATATGTATATAGGTCATTCTTTGTGAATCGGACCCCCCACCCTTTCCAAAATTAGTGATGTCCAAAAAAATCACGCGACAGCTTGAAATTTTCCTTTTTCCTCTAGTTTACAGCATCATGTGACCTTTTGTAAAAATTAAAAATGGCAAACTCAATACGGCGACTGAAACTTGTGATGCTCCTAAAAATTTTCCAAAGTTTCAAAATATTTTGTCCAATTTGAGTGCTATATTTTTGTTAAGACCGGACGTTTTATTCAGCGTCAAACTTCACATAGGAATATGGTATTGCGCTCAAGATATGAGGTGGCAGGAGTATATCAATATATAAGTTCTGCTGATATGCTTCTTGTATGAGCGTTTCCGGCTTTAAAAGCGCTGGTGATAATGTCGTTTCGTGCAATGTTTACAACTGTAAATAATTCTGATATGTATTTATCATATTCTTCCATGGAGACATTAATTTCTTCAAGCGACATATGTATTATTGCGTTAGCTTGATAGTCCATGAATCTCATACTTCTACTCCATTTTAGTAACTCCTCTTAGTTTCTTTTCAACGTATGAAATTCCTTCGAAAACTCATCGGCCATCTCACTTTTTCTTTCTCACGGCCATCAAGGCTTTTTCTGCGTAGTTGTATAGTTTTTCTATTTCATGATTGTAATATTCTGCATCGTACAGATGATCAGCCAGCGCAAAGCGATAAAAATAAAAAAAAAAAAAAAGAAAGTTTGAAGCGTTGACACGATTACTAAACGTATTATGCACCTAACATTTGCAGAGGATTAGAGGCGCGCCGAGTAATACGTGTGCATTGTCTGCGCCCGAATGTTGTGTCACCGATAGGTGAAGGCATTGCGGTTTATTTCGGCATGACGTGAATTACGCGTTGAGATTGTATGCGATGGTGCTAGAAATGTAAACGTCCAAGCGGCGAAAGAAATGTTAAGCGTGGAGGCGTCTTGCCATGGTATGAAAAAAGCGAAAAAGAGTATTTCCGCCTCACCGACCGGTTGATGAAATGTAATGCGGAAAAACGCAGGCGATGTCACTATCACCGCTCTCGAAGCAGCGTTTGAGCACGTAGTCGAAGGACTAAGATGAGTCACATACGAATAACAATGGAAAGTAAAAAAAGAATTTTCTCATGGAGGAGGGACGAAACTTCTCGAGAACAGCCACCGCCGACGCTGAGTCACGGTGGATTGAGAGAGGAGTCGGGTAGTAGGCGGCGCCTAATGAACATCGCGCGGAAACTGCGCCCCGAACCTTGGGCCTGGAGTGGGGAAGAAAAAGTTTTTGTAGCGGCGTTCTCTCCTTATTTTAAGACCTTTATTTTTCTTGTATGAGCTCAGTTCAGTTTGGACATTCGAAGAGACCACTCATTTTCATTGTAAAATTGCGTGCATGCGACCATTGCGTTTATTCGATTAATTTTATTCAATGTTAAATAAAAATAATGTATCTTGAGGTACGTCGTACGATCATTAATTCTTGGCTGCATTGGAGTAAGTTTTTTCCATTAAACTTGAATAAACTGTTTTTATGTTCATCTCTATTTTCTATTGTTTCTGTTGCGGTAACTATAAAGCTTGATAATTCTTAAGCCAATCTGTCCCTAAATATCCAATAACATCGAGTGGAAATGAGTCTGCGGCTACATTGTAGATTATCTTTTCCGAAAGTGTTGAGTTTGCATTGCCTATACATTGTATATGGGCCGTTTGCCATTTAAATTTTCTTTCTCTAGTTCATGGACTATTTGATTGAACTACATGTTTTTCTATAAAGTACAAAATGTTTGATTATTGAAAGTCCTGCTCTGGTGTCTACTAGAAAATTCAATAGTCGTCCTTTTGTTCCTGTTGGCTTGAGCCATAAATGGCAATGTCGTCCATTTGAGAAATAAATTGCTTGTCTATGTCGTTCCAAAGCATTGAGGCGGATCGTCGTCTGTCTATGGATCCTCTACATTAGGTGTTGTTTTGAGGCTGGTTTTGAAAAATTTCCATTTTACGAATTCTACAACGATAACGATGGTTTTTCTTATTTCCATATGCTTCACAGTTTGAACAAGTATGTTTTGCAGGCTTGCAATTATATATATAATTTCTATGAATTTTCAAGTTAAAATACTTTTGGAATCGGGCGTTAATCCGCGAATGAAACGCAGGGATGGTAATCTGCCGTTGTGGTGAGCAGCTCGTCAACCAACGTCCGCAATTGCAGGTTTACTTATCAAGCATGGTGCGAGTGTTCATGACTGCAATGATTTATACGGCTTGCAATGCTTTATCCTTAGAGAATATAAGACTTTTGTTGTATTACGATGCTTAAGCAATGGATATGAATTCCTTTTGCTGTGGTATACCACCAGACCTTGAATGACGCCACGAAATTAATTATACAGCACTTTCCACTTTTGATATTAAAAAATGTTACCTCATTAAAAACAAAACTAGCATTCATGATTTGGGCCTGCGTTTCTCCGCACTATGTGCAGTTTTTCTTTATTTCCTCTTCTCTCTAACTCGCACGCACTACGAGAAACCTACAGCTCTATCTCCAGCACGGCTGGAAAGCGTTAACAAGCCGATAAGGTGAGGGCCACTGAACTGCAATCTCATTCCTGTTTCTTACCGTTCCCACTGAGTTTCTTCCTTTACAACATGCTTTACCTTTTATCTTTGAAACAGAGTGAAATTAAAATGTTAGAGAGTTCTAGAATTTTATTTGCAACGATGGATAGCAAATAATTACGTCTTTCAAAAACCTCATAACGAGCTTTTCAAGGTTTAGATTAGTCATAAAATGAAAATCGCATAAAATATTGTATCAAATCAATTTAATTATATCGAATGCTGTAATTATAGATAATTGAATGTTAATTGTCTTATTGGTTCATATTTTGTACACAAATTCGATTATAAAAATGAAGTCATAATAAACAATAGGTATGACAAATTTACGACTTAAATGAGAATATTGCGGAATTGGAGTTGGAATTGGTGATGTAATATGTTAAATAATTAATAATGATAAGTAAAGTTTGGTAAACTGAAGTACAAACGTCAAAGTAACAACGGCGAAAGCATGCATGTGCATTATATACAGACGCTCCGACAATTTATTAATGCATTCTGCCCTTTTGCAGACGGCCTCACTCTTCTCCCTTTTTTTCATGATATTTTCCCAAACGCTGATCGCTCTCGCCAAACACATGTGGACCAAATTTTGATAATATGAGCAGCTCTGTTATATTATCTCTCTTAATCTAAATGAGCGTCCAAGTTGTAAACATTGTAACATAAGTTGTAAGAAACCCTATATGTGGTCTTAAGCCTATAGGCACCCGCACTCGGGTTTTTACACGCAGAGGATGCTCAATCCGTATTGAAGTCGCTTACGCGCCGCCAGGCCATGGAAGTCTCCATGGAAGGTCCATGACTTTGGCTCGTTTTTCAGCTTCTTTACAGTCCAAAAGGCACAACAAATATTAAAAATTCAGTAATAATTCTTAATCGTGAATCTGAATTTCTTAAATCTCATATAAAAATAATTGGAATTAGATTAGAAAGTAATGCTATTGAAATTTAGATTTTAAACATTTAAATTCTATTGGATTGTCGCCAACAAAATTACCAAAAGACAGTATAAAAAATTTCTAACAATATAATTAATTTTCAATAGACTGTAGCAGAGCAAAAAGAATAAACTGAAATGGCTTCCGATCTCTTTTCTTCAATTTGCATCTTTGGAAGATGTCTGAGACTCGAACTCCTGACTTCCTGCGTCTTAATCTAACACTTGAACTACTAAACGACCGATGATTTTATGACTGTTTTGTCGTTTTCTTTGTGACTTATAAGTCACAAGATGCATATTAGCATAGATAAACTGTATTTTTAAATAGCACTCAAATTCAACATTTTTATTTGAAAATATTTGCTTTCGGATATGTAAGGCATTGGAATATATTGAAAACTATTAAATAGCATTTGCCTGAATTGACCATTTATTGAAAATTTATTCGAATAATTTTCAATCTATTCAATTGAATCTGATTGAATAATATGTTATAAGAAAATATTGATGTAAGTTAAAATGTGATTAAAATTTCAACACTAACAATTTATGAGAATATATTAAAAATTACTAAACTAATTCCATGGATGCGTTTGTTCTGTCGAAATATATTAGAATATATTTTAAGAATTATAAAACATAATCTGATGTAATAACATGTTATATAAAAAAGTATTAAAAAACATTTCAGCTATAATGTGATAAAAATTTAACACTGATAATTTATGGGAATATATGTTTTACTACTGTATGACTTTTCATTTTTAAAATTGACCTTTTACAGCTTTTTTAACGTTATTTATAAATTTTTCAGAAAATAAACACGGCTATGCGTTCTTCAACATTGAACGTATCTGCCTGATTTTTTTTTTTTTTTTTTTTAACAAATGAATTCAGTTCTGATTGAATAGCAGATCTTTAGTGTGGTCTTAGGCATATATTTATTTTTATCAGCATAGTAGAATATTAGATATTGGTGGTCAGGTTAAGTAACATGAATTGAGTTTAATGTTACTATTCAATCCATCAAAGTTTTATGTATGTCAATAACGAAATAAATATACATTTTAATGCGAAGCAGCAAACCGTAAATTAAATCGAAACTAGTAGTTTTTTTCTAGGCTTTCACGGGGAGGAAAAGGATGCTCCTCACGGCGAGTCTCACACGATACATTTCATTGCCATCTCCCTGCTTTCCTAATTGTCTGCATTCCTGATTGGTATCTTCATAATTATGATACTATATCTTTTTTCCCTCATTCAACTACTTACTAGCAATTTTAATGCCTTGATATTGCTCTCCGTCGTCCCGAAAGTATGTAAGGTACGGGTGCCTTGTTACAATGTCTTATTCTGGTTTCACAGGCAGTAACTTTCCAGTGCATTGTCCAAAACCAATTCTGTATCCATCACCCTCGCAAAAACCTGATCGGAAAATAAAAAAAACCATTGATCAATTGCTTATATATTTAGTAAATTGAATGAAACAACGCTACTACTGATTTACCTCGAATACAAACTTCGTCTCCGTCTTGTAAAAATTTTCTGGTACTTCCATCATTCATAGGTACGGGTTGAGTACCCTTCCAGCAAAGTTCGAGCAATGAACCGTAGGAATCAGAAGTCTAAGATATAAAAGAATAAAACACACAAAGTATGATACTTACAGAAAAACTAACTGTCATCTCTATTAAAAAATTACTTACCTCTCCACTAATAGTTCCAGAGGCCATTAAGTCGCCGGGATTGATATTGCAGCCGGTCACAGTGTGGTGAGCTAACTGCTGTTGCATTGTCCAGTACATGTACTTGTAATTGCTGCGCGTGACTGTTGTGACAACTCCGGTGGGGCCTAGAAAATGACAAAGTACATAGGACAATTGTATCCTACGCGTCGATCGCAAAAAAAAAAAACAGTGAAATCGATGCTTACCTTTTATATCGACCTCCAATTTGATGTCGTAGCTGCAGGAATCGCGATGCCTCAGATAGGGGAACGGCTGAGGATCTTGAGTCATATTAGGAACCGCAAATGGCTCCAAAGCTTCCAGAGTGACCACCCACGGGCTGATAGTGGTGCCTAAATTTTTGGCCGTAAACGGGCCTAGCGGCACGTACTCCCACTTTTGGATGTCCCTGGCTGCAATCGATCAGTGGTGAGTTGCGCGTGGCGAGTCGAAGCGAGGGCGATCCGGCTCACCGCTCCAATCGTTCATGGTGACCAGTCCGAAGATGTGGTCGCGGGCGCGCGACGCGCTGAGCGTGTCGCCGAGGTCCGTGGGCGGGCCCCCGACGAAGAAGGCCACCTCGAGCTCGAAGTCCATGAGGCGGCAGGGCCCGTAGACCGGCGTCGCGCCCTCCACCGGCAACGTCTGACCACGGGGACGCCGTATGCTCGTACCCGACACAACCACCGAGCTGGCTCTGCCGTGGTAGCCCACCGGCAGGTACTTCCTTTAGTCAGAGCCATGGTCTTACTTTTACTTTCCCAAGTTCTTTCGAAATTATACTTTAACGTTAAAACATCTCACCAGTTCGGCATGAGGGCATTGTCTTTATCGCGGAACATTATCCCAACATTTGTCGCGTGGTGAATGGACGAGTAGAAGTCCGTGTAATCGCCTATTCTAGCCGGCAAGTGCATCGTCGCTTTTTCTTGAGACACGAACGCTCTGGAAACATCAATCGCGAAGCAAACGAAGCAAATTAAAATTACGACTAGCTTACGATGAAATAGCGCGAATTATTTTTTACTTCGATCGAATATCGGCTTGTTGCAGAGTGCCATTTTCAATGGAGAGCAAGCTTTGCAAGGTTTGCCTGGCCTCGATCCACGATGGCCTACCAAGTGACATGAACTCATTGAGGCTGTCTTGGTGGAAAACATGCTGCTTACTTGCCAATAACGGACCAGTAAAAAAATCCGATATCGCTGATAAATCCAAAATTTTATCTCCAATTGCGACGCCTATTCTTTTCTTCGGCTATAAAAACGCATCCGAAAAATCAGCGTTAGACAAATTCATATATACTTTTTATCAATAACGACAATATTTATCTTATGTATTTGAACTTGATTCAATATAGTCATCTATTCAAGTTTTTAAATAACGACAATATAGTGTACGCCATGGTACGTTGATTCAGTATAGTCAACGGTATAGTTATAGTAGTACAAGGTACGTCAGTGTATCACAGAAACCTGTTATACCGAGCCGTTTGAACGCACAGTACTTTACGTTCTTAAACCTTAGATGTCACGAGAGGGCAGAAATTATACGATTAAAAGTGCTTGTAAGAAGTTGCTTAACCGGTATTTATATTATGATAAATTGCAGATTGATAATAAATTATTAGTTCGTCTGAAACCTTGTAGAATCAAGAAAAATCAGACGATAACAATGCTTTCATGTTCCAAACTTATACGCGATGAAGACTGAACGTTAATGATGCAAAAAAATCATAATTTTTTCAATTCTAACGTAACCTATACCGTTTATTAAAAAATTTGAAAAAAACCAGTACTTATCAGTATAAAATTCTTCGGCACAATATAGACTTACATCATTAGCAGTAGAGAAAATACCGTATGGCAAATTCTGAATGGGAAACTCACATTCCGGAGAATATTCGATAAAGGACTTCATTTTCACAGAAAGCTACGACGTCTGAACGTGTAAGCCTAGATAATCTGACTCTGTCGATCGTCCGGTAAAGTGCTGGATTATCATACTGGAGGCTTGTCTCTCGAGGCCGACGGGCTGTGGACGGCGACCAAACGGGTCTCACCAGTTATAGATTAGAGGAAATACTTTGAATTTTATATAGTATAATCGAATTCCTTTCGACGAGTTCGCGTGTTCTTTTATATTCTTCTATACATTAAGAAATATCGTTAAAAACAAAATTGAAGCTTCTTATATTGGTTAGTTTTTTTTTGTAACACCGAAAATCTTATTTTCTATCTATGTTAATTATAATATTTTAAGCCACATTGAAAATTTTCAGAATGCGTCGGGTAAAAGCGATAATTGATGGGAAAACATCGAATAACAGGTTTTATTGTATCGGACATTGGTGTACATAAAACGGCTTCTATATTTACACGTTCCATGTTGTTTTGGTATTTTAGGTAGCATATTTCAAGCAAATCGTAAAAATTAATATAAAACTGGTATAACATTAAAAAATATAGATGAACCACTGAAAACGATAAATAGAATATATTTTATTGATATCGAGCCCAACAGATGACGATTGATGAATAGATGCCATATTAATATAATTATAAAATAATTAAAAACATTTCAAATAAAACAAGCTTTTTATTTTTAAGCGTATTTATTTTTACAGAAGAGTAAACGAAAGAAAAATAAAACGTAACCGAGGTAATGTAATTTAAAAAATTGTAAGTGAAATAAAATAAGCGAAGATTGTAAAATATTATGAGCCACTGAAGTAATTCTATCAGACTGTATTTTTGAAATTTTGCTGAATTTGATGCTTCTGCAGCGCACTGAGCGTTGCATATGCAAATGATTTTTTAGTAAATGTATAAATATTATATTGACGGAGATATAACCTTAAAAAAAATAAACGAGGTTTACATATGTATAAATGTATTTAAAACTTGTTGGCACTTTGACAATGATATAAAACGTAAAGCCAGATTATGATAATAACATGGTGATACGCGCACTTTTTCTTTGGGATTTTGTGAAGATCAGCCAGTTACTCGAGTAGACCGTATTAACCCAATCTTTCCTCTGAAACAGATTTTCATTATTTGAATGCTATTATGAGTCTGATATAATCTATACTTGATTTTAATTCACGTCCAAAACAATATCTCTCACTCAAGTGTTCTCATTGCATAAAAAGTTATCCCGGCGCCCTGACTACTTCTGATGTATGTCCGGAGCGTGCATATCTATATAGTAAGGCTTCTACTATCGGTTAAAAAATTATAGGACTCTTACTTTCCGAGCGTGTAGCTCTGCGAAAACAAATCGCACAATGATATAGAAAAAATAGCGTTAAAGCTTTTTGTTTTACGCATCAATTAGTTTGTCGGCGGTCGATCTAGTTTAATTAGTAAAATTGTAATAGCGATAACAAGGAAAAAAAACACGGAATTTTAAGCTACTTTTTACGAGGGCAGTAACCTGCCATTTTATTAAAAATGAATAGAACATCGCAAAATAAATTCAGCGTCTACTTCGAAGCTGCCTCAATGCAATTGCGGTAGGCTTTTGAAAAAAATTAATTAGTTTATTTATAAAGTGCATTCTTCAAAAAAAAAATTATCTCTTTAATGACTTATTCGATTGACGTCGGACTTGGTGCAAATTATTAAGTAATGATTAAACATCATAATTTTCAATGATTTTCTGAATACATTTTTTAAACTTTTAAATGCTAAATTGTTAAAGTTTGTAAATAATTTTAATAGAAGCCGTGTTTTGTAAGTTTCAGGTGTTATAATATAAATAAAAAATAAGTTGGAGAGCAACGTGATACCAACAGTAACTTATTTCTTTCGGTAGCAATCATTCGAAATATTTTTTTTGAAGAAATAGTATAATTTGAATGCAATTAAGTCTACGACATTAACAAAATTGTAATTTTTCGTTAAGCAAATCATTGACATACATATAATTTTTTCTTTTTAATTAGGCTATCAAATACGATAATAATATTTTTGTCTTCAATTCAATTCAATTCAATTCAATTTCAATCCCAAGATACAGCAAAATTAGTACGAGAGTGGAATGCGGCTACATCGACAACGCTTAGAGCGGCGCACGGCTCTCCGATGGCTTTACTTAATTCATCATATTACTGGCTCTGAATAATATTTTCATAATTTTATAATATGTACAAATTCTTGGTAAAATTCGAAATGGTCCTATGTTTTAAAGGCTCGGAAATTTTCAATGTGAAAAACGATTTTGCGGCGTACACAAATGCGTTCTTTGTCATTGCATTATTTTCTATTTATTTATGCTATTTTTAACTGTGATTTGTAATTTATATTATAATATTGTTAAGACAATTTGATTAATAAAATATTGCAAGTTGTTATTAGCGCTTATTAACGTTTCTAAGCATGTATATAATTCCCACGTATGCCGTTCTTTAAAAAAAAATTGGTTCGGATATATTTTTGCTTTATTCTCTAAAAACCTTAAAAGTTTTTGATACTGAAAATATCGATGTGACAAACCCAAACCCAAACCAACTTAAACTGCTAAGTATTGCTGAAAGTGTCGTTGAAAAAGGCTTGACTGTCCGTTGAGTCGATTGTTACATAACGGTCCACCACCGCTGATCTCGTCGACGCAAAAAAATCGACCTCCGGAGTGCCCCACTATTTAAAAGTCTTTGTACTTGCTTCGGATAACAGACGCCGTTCGGACAACAGCTTTTTTCTGGATAGGCGATCCGCGATGCCGTTGTACCTCCCCGGTAGATAAACTTCCATAGTAACGTGTAGAAAATCGACTATTTCGAAAAAACAATAGGTCTAAGTTCAGAAGATGTATTAAACGAGTGCCACCCTCCTTGTTGATGCACGCAGTGAGAGTTCGGTTGTCTGATTAAACGAGGACATGTGCGTACTGGAAATTGCGCGAAAATCCTCGAATAGCTACATAAACTTCAAACAATTCTTTCATGATCGAATGCCAAGATATCTATGTTGTCCATGAGCCCGATAGCTAGTTGTTGTTTAAATGAACTCATGTGAAGTTGAACTGTGGAAAATACAGTATTTTTCCACCAACAGAACTTGATCATTATAGGAGATGGGACAGCGCATAAAATTGAGATCGTCCAATAAACTTTGAAGTGTTTCAAGAGTACAGCTCTTTTCTCAAGCCATTCATCTAGAAAATTTGAAGACCTCGGGGACTTGGGCAGTTAATTTAGCTTTGTTCTGAAGGGCCAAAAGAAAGACGTCCAAGTACAGAATCACTCACTTTGCGAACGATAGATCTTTGCGATCTAATACGTTATCATCGCAAACATGTAAGGTGCAGATGAGAGGTTGAAGGGCAAGCTTGTCATCTCAAGTAATTCATTTTTGTAGATGAGACAAAGAAGGTTGCAATGAGATTCCGTTATTGGAACATGAAAATATGCCTGGCTGAAATCTATTTTTACCGTCCAGTCGTTGTCTTGCAAAAATCTTGCCATTTAGAAGAGCTAAATAAGACTGAATTGTTGCCTGAACATGATCGTCCAAACCTCTCAAATCGGAAATTGGACGACTTTAGTTGGAAGTTAAAATGTAATGGTTCACATTTTACTTAAGGACGTTCTCTTATGTCAGCCATGCTAGAAAGTATTTATTTTTATGAAAATATTCTATTACTAACATTGTCTATCAGAAATCTATCAAAAACCTTTAGAAGATTACACATACTTATTAGAATACGATGAAACTACATGGAAATAGTGAAAAAGCAAAATAATAGTACATTACGATACAAGTGCGGGATAGATTCTTGTCTCGTGTGGCGTTTACGCCCGAGCGAAAAAAAAATTTACATTATAATCAGATGGAATCTACCGCGAAAATTATTTAAACATATCTAATATGTGTTAAAAAAGCAAACTTTGAAGATGAAGATCTCAATTTTGAATACCATTACCGATACTCAATTTGTGATTAATTTTATTCCGCTGTATAACAAAATAAAATTATTTTTAGAAGTTCAAGAAAATCTAAGGAATAGTAATTTTCAAAAGAATATCCTTAATTGTCTTGTAAATCATAGTAATTAAAAATGCTTATATTATTAATTTATAATTTATTTGTATAGAAAAAGTAAGCATTTAGGGTGCGCTTTACTCAATATAAAATAAAGATGAATTTTGTAAAATAAAGAAATTTTTCCATGAAAATTCAACTGCTTTACCTAAATAACACATAAAACCTATATTTTGACGCATTAAAAAGATATTTTATACGCTAAATTGTACACAATTAAACAATGTTAACAATGACTAGAAAGCACGAAGTTGGTAAACGTAGGCTGACATAAAAAATATTCTCTTTCACTTTTTTATCGAACTTGTACCATACATTATTGTATAAATGGCATTATAAAAGATTTCCCAATAAATATTTTCATAACATTGTAAAAAAAACGTAAAATAAGGAAACAAAATGAGTCGATACCTTTGTCAACGACAAACGCCTGAAAAATTAGTTAATGGGTTGAAAGACTTTGAATCTCAATTATAATCATAATTCATCTAAATCGTATGCGCGTTGCTTAGCTTGTTTATACATTCTTTTGTAAAATTTTCCTAAATTTTTATAAAATCCCCTTCTTGTCTGACTATTGTGAAGATTATTACAAGATGAAATGTGATCCAATTCTCTAAAAAATAAATCGATTATGAATACATTGAATCTATGAAATTTTGTTTATAAAAACAAAAGTATAGAACAATACCTTTCTTTACATCTGGCATAATTTAATCTCTCTTTTGTTCTTTCTAATTGTTTCATTTTTGCGCGTAAACTGTAAATAAAATTTTCCAATTTTAAGATAAGTTAGCAAGTACAAATTAATTAATAAATTAATTTTTTTATATTTATAAGCAATTACTTACATTGACGTAGTTGGGTCGTCTTTTAGAGATGGTGCACTGGTTGACTTACAAATTAAATCACTATTCAATTTTTCTAAACAAGAATGTTTTGAAGACTTCTCTTCAGTTTGTACTTGCTCTGAGGCACAATCCATTTTTTTATTATTTTTTAAATCAATGGAGTTTATTGCACTTGACAACCTTGAAACTTTGTGTTTGTAATCATCATGAATATTTGAATCTTTATTATATAAGAGTTTTGTTCTATTATCTGAACATTCACTATCTAAACTAAGATATTTTTTTCTATCATAACATTTTTCTAAGTTGTTGGATTCTGATTTATGACTCGGAAAATAACATTTGTACTTAAGGCAAATAGGACAGCTATCAAATATATGAGCATCATTGCAGATACTAAAATTTTCACAACTTTTTCTTGAAGCAACTGATGAACATTCACATGTTGATTTTTTATGTGACTTTGATAAGTAGCAATTGTCTCTATGCAATAATGTATGCTTGTCAGAGCAATCACAGTTATGAAGAACTTCAACATTATTTGGTCGACGTCGACAACTAAAACAAGTTTATACTTGAAATAAAACTATTTCAGTTGATTTAAAAATTTATCTAGCTCAAATTACCTTCGACATATGTAAGAGTTTGATTTTCTCTGTCTTGAATGACATACTTTTTTTTGTCTTATAACAGGTTTGCTTGCTAATAAATCTTTTTTTTTATGACTGCATGGTTGATTCTAAAGTATTAATCATATATTAATTTAAAAATATTTCATAAATATCTAACAAACTCTTTAAAACTGCTTACCAATGTTGTTATATTTTTAGGATTGATTAAACGAGCTTTTGTTGGACAAATATCAAAATCAATCACCTCTTCTATAGTTGTTCTTGTTGATACCTCAATTTTTGGAGATAAAATACCCTATTTAAAAGCAAAAGTTAGTAAAAGGTCATTTTAGTAAGATATAAAATGCATTTTCATACTGGGAAACACTTTGCTGGTTCCATGAGTAAATCAACATCAACTCCTGCCAATAAGCCTTTGTAACAAGGAACAGGATATAACAATTCCACCAAATTGGTTTCAAATACAGCTAATGTTACATTCCTGTTTGCTGTGGAAGACCACTGAATCAATTCAGCAAAGATATATTCTGTAGACAACTTTTTTTCTAGTTCCACAAGTGTTGTTACTCCAATAAATATTTTTTTAAATGTAAATTTATTATGGTATAGAAGAGGAAATATTGGTGTCAAGCGATGCGTGGAGACACAGGAATTAAAAATACTGATCTTTAATGCAACTTTACCACTAGGACAAAGCCAAACACCTGGGCAGGTGACCTGAAAAAACAAGTAATTAGAATCAAGATATAAAACGCATCTAATTTATTTTGAGCAGAAGTAATAAAAATAAAAAAAACTTACAGCATGTAGATCCAAGTCTACTTTCACAGAAAATGCTCTTCCAACCATACTTCGCAAATTTAATAAAAATCTATAGTAGAAAACACTATTATATTTTACTTCACTTTACGAAAACATTGCTATGTCACTGTTTAATTTTAATATGGATCAAAAATATATAAATTGATCCATGGCCTGGAACTTAAAAAAAATTATTTTTGACAAGTTTTTGGTGTATTCTATATTTAACCTACGTCATCATAATGGTAGAAAGTTGTTTGTGTTTCCAGTTGCTAGGCAACCGAAGCTTAGTCATGCATACATGTAGGAGTTGCTTTCCAAATCAACAACGAAATCAGTTGATTCATAACAGACAATTTTGATGAAATTCAGATCTTCAGAAAATAGTGAACTGATTCATTAGTTTATATTTGATTCATGATCATATTTTATATTTTATTCACAAATTTAGATGAATGAAAATACATTATCTGTCTATATAAATAAATTTAAAGACGAAATGGCACGCCTTCGAACTTGTTTTCAGGCAACGTTTTTTGCATCTCTCGTATGTAAATCTCTTGTTTTATGAAATCACATTGTGTGATAGGAAAGTAAAGTCTTTTGTCCATGGAACGAGCAATCAAGGGTTCGTTGAACCAACCGTATCTATTTCATATTAAAAAATCAATGGAACAGTCCGCAATCGGTTTTATTACACTTCTCAAATGTCAACATTTGGGAATTGAAGGCTATATTTACTGCATATTAACACAAGGCGGCGGAAATTGATAGTGATCTTTCGGAATAGACGAGGCACTACGCTTGACGAGATTGACGTAATCAACAGGTGGGTCATCATCAGATGAAAGGGCTTCGTGTTTCGCGTAAAATTTTCCTGATATGGGGTTCAGTCCTGGTAAAGCAATAAATTCTTCTTGAAGTTTTAAATTGCTATTTTCCTTCTCATACTTTTCAGTTAAAAATTTTAGTTTCTTCGGATTTAACATGATTAATTGTTAAAAATTTTACAGCAATTTTACGAAATCAAGTTGTCAACTTTTGCAAATGTTGAAACAACGTTGCCGCTGGAAAATGTTTTTTCAGGGTCCCTAACAATTATCTGATTTAACATAATGTAATAATTTCTAGGAGCTAGGGATCCTGAGAAAAATTTTTCGAGCGGCAAAGCTGTGTTGAGAAAAAACACAAAAATGTTGGTAACATTGGCAAAATAAAAGCGAATACGAATTCGACACCAAGGTGGTCTATAGCTCGCGCCGCTAACGTTTCTTTGCTCTGTGTCGAGCTTTTGCGGTTTTGTTTTTTTTTCTAAATCAAAGAATTTAGTGTAGTTTTACTTCATTGATTTAGATTATAGATAGTAATTATCACAAAAATAATCAGTAGGTATCCAGCACCCTTTAGCTATCTAGAATAGAAATGGAGTGGATGCGCTGTAATTCCTGTTGGCTTAAAGTTGAAGAAAAACAATCTTTATTTCATTTGACACAATGTGGTCACGTGTATTGTGATAAATGTATTATGAAAGGTGCTGTTAATTTTGTAATATTATTTACGGATAAACAGTGTAAATTTTATAATCATCTTTTTGAATATTACAGCTGAAGAAAAATGTTTCCAATGTGGTTCAGTGGGTAAAATCTCATTACCTTTGAATGAACCTTTAAGTCCCCAAATAGCTCATTATTTTACAAGACCAACAGATTTGCTGGAAAAAGTCATACAAGCTGAGCAATTTCAAGAATCACAATTGGCACTTTGTTTAAAACGAGCTGATGCAAGTGTAAGCTATCAAATTTTCTCTTAATTTATATAAATTATGTAGATCCTTATTTCTAATAATTTCTATCCACTAGGATACAAAGTATCAATCGTTAAAAGAAGCTTATTGGGTAAGTGCTGAAAACCTTAAAAAGGTTGTACAAAAATACAATAAATTAAAAATGACTATCAACTTAATGGAAAAAGAAAAGCATAAATCTGTACCTAATGGAATGTACGCTCCGTAAGTGTTTTGACTGATATAATTTATGGATTTATTTTAAATCAACGTACTTATTTGAATAAATTTTATGTATCCAAACAGGTCGAGTTTTCGGACACCACCAAATCAAGCGAATAATCCAAAGTGCAGTCAACACCGATATTGTACTGATAAGATTACAGATTCGGCTCAAAGAAAAAATGAAGTTTTCCGTGTTCCATCAGTTTCAAGAGCACCAAGGTCAGTTGGATACTTTACTGCTTCTTCTACAAGTACAAACTCATCAAATTATAGAATGGCAGCTACTCCACAATCAAACTATTCACATTATTAAAATTAACAAATTCTACAAAATCTAGTAAATTCTCATAATTATTAAATAGAATTGTTGATTATTCAATCAAAGATGATCATAATTGAATCTTTTAATTTTTTTTGGCAATTATCAAGTTTCATTATTAGACTAATAGCAATTAGTAAGAAAGAGCAATTAAGTATCTTATGAGTAAGTAATTTATAGATATTTTTTATGTAAATTTTTAGAGATTCAACTTCATTAAAATAACATGAAAAAATATGTCAACCTTCATTTTTTAGTAGTTAATTAGGCAGTAGATATAACAGTATAATTATTTTTAGAAATATTTATTTTAAAATTTGTATATCAATAGAAAACACAGTACTTAACATGCGGAAGATCACTTAAATATTAACAAGAATTAGAACAGTAAATAAACTTTTACTTCCAATTCTATTTTTCACAAAAGCGTGTAACTACAAGGCAATACCCATAACAGGAACTGGAAGTATTTTTTCTTTTTCTAAAAATTTTGTAGAATAAACCATTTGAACTTGTATTAAGAAGCTCTTAATATAGCTCAGAAATGTATTATTTATCAATAATAAATTGACTACCAAGTTTATTATATTTCTATAATTTCTGGAGCCAAAAAACCTTTCATTACAAATTTTGAATTTTCTTTAATATTAGAAATACGTAAGCCTATATTTTATAAATATTGTTCTACATGCCAGAATCTTGTTATATATTCACAAATAGAATAAAATTGAATAGGCCTTTGCATTTATACAAAAACTAAGTGTGGCAGTTGGTACCATAAAAAAAATCAAGCAAATAAGACATATTTGAAACACAGTAATGAAGTAAATTGCTTTAAAAAAATCGTTCGAATAAAACATGAAGAACACTCAAAAGATCTGGCAATAGCTTTCATTCATACTATCTTCATATATATTTTTACAAAGTTTCATTTACATTGTCCTCACAGTTATTACAAATCTTATTAAACATTTCGTTGTGTATATGCTCCGTTTCGTCGATATTATAAAAACCCTATATATTATATACTTATGATCCGTTAAATTGTCTACTGCTCGCTGAATTGCTTATAATTCTTATACAGCTCTTTGGCACCTATTGACTTTGTGTTAAAAAATATGATTGTTCCATTTGTAAGTACACCGTTATTTTGATTGGATTATTGTACCACGGCGTCGTACGAATATTAATCTCTGAGAGTGACTAGTCGGATTAAGAACTGCAGTACAATAATCTATGTGACTGTGGTACACTTTTATAGAAATTTCCTAGCTTAAGATAGTTCAAAAGATGATTTAAACGCATATCACTGGGCAGTGGACGTTGTTGCTCGAAGATCCAAAGACGTCGATAGATCATCGGGTTCACTGATGCATTGACTAACTTTCCTGAAATAATTAAATATAAAAAAATAATTGTACAAATTGAATGAAAAAGCGGTACATTGGATGAATATTATACCTAACACGACTTTCAGCTTGCAAGCCATCGATGAGATCAGGTCTTGTCGCTTGACTCTTCCATTTCTCGGCGCTGAACTGCGATAAGTCGATGCTGCCATTATAATAACCATTCTCGTACTTGCCAGTGGTATAGTGCTCATGCGGAAGCGGCGAAAACCTGCGTCCACCGAGGTAATCGGTATTGTTTGGCGCTAAAAGCTCCTCGAAGTACTCGACAGTCTTTGGTCCCGACATGCTGGAGCCGAATCTTCTCGGAAGTGTGCTGCTGATTGTCCTAGGTTCCAGCCGAGCATCGCTCAGCGATGAGTTTTTGTAAGGTACCAAATCGCTGTTGGTGCTGAACTCAGTACTGTGATACTTTCGGCGAGCGGGACTCGAGTCAAACGTGGGCGACAGATACTTCCGGAGTGGATCGTACGAGGGCGAGGAAATTTGACTGTACGATTGACTGGGTGACTTGTGCTCGTTCGAGTACGAAGATACAGTACTGCCGCCGTCGGAGTACCTGTCCCTCTCGATTGGCGACTTGTGATGACTCATGGCTGGTAAGTCAATCGGTGACTTTCGATGAATTATCGGTGGTAGCTCGATGGGAGACTTTCGATGACTCATCGGTGTTAACTCAATTGGCGACTTTCGATGACTTATCGGCGGTAGTTCGTCATTATACAAGCTATACGACTTCTTTTCTGAATTTCTCCTTTCTGCTAGCGTAAAGTTATTCGACTTAGACTTATTACTGCTCTGTTCCTGTTTTGTCCCAGATTCCCTTGGATTTTGGAAGCTAAATTTTCTCGGCAGTGTCAAACTTGACGATATGTTAACACCGGCCGGCGATGCGTTTAGAGAAGTTTTTCGCTTTCTGTCATTGAACCTGCAGTAAAAGCTCTTGCGTCGAATGCGCTCGAGAACTGATTCATTGGTAGGACTGGGTTCGGCTGAATCTCGACGGTATAATGACGAGTAAGAAGGCGACGTTGGCGAGTGCAGATCGTTTCTCGTGTGATTTATGTCGGCTGAACAGATCGACCATGAGTCAAAGCTTTCGGTATCTTCTGTAGGAGATAACAGGTCGTCAGTGCTCGCGAGATCTTTAGAAGATGGTGCATCTTTCATGTCTTCTACATTGTTCTTGTCCTCTTTCAAACTTTCCGCTGGCTCGGTCTCTTTGGGAATTTCACTTGGGGAGCTTTTGGGTATTTCTACGTGGTTTTCTTCATATAATTTCATTTCCGAATCGCTGGTGTGACTTTCGATTTTTAAATCCGCAATATCTCTTTGTCGAAGTGGTTTGTCAATAACAATCTTGTTTCTGGCGATCGTCGCCCGATGGGTCATCTTCGATAGATTGTCCGACAATTTACTTGAAGTATCGTCCGATTGACTTCTCCATACTAGTTTCGGTATTTCTCCTCCTATTTCGCTTTTCGGTGTTTCGCTCTTTGGCGATTCTCTTCTAGGTGGCGTTATGTTTCGGAAGGTATGTTGTGGAATCCGCGAAAGCTCGAGTTTCAATTTTTCTCTGTTTGGTTTTTGATCTATAACTATTTTCGCGGGGGCAATATTATTGAGTAACTTGGACGTTTTTGGCTCAGAATTTTCAGCTTCCATGTCTTTGCATTTATCAGTGCTCTTATTAGTGTGGCTTTCGACAAAGTCTTTTTCAACTTTCGATTCAGGAACCATCTCGTTTTGAACAGCAGCTTGACGATCAGGACCGTTTTTCTGGAGATTATTCGCTGATATAATCGTCTCTGGAGTTTTATCTTTTTTTGCGACAACTGTCTTCTTAACCACAGTCTTTGCAAGCTTCTCTTTATCATCCGACTTGCTGTCCGACGTATCGGACGACTTCTTAACAACTTTCCTAACGACTCTTACTATCTTCTTCTTCTTCGTATTATCCGATCCATCTTTCTCCTTGTCCTTGCCAATAGCCTCTTTAGTCTTGACGACTTTCTTAACTTTCTTTCCCGTTTCGACTTTATCAGACTTCGAGCTATTCTCTGACGAAGTTGTCGTCGAGGTGACAATCTTCTTCTTGAGCTTAGATCCATTGTCTCCATTCGTTTCCTCGCTTTGCTTGTTGTCGATGATCCTCTCTGGCGATTTAGCCTTCTCCGGCGAACTGTTTTTTTTGACAAAGCTTTTTTCCGGCGACTTCTCTGTCTTACCTTTAAGCAGTTTCTCAGGACTCTTCTTCAGCGATTTGGACAATCTTTCCATTGTGGGTTTCTTCGTCTCGGGACTGACTCTCTTTGGCGGAGTGGTTTCTTTGTCTTTCGATGGCGATCGTTTGAAGCCAAGCGTTGACTTTTCCGGTGATTTCTTGGCCTCGGCGATTTTCTTACTAGCAAACTTGGTGGGAATTTTACTGGTAGCAGTGCCATTTGCATCGGGACTCAAAACTGTGTCCGATCGCGAGCCCTTGTAAGCATTCTTTCTGAGTCTACTCAAAATCGTTTGTCCTTGGCTGCGTGGTGTTCCGCTTTGTTCGTTATTCTTGAAGAGGCCTAGGACCGAGTTGACTTTGCTCTTTGGAAGTGGCGCGGACGCGCTGCTACTCGTTGATAGATCTTCCACGCTCGTAGTTTTCTTTGTCGATTCTGTAGGTTCGACTGGCGACCTCGAATTCTCGGCTGGTTGCACAGAATTTTCTCTGTCTTTGACCACCTGGACATTACTCTCCACATTATGCTTGGTCTGGGCTTTATTATCTAGTGCAATCGGCGGCTTAGCGCTGTTTGCTTTGAACGCAGAATCGTCGCCGGATCTGAACTTTTCAAGCTTTCTCTCGAGAGTCTGCAAGAAGCTGCTCTTGATACTGGGCTTCTCGTGCGAAGTCTCGTCCGGCTCCTTGCTCGACGTCTCAGCTTTACCTTTCGTGAGCAAATTCACTTCGTTCTTCAATTGCTTTTCCAACTGTTCATCTTCAATCGATTTATCCTCGGAAGGCTTACCAGCCAATTGAGCTTTCCTCCTCATAAACCTCGATTTGCGTCGCTCGTTTTCCGCGGCTTTCTGCGCTTCCTTCTCCTTTACGTACTGGCTTTCCTCGCGTGGCGTATCGAAGAAGTCAGGCCTCAAGAACCTGGAAATTCTACGTGGTTTGGGCTTTTCGCTCTTGTCCTTGTCCTTATCTTTGTCCTTGATTTCGACGTCTCGGCTGCTGCTACTGCGGAAGAACTTGCTCAATAAGGAGCGTTCGGGCGTGAGTGCATGCATGCTCAAAGTGTCCTCGGGTTTGCTGCTCCTTTCACGACTGAGCGAGCTATCACGAGTGAGTGATCCCGAGCGAAAGCGAAGACTCGGAATGCAGCTGCGACGCTTGGCAATTGCAGCACTGGCGGTGTCAGAGATGGCACTTAACGACTCCTTGTCGCACTTGTCCAGATCCTTGTAGTTCGAGCTGAGATTGGGATTGTACTTGGAAAGGCCGAGATTCTTCATCTTCGACTCTTTTATCAGATTCTCAACGGCCAATAATCGATTGTGCAGATCCTTGGTGGAGGCACTCTTGTAAGACGAGCTGTAGTCCAAAACGTTGGAGGTGGATTCAGTTGGTGAAGTTTCGCCTGAAATGGCCGATCGACTGGAAGTCGTCTCGAAACAATTGGACACTGAAAACGACGGTGCCTCAGACAGCGAGGTGTCGTCGAAGTCATCGTTCTTCACGATCCTAGGTATTTGATGCTGAACAGGTTGGATCACCTCGTCGGGCTGTTCCTCTTGTATTTTCTCGACGACGATCGGGGCAACGGTGGTGGTGAGCTTGCGACGAGGCAAAGGTGGCAGATATTTATCCTCATCGTCGAACAAACTAATACTCCTTCTTGGCGATCGCCTCTCGTGTCCAGAGCCTGTCTCGAGCAAACTGTTGGCTCGGCGCATACCTACGTAAGCGCGGTCGTGCGAGCGACTACGGTAGCGTTCTAGTGCGTCGTCGTTTACTCGGAAAGCTCGTTCGCGTGGTAGTGAAGGCGAACGTGGTAGGGTTTGACGAGTTTGCTCGATGAACTGACGACTCAGCCGACGTGCGAGTGTTTGGTCGAGAGATTCCGGACTCTTTGGATCATTTAGCGGTGGTATGGACGATGGCGATAAAGATGTTGTTGATGGCATTGACGTTGGCTCCGAACTTCGTTGATGGGATTTCACTGCAAAAAATGTGAAAGCAAAAGCTCGCTTGCTTACCTCTGTTAGGGCAGTTTCGGTTGGTGGTGCCTCTATGTTTGCTTCGTGCAGAAATATGGTGGATTTTACTATTTTCATTGGCAATAATTGTAATGCTTTTGGACTCAGTGACAATATTTTTTTCAAGTGGTGAAAGTGGTTGAAGATAACATACATACCTTTATTAATTATAAAGGTAATATTAATATTAATATACCTTATATTAACATTAATATACATACCTTTGTCAATTAATGGTTAAAGTCAACAAAATCAGAATTAGATATTGGTGTGCATGATAAATAAACATTCAATCTACATTATATACATTTCAATATTACTATTGACTGTCTAAGATGTTTCAAAAAGTTTTCATTTGAAAGCATTACAATCATTTCTAAAAATAATCTAATTCGACTAATCTAACAATTTTACCGAAATCATTGATCATAGACAGAGGTACAATAAAACTGAATCTTTCGTTTTTTCAATATGTACATTTCTTTATTTCTACATACAGATATTGTTTTTATAAAATTCGTCGAAAAAGTAATAATAAATAAAGACTGTTATTTGCAAATTACTCGATAGCTAATCTTTCTCTCTATATATTTTTATTTTCTTATAAATTATTGACTTATAGCAGATATATCGCGATGTAAAAAATTATATGTTATCATTGTAAGCTGCATACTTCCTTTTGACTGCTGTGTGACTTAGATTTATACGGTAGACCGTTATATTCTACCACAAATGAAAAGTTTATAAAAACTACGAATGAATGAAAATAAAACGGAAAAAAGTAATTTTTTTTATTGATGAAATATTAGAAGATCAACATTTCGTAAATCGAAATTATACGTACACCTCTACGAAACTTTGTAGCAGTCGTAATAAGAGTATTATTGTTATAAAAAGATTATTGAAAATATAGTTAGAAGAAAAATTGAAGTTATGGTAATTTGATAATTTATAGGATTGGATTCACATAAAACAGGTGACAAACAGGCGCTTAGAGGTAACATAGGTTTACGTTTCAAAAGAAAATATCCATCAAACCAAAGTCAAATCAGCGCGATGAAAAAGCTACACATTTTAAAAGCTCAGAACTATTGAGCTTGAACAATTCTTTGATCCATGTTTCGATCGAATCAATTAAAAAGTACAGTATCAAATTGCATTGACACAATATCACTCGGAACGTGCTACATCATTACGGAGAGGTAACTGTGTAAGTTCACGGAAAGAAAGAAAACTATGTGATTAGGAAAAAGGAATGCTCATTCAATGAGACCTGTCGATCCATCAAAAAAAAAAAAGAAAACTATGCTTGCCTCTTTCAATAAAAATATAGTATGAAATAAAAATCATGCCTATTGATTTGCTATTCATTGAATTACCGGCATGTTTTATATTAATTCAGGTCAATCAAAATGAGTAAACCTTTATTCCTATCTAATTGTACTCTGCGCAATGTACATCCATTACGATACAATGGACAGAGCAGCATATACATGTTATAAGTCGCAACATGCTATTTAAGGCAAATATGAAATAATAAAACGCTGTTATTTATAAACTCTTGAAAACATAACAAATCGCAGCCACCATTATAAAAGTGTTAGTTCTTGCTGGCGTTAAGATTATGAAACATTTCTTCATTCTCCTCTCAACATTGTCATATACAAAAATTTATCGTGTTCTTTATACATATACGTATACATGTACATATATATATATATATATATATATATATATATATATATATATATATATATATATATAGATTATTGAAAATATAGTTAGAAGAAAAATTGAAGTTATATATATATATATATATATATATATATATATATATAATTGCTTCTGTGGTAACGCAACAATCATCCTAAGTGTAAATTGGCTTGTACTTTTTTTTGTTATTTTCTAATTTTCTTGTTCATTAGAAAGGCTCAGTATGATTTATTCTACTCATGGTGATATAAGATTATCATTGCTTTATATGGCTGAAATCACACTATTTTTTTCTATCAAAGTAGTTGTCACTCACTAACAAGTCTACCATGACTGACGATATTCATATTCTATAGAATATCGCTATAGAATACATCATACTTCTAGAGAGCCAAAGTGTCATGTTCTGCGATATACATATGATAAAAAAAGAGAATTGATGCGCGATAGTAAAATGTGTCACCACAAGTGTTTCATGGCTCGTTGTAATAAGTATATTTATAAAAAAAAATTTTCTTTTCTCTGTGCTGTTTCAATATGGTATTGAGATATATATTGAGGTTGCGGTGTTGCTTCTTGAATAATAGTGCGCGAGTCAAGCATTTTCTCACACGTGACATCAGTTATAACAACCGAGATTAGTAAGAACTGCAATAATGTATGATAAAAACAAATTGGTTTGTTTTTTGTTTGCTACAATATTTTTTGTTATAATTTTATTGACTCCTTTAAGCTGTTGCTACTTATTTTTGTTTGTTTTATTGTTGAACGAAGAAACGCGACCACTGTATCGTGTTGTTGAGATTAGGCAGAGAGAGAGAGAGAAAGAAAGAGAGAGAGAGAGAGAGAGAGAGAGAGAGAGAGAGAGAGAAGAGAGAGAGAAGAGAGAGAGAGAAGAGAGAGAGAAGAGGAGAGAGAGAGAGAGAGAGAGAGAGAGAGAGAGAGAGAGAGAGAGGAGAGAGAGAGAGAGAGAGAGAGAGAGAGATAGAGTAAGTAAGTTGTATCTAACTTGATTTCACTATTGGGGATTACCGTCGGCCCGCCTACGAAGAGTGACTCGCACGGTCGCTGCAACAACCGTCATAAAAAAAGACCGTCAATACAAAAAAGAAAACGTATACCACAGAGAGCATTAGTGCAACTGACTTTTTTTACATAATACTCGTATTAGTCATTTTTAATCTCTTTCGAAATCACCACTAAACATAAACAGTTAAGCTCCCATTGTAAAATTTAGTCCGATGGTAATATTTACTTTATTGAGTTGTTTAAATTGAGAATTTATTTGAAAAAAGTCAGTTGGCTACAGCAAAAGCTGCTTATTCTTTGATAACTGATTGAAGAGTCGACGATAGACTTGTAATAATTTAACACGTATTTCTGTTATACTTATCTCTTGGGTGACCAAAAACATAAATAAAAAATGTGCCTGAATAAATAGACGTGCAAGACTTTAGTTTATAGAGAACCGGAAGCCTGAAATTAACTAGAAGTATTAAAAATAGCGTTGCTATGAAAATTAGAAATATACTTTTAAACAAAGTTTTTCAAAGCAAAACATTTTTTGGTTACAATTATTTTTTGTTAAATAAAATTGATATTTACTCATTGTAAGTAATTTTATCACAAAAAAATAAAGCTAATCAAAATTAAGATTTTTCTTATTCGTAATGAATATTCTCAAAACTGACGTCCTGCACATAAGCGATAACATTTAATATTCGTTTTATATGCAAATGTAGTAGTATATGTCAAGTGTTGAAGTTGATGGTGTAGTTTCATGCTTCAGATATAGTTTTGAACACTCATAGTACGTAATATAAGGTGTCGCGCAAAACCAATTATGAGATGTAATGTTAATGGAGAAATTGATGATAGAAAAAAAAGTGACAAAATTCAGCAACAACAATTACAAATCTACTGCTCACTAAATAGGTTTCATGTTGGGCAAAGGCAAGCTTTTATCATGTTTTTATATATATTAATAAAAATGATTAATTAACAAAATCTACTGTTTTAGCTGCAGATATTTTATTGAAATTAATGTATATTATTATAATTTAATTAATTATAATATTTTAAGCTAACAATTTTGTAATTTAAATACTAGTAATTACAAAATTTTACTATGTAGGAAGGGAAAGTAAGTTACAAAATTTTATTACGTTAGTTACATTCAATGACGTACTCCGTAAATATTTCATAACCCTTTAATAATTAAAAATATAAAATAATGTAGGCGAAACATTCAATGCAATAAAGCTAAATAAGCTGCTTTTAAGAAGCAGTCATATCAAAACATTGTAAATAGACCTACGAAAAACGTTGGAATCATTGTGTGAATACAACAGAATTGCGATCTACCCACCTGTGCCAAACACAAACCGGACTACCTAAATTTACGTGTGTTAGTATTAAAAAAAAAGTAATTGCAAAAAACATCGTCAGGCAATCAAGTCAGAGAGAGAGGATATTACAATTGTTGAAAGACAAACAAAAATATGATAGGTAACTCAATTAAAAGAAAAAAAGTCAGCTAAACGAATAATAAGAAATATATATATTTTTTTATTTATGTGCTCTGTCTATCAACGACTCGACAATAGCTAGGTTTTAGAAGATGCAGACAGAACTCTGTATTCTGTTATATATATATGGTATAGTTTTTTTACATTGCTCGTGCACTGCCACTTGGCAAGAGTCAGTTATACACGTTACATTTTATACAATTTACAATATACAAAGTGAAATAGTTCGGTTATTCTTAGAAAAAGAAAAAGGATTTTCTCATGATACAATTTGAGACTTCTACTAAGAGGCGTGCCGTGAATATTAAATAATTTATATTTTTTCAAGCAAACAGATTGCTTCGAAGAGCATGAATTTCTATATAAAAGTATCCCCATTAACGCGCTGAAATGAAATAACTCGCTCGCTTTTACAAATTTAGAATTGTCGTTAATTAAACAAACGATCGCGTCTATAAATTAGAGCTCGTGATCAGTAGTCACGCAAGATGTAGAGACACTCCAAAGCAATCTGTTGCGTTCGGTAGAGCTGATTCAATCAAAAATAAAACTCACCTCTCGGCAAGGTATTGTTGCCCATTTCGAAGAGACTATCGCGTGAAGGCGTGCGTGCTCCGGAACTATTTTGTTGAGAACTCATTGATCCGCTCGAGTCCTTGCGACTGAAACGGTCGTTGTTCTCTCGGCTCATTGAGCGCCTAAATTGCGAGTCTGATATCCGTCTGTTCGATAATAACGTATTGGATAAATCACCTTTGTTGGCATTTGATATTTTTTTCTTATACATCATAATTATTGTGTGATATTTCATTAACAAATGCAATTATGCAGTGATGGTTCAATAAAAAAATATGCAATTTTTATTGAAAATATAAGCATGTATTTGTTAGTTTTAAAAGGTTTACTTTTTAACAAACATCAGAAGTTTTATGTTATAGACTTTAGTTCTCTGTATCTGATCTAATACGCTTAGTAAGCCTTTTAGTAACATAGTGCTCAAAGGAATGTGCTTGCAAGCTCAATCTTGGCGAGAAAAAAAGGGGGTCGTGACAGCGCATGAACAAAGTGCGATCTAGCAGAGCGGCCTATGTGTGCGTGTGTGCGATTCGATTTAGAATGTATGGAATAGTGCTAGCTAACTGCAGATATTTCGAGCTGACTTATTTTTGCTATACTTGCTGATCGAGTTCTTCCTTTCTTTTCAATCTAACAACTTTAGCGGGCATATACAACGACTTCTGTTTGTGCATAGAAAAGCTTACAATGATGCAATTGAATTTATGCACATAACAACATATGTAGCAAAAATATTTATAATAAATGAAAAAGCTATTATTAACTTTGAAATATGTGAGATGTATGAAATAAGCATTCAGAACAATGACTTCTGTTAAAAAAACTCACTCTATTATAGTTTCACTGTGAAACTGGCTCTCGTAGCTTGCACACAAAAAATGCTCGTGTTAGTTTTTTTTTGTTTTTGATGCAATGATTGATCACTAAAAGATAAATTAATTTGCGACAGAATCATACATATTCATCCATCGCGAGTTTGATTCTAGGTTAATTTGGTATCTTATAAAATTAATATCCGAAAACCTGAATCATTAGTGTAATGTAATCGTAAATAAGATTTAATTACAGATACCTCGATAACGGCTCGTGCATGTTCCAGAAACTTTGAGGTGAATTCGATCCCATTCTACCAAGTAGCCTGCTATTCGGGAAGCCAGCGCCCCTATTATCATCTACATTAAGTCTTTGCGTCAAACTCCTCACTCGTGACAGAAGTGTAGAAAATAAATTCTCAGCTGTCAACAACTCGAAGCCGTCGTCATCGTCGTCTTCACCGGACGATAAACTGTCGGCGTGCTCAGGTGGCTGTCTTGATGGTCGCGAACTTCTCAGACGGTGCATATGTCTCTGAAGGAGATCGTCATTATCTCTGTAGAATAAAAAAAATATAGTTAATGAATGCATTATTTTAATATTTAAATTACCAATCGGCAGAGTGCATACCTGTGAAGCGAAGAGAACGGTGACTCGTCTTCGCTAGCATCCGATAGTAGTGATCCCATTCGTCTGGGTCTCACAAATCTTGACCTCGGAGGATTTATACTGGTGGGCGTACTGTTCTTGTTCTCAGGTTCGACGCTACCTGATCTCGGTGTGACATAACCACCGCCTTCGACGGCTATTGGTATAATATATTCCCTCGGACTTTTTCTAATAGGCTCTGGACCCATCGCGGATCCTAGCGCGCTGTCCGTATCAGAGTCATTGGTCGATTGTCTCGATAATGAACTCGAACGCTGGGACAAGGATCGCTGAGCTAATGGTGGCTTGGGTGGTGGTGTCGTCGAGTGTACAGTAGCTGTTTGTGGAATCGGCTCGACTTGGATCGGTATAATGCGTTCTTTGAAGGAATTGTTACGACTACTTTCGGGTTCGAGACTGGAGCTTCGATGAGTTTGTGGTACAACAGCCGCCACGGGAAAGGCCACTTCAGAGCGTTGGGTGCGTAATTTTTGCGGCTCGAACGCATCAATCTTGGCTTCGACCTCAGAGCGAAAGCCGCCATCTACTGGTCGCACGTTCGACAGGGTTATTTCGGCTTTGCTTGTCTTGCGTGGCCGCGGCAACGTCGCACTCTTCAGCGTGATTTCCAACTTGCTGCATTTCTTTGGTTCATCAATTATGGGATTAAAAGCGTCATGGTTTGTTACTTCTGAGCTTACTGATACCTGTGAAAATAGACATTGTGATCAATTTTCGGTTGTTCCGCTACGATGAACAGTGATAAAACTATAACTCGATACTTACGGCTTTAGCTTGCAACTCTGGTTTTGTTGCTTCGAACTCAAATTTAGTTTCCGTCGGCGTTGTCACGGTTACCGTGGCATTCCTCAAGTCATTCGGGCCAAGAGGTATCTTAAGTCCAAGTTGTTTCTTGGGATCGATACTTTGTGGCGATACTGGTGGTGATCCGCTCATTCTTCTCTGCATAGGTGGTTTGCCAAGAGCTCCTGTGATTATATCCACAGCGCGCTTTTTCTCTTCTTCGCGTTTCTTATCTCGCTCTTTGTCAGGTTCTGAAGTATCTTTTTTCTCATTTTCTGGTTTTTTCTCGAAACTTGGCACGTCAATAATAACTTTGGATACCGGAGGAGATTTAATAATTTGAGGTACCGAAGTCGCCGAGGACAAACTAGCTTTTCTTTCAAAAGCAGCTTTTGCACCACCAACGTTTACACCAGGGATAAAGATCTTTTTAGGTTTCTCGGGTTCGGTAGTCGTTGGTGACAATAATTGATTGAATTTCTCGGCAGTCTCGAAAATTTTTGATCTTCGGCGTTCGGTCGATACTTTGGGTATCGCTTCGGCTGAGATTATTTCCGAGTCGAGGGAGAGAGCTTTATTCCTTAGTTTTTTCGTTTCTTTAGGTTGTACTTGTGTTATGTCTTCTACTTTTGGTTCAGGAATTTGCTTTGCTGAGCTCTTCTGCTTTGGCACATCAGACTTTGTTTCCTCGACGATTAGAGCTTGCGCTTCTGGTTTACCTTCGATTTCGTTGATCTTTTCAATAAACGGCGATGATACGACTTCGTTTGACTTCTCTGCGACGCTTTCGTTTTTATTATTTGCAATCACTGTGTCCTCGGTTGTCATACTTTGATGTGGCTGTGAAATAACGGTTTTACTTTGTTCTTTGCATGGTACTTTCTTCCTTAACGCCTCCTGTTCTTCCTCTTCTTTTACTTCTAGACAAGACGCAGAGTCTTCTACTTTTTTTATATCGACAGTCTTACTTGTAGGAACTGATACGATCACAGCAGGATCTACTTCCATTGCCTCCTCGAGTATAGAGTTCGGCAGCGGCGCAGAATGATGCCTAAAAATAATAACATATATTTGAATATTTGCAAATACAATCCAATTAACAGTCTCGTGAAAAGTATCGCAACGACTAATCAATGCTAAAAAGCAATACTTTTAAATCGTGTGTTAATATAAAAATAACTGCTCTAATGTCATTACTAAGTATCTACTTAAATGTTAACTGAAAGTTAAAATAGAAATTCATTGTTGGTTAAAGTTTACAAACTGTATAAAAAAAAACTCACTTAGAGGCAGATCTGTATGCTCTGGGATCTCTATCATCAGTTCCCTCTTTTCTCCTGGTACGCTCCTTCTTTTTAGCACCCGCCGCATTCGTCTCATCCATAGACGGCGTTGTCTCAAGCTTCCTCTTGGCTTCGCTTCCACTCGGTGGAGGAATCAGTGCAGCAGCGACAGCAACAGCCTCTTCTTCGATCATCTCTCTAATTCGTCTGTCATTCTGTTCGAGTTCCATAAGACTACCGACCGACTGTGATCTTGTCGGTACAAGCGTCTCACTGGAAAGGCTATTGGTGATGTCAGAGGGTGCTGGTTGAGATGATTGATCACCTACCACCAGTTTTTCTGCACTCGCCGATGGAGGTACGAGAGAAAGTAATAGATCAAGACGCACAGGAGTTTCAGCCGCGAGATCTTCTGCTATGTCGAGACAATTCTGCTCGTAGCCCTCGTTTACCCACCAGTGCGTGCAGATCTTCTCGATGTCCGCTCGCCGTCTCGGGCATACCGTCAGGATTTCTTTTATAAGCGGTGATGCGGCTGTAAAAGTGAGTAAATTGTTAAACATAATTTTTATAATATTGAGCTCAAAGTAAAAGAAATTCATTTGTTAATTCGTAAACATTATTTTTCCAGCTGAAAATTTCAAATTAGTCATCGTGCGACATCTCGGTTTTTTTTTCATTCGAATGCATGACGCATCTCAGTTCCTTTTTTATAGATTTTACGAATTTACTTAAATGGATATAAATTTAACACAGTTACTCACGTGTTTTTAAAACAAAAATTAATAGTGTAAAATAGACTTAGCCTACAGAACTCACGCGACTTTTTCTTAGGTTCGAAATAGTCCGACGAGGATATCTGTTTGACTAGTCTTTTGAAATTGGATCCATCGAAGGGCATGGCACCATAGACAAGAGTATAAAGCAATACACCAAGACTCCAGCAATCCACCTCAGGTCCATGATACGGAGTACCTTTAACGATCTCCGGACTGGCGTAAAGTGGACTACCGCAGAATGTGCTGAGTAATCGTCGCTCGTCGAAGACATTCGACAAACCAAAATCGGCAATCTTGGCGTTGCGATTCTGATCGAGCAAGATGTTTTCGAGTTTGAGGTCACGATGGCAGATCTTATGCTTGTGGCAGTAGAACACCGCCGTGGCTATCTGGCGGAATATTCGTCGCGCTTCTTCCTCCGTCAGCACTTTACGCTCGCTCAAGTAATCGTAAAGCTCGCCACCGGCTGCGTATTCCATCACTAGCACCATCTTCTCCCGATTCTCGAACACTGCAACGATTAATTGCTTGATTTAGATTCCTACCGCTTGTTCAATGTTATTTTGCAAACGAGAAGTGTCATTTTCACTCAAGGAGCTGCTGAATAATGCGTACAGTAGTGATGATAACTTGGGATGACTAACGTAAGCGAGTAATAGACTATACAGGATAATAACTGTCTATTGGAATAATAAGTAGTTCAATCCATTTACTATGCCAGTACGAGGGTATTTGAATAAAAATGCATTTTTTGCAAGGGCGACTGGAATATATCGTGATTAACAAGAAGTAAATTGTAAAAGCAGCCAGAATTTATATTAAAAAAATTTCTTGAACGCTATTTCTGATACAACTGAATTGCTTTTGTATGATCACACCGATTTGTTATTTTGTATAATAAACATTCGCGAGTAATCGCGACACTTAACGATTACTTGTCACAGTCATAAATCCAGCAGGTTCTTCGCCTCTTAATATTTAGCAGCGGGGCGTGACAATAAAAGCTGACCTTCGTAAATGTGAATGATGTTCGGGTGCTGAACGCTGGACATGATTTGAATCTCCCTGCGTATCCTAATGAGGTCAGCCTCGGTCTCGATCTTGCACTTCTTGATGGTTTTGATCGCAACTTCTTGGCCGGTCTCTTTGTTGATTCCCAGCTGTACTTTGCCATAAGTGCCTTGGCCCAATTTTTTGATAATGTCGAACCTTGACAAACGAAATCAACTGCTAATCGATATGCGCTCAGGGCGCCCAGTGCAAGTGCACCCCCCCCCCCCCCCCGCTCAACGCGACATCACCGTATTTGCCAGGCGCATGCATTTAACTTGCTGCCAGTAATAAAGTCACCCGATTAACTGCAGTGGCTTCTTGGCAGACATCTGGCCAACTTTTGCGCGTTGCAAAAACTGCCTAACGAGGTATTTCTTTTTTTTATGTCACTCAAGCTCTGCGGGCTACTGGCTGAAATTCGCGCTAGAAATCGAAAGGCTAAAATTACTCTCCCGAAAATGTTGTGTAACGTATCTGTTTCTCTCGATTTCAATTTGAATAGTTAACTTGGTATTTCTGTGAAAACGCCCGAATGAAAACTACTCGAGCGTGTTTCTACGATTTGTTTCCCTTTGAAAGTACACAAACTATAATTTTTGACGGCGTCTTTTTTCACTGTCGCGCATCTATCTGCCATTTGTAATAAGTAACAAGCGCCTTCTTCGGGCAAACGCAAATCGTAATCCCGAAATTTCTAAAACGCTCGTCTTCAATTCGAATCCAATAACACCAATTGAGCGACGCGCTCTTTCTTGAAATTGGAAAATAATCAACGGGGCTGCGGTCAGAGTGCACCATCTCTTTATTAGTTATACCTTTGCTTTAATTTGCGTCTGTGGTTATGGAGACGCACACCGCCGGTGCTCTCCATGCCACCCATAATGTTATGGATGCTCGCCTCGCCGACGACCATTTTGGCGATTTTTTCTTATCTGCAACATAAACGCAAAAATAGCTTTCATCGTAACGTGTTGCTTGTTTTTTGTTTATTTTTTATCACAAAGCAGGAAAAAAGCATTCTTGCATCGTGATTACAACACCCACGCATAATCAATAAAATACAAGTATATACGTGTATTTCTTCAGTAATCAAAAGCATCTCTGTTTTTTTTTTCTCTTCCTCGTCGTATCATCCAATTACGAATGAAACACGATCAAAGCGAACAGATAACATTGCGTGAATATGTTGAACATTCACAGGCGAAATCTAAAAGTTCGAATCTTGGATCGTGTCCACATTTATGAATGTGTCCGCGTGCACGTACGCGTTCCTCGCGCACAGCACGCGAACACGCCCCAAGACGCAAAATACAAAAACGAAAGGCAATTTATTTTTACGGAGCCACGCGAAACAATATTTTTTCACATTTTCCCTCCTTGCTGATTTATCGATCCTCCTTTGCGTCTATTTTTGTCCCCGCCACACACACACACACACACACACACACACACACACACACACACACACACACACACACACACACACACACACACACACACACACACACACACACACACACACACACACACACACACACACACACACACACACACATACGCGCCACGCGCGCGCACACACACGAACACGAGTTCTGCGCCACGACGAATCGCGCAATCGAAAAATGAAAAAAAAAAAAATTGGTCGGATTACGTTGCGCGTATGCATGTAAAAGTCGGGTGGAGATGAGGCTCGTCGTTAATAGCTGCTCAGAAGGGGGGAAGCAGGGCGCGAGCGCGAGTAAAGGCGCCGCAAGTTTATTTCCGTCTAGTCGCCAGCGCGCCAGCTACGACGCGCAAAGCTCCACCAAGAAGAGAGACAGAGAGGAGCAGCACGTGCTCACACGCGTACGAATTTCAAACTTCGATTGTTACTTGTGGCAGGTTTACTCGTTCGGCAGCGTTTTGGCTTCACCGCTCGTCAAAGTTTCTTTTCGCTCGTCACCGACGATCTCGTGGCTCTTTGAAAATCGATTTTCATGAAAGCTCGTATTGGCATTTTTATGGATAGACTGCAATTCCGAATGATTTCCAGAGAAACAAAGCTTAAAATAGCTTATACGCTGTACATAAATCGAAGTATTAACTAGCTGCACTCCGAATCAACGAAACTTAATGCAATTTTTAATAGAGTTTAAGACTAACATCGTAGATCACTTGATTCGGTAATCGAAATAAATATTCATTGCAAAAAGAGTTCCACAGCCGCCTACGGTAAAGCTGTCGCATATCAAAGTTCACACCTGATCATATTTATCCAGCGATACGTGAAACTTGCAGCGAATAACGGTTCTCCGTAATCGGGCAGATCTTTCGCCAGGAGCACGCGTATTCGATAAGCTTCGTACGTCACGGATGAAAACAGAGAATCGATCTTCCGTGCAGGCGAAAGTCTTGCTGCCTCGGCCGACGCTCGGGGGTATTCTGAAAATAAAACTCCGTGAAGACGAGCGATATGCTGATTCAAATTGCTAAACGAGACAGATGACGTTGACCGAAATATACCCGTCAACAAGGTGTGGATTCGTCATCGATATAACGATGACAATGGGCGCCGACTAGAAACAGCCAAGGCAATTTGGCCTGCGTGCAATCTTGCCGCGTTTCCCGAGAGGCAGAGAGAGAGAGAGACAGTTGAGGCGTCTGGCACACAAACGACGATCTTCTGTCGAGATTTTCGGGAATAATATACAGAGAGAGGCGCAACCTTAGCTCAACTAGAACCGAGTAATTATTGTTTCCATCTATCGTTCGCGTACAGTGCGACGTGGCCTTTCAATGGTCTCGTTGGACAATCTTGTTTTATATAGTTCTCGACGCGCGATCATCGTACGTTTGTTGTTGTTGGGTAGCATATTAAGACGCGCGTTCTTTCATGATTCCACATACATTTTCCGGCGCTGATCGATACCTGACCCCCAAGGTCTGCGAATATATCTTGTTTCGACTTTGTTTCGTCTTACATTGTTGCCGTAGTTCGAGGTATGCAAAGGGCCGTTTTGAATCATGACGTACGAAAATATCGAAGAATTACTATCAAATTTAATTCAAATAAAGCGCGTCACTTTAGCTTTTAAATTTCGCGAAACACCTTGCAAGATGTAAATAACGAGATTTATTTCTTCGCGGCACAACGATTCGATTTTTTTTTTTAACTCATATCCCGTGGCCTTCCAACATATTTCGTGATTTCGAATCACGCGTTTCAGACGATTAAATGAAACACGTGCGAGATCGATACGTCACTTTTAAGAAATTGATATTGAGCAAAGATCGTTTATGCATAGAATGCACTTACTTGATTTGGTCTTTAAAGGCACCCGAATAAAAAAATCACAGAAATGGACTCGAGCGATGGTGCCGGGAAGGCATAAATTTGCTTTTTTTCTGGTGCACGCGCGCCCAGTTTGTCAACGTATACTCATTCGGAACGCCTATAAATACTCAAATGCAGCTTTCGTATTCCACAAACGGTGAGCATTCAGCAGCAACAGGTGAGCAACGCTAATAAACGCAAGAGTTGCAATCAGACTCGAAAGTTTGAATGGCGCGTGCGCGTTGGGCAAATTTTATTGGCCGAGTCTCTCGCGCTGAGCGAGTCGCAGGTCGAGAAGCTGCGCCTATATAACAGACGTTTCGTTCACCTCCGTCTCGCTTGTACATACTTCACTAGACGCGATCGTCGTCCTATGAATGTGCCTGTAATATATACCGCCCGCACGTTTTCAGCTCTCTATATATTTGTCATTCAGAGGAAACGACGCCGCTCGCTTCCGCTGTCGCTTCTGCAATATGTTCGATCGCGCGTAGTCGCACACACTTTGATTTTTCTCCCTCGTTTTCAGGAGATCACGCTGCGCGTAAATCCGAGACTGGACAACAAGTCCGCCGCTGGCTCATTTTCTTTCTTGTTTTTCTTTATTTTCTTATTTATTGGCAAATCTCGATTCATTCGGGTTTGGTTTCATTGTTCGTACACGAGGAATTACCGCGGGTCGGCTTACAACTTCCGACAAACTTCTTGGCAGCAAAGCGAACGATAGGCGTACGCGCCCACGTAGGAATAGAGCGATTCACAACGCAAGCGTAGCAAACGTATGTGGCGTAATACTGAATGCCTTATATGAGCATCCTTCGATTCGCACGATAAGATGCTGTTTGCCGACATCTTGTTTTTTTTATTGTTGGTACGGAAAATGCTTTTGGATAATGGTCAAAATGAATCGTTCTTTGGCCGACGAGTGAAAACATATTAAAGAAACTATTGTTGCGTGTAACTTATTGTTCTTATTGAGCAATTAAACGTTATAATATCCTGTCGACAATATTTTATCGAAGCAACAATAAGCAATTACAGGCTTCTTTTTATTCACCTTATCTTATTAACAACAAAAAAGCTAGTAGCCGGATAAGAAATTGCAATTGTAGATTCCAGTGGCGAACCGTACGTTCCGCAAAGTGAGCAAGTAGTAAATAATCGAATCTGTTAGACGAGCGCGTCGTTCGTTCTCCGGAAGCGCAGCGCTCAGTCGTGCGCCGCGACGAAACGAAAAGATAGGAAGCGAGCGAAGAGTCACAAGGGGTTGAAAGCAGCTGCGAATCCCGGACGCGCACGAGGAGCGGGCGCGGGGGTGCGCGCATCAGAGACAATAACAGTGGGGTGCTCGCAAGGCGCGTCGCGCGCGCGCCCGCGCCATTCACGAAAGTCGCAAAAAGTATGGCTAATTGCAGAAAGGGGCTGCTGCCGCGTACGTGGCTTTTGTGTTTTATACGAGGGGAGCACGCTTCGTTTTTCCGACACATTGCGCTGTCGCTGTTCGGTCGACCTGCGTGCAACGCCGCGCCACGTTCCTCCTTTTTTATTACTTGGCAGTTTCTTTTTTGCCGTAACGGACAAATACGAAATATTTTCACGCGATTTCCTCGTCAAAGTACTTTCCTCTAACGAAGCGAAATACTTTTCAATTATATACCATAATTTCGGAGTGCATAAAATTGTTTTGCATTCACTTTAGCTTTCATAGGTTTCATTTAGTTTTTACAAATGAAAAAAGTATAAGTTTATAGTCCAATGTAGGTATAACCATTTAATACACATTATACTAGTTTTTCAACAATTGTGAATCTTTCTAGAAGTTACTAATTATTTTTGCTTCAAGTAATACAATATGAAGCAAAAGCACTTTCATAATTCCCGTAAAACTTTCTAAGAATAAAATGACTGTATTTCTGAATTGGAACTTATCAATGTTAGATGCAGCAAATGATTTAAAAAATAACGATGACCGTACAGCAATGCTAAGCGAGCGATAAATATCAAGTATTAGTGACTAATGAAAAGTGGTATTCCGCACGGTATACGCCAGTTACTTTCGAACGATTACAAGATGGTTGCGCACGTAGGTGCATAATCATGCAGATCATATAAGCGTCGAGAGAAAAGGCGAGCGGACACCAAAGAATTTCAAAGGCGCGTGGGCGCAGTCATCCCGCATGCAACGGCGATCGTAAAACGCGCGTACATGGTCGCATTAGTGCTCGAGTGAGTGAGTTTGATCTTATTGCAGTCAATTCTCGCTCGTCTGCATACCGCGCACCTCGGCGCTCGTTCTTTTCCATGAACATCACTGCGAGTGCCAAGGATCTTTTTTTTTTTTAATTGCGATGCTCGTGTTGCGTGCCGAAAATTCCGTGTATTTCGAGGCTTTCTTCCTCGTTTTTATCTCGTTAGCAGCTATCTCGGGCGAAAAGGTCAAATCCACCGGTTCCGAGAGAAAGCCGCTGGTGACGCGCAAATCCCCCGAGAAAAACGTCAGTAGCGAACCGTCGGCTGCCAAAAAAAGGCTTCTTTCGAGTCGTCGCATGTAAACAGCGCACGCTCCTTCTCCCTCTCTCACACTCTTTCTCTATTTTTGGTCTAAAAGCGCACGAGCAACATTGAACGTAGTATAAGGACAGCTTATATTATATCGAGCGCCGTCGACGACTACGACGACGACGACAACGCACGCACGATCGGCGTTTTTCGATGAGACGTCCTATTTATAGAAAAACTCGCTGCCCTGTGCTTTTAGTGTAGCGCAGAGTTGCGTGCGACGATACGTATCCATACGTTAGCCATTCTTCTTTGCGATCACGATACACACAAGAACAGTGTGAGTAAGAGAGACAGTTGAGGGAAGCTCAAGTCAAAATTAAGAGTCGACAATTTTTTTAAACAAGTCCTGATCGGATTCAAGAGATGGCTTGGTTCATCGACACCTTTGTGCTGACGACGAACCGAGCTATAAATAAACGTCAAACGTCATCAGAAAATTCGCGTGCGGGCGACGAGTCTAAGCAAAATTTTGAATAAATTCTCTCTCTCTCTCTCTCTCTCTCTCTCTCTCTCTCTCTCTCTCTCTCTCTCTCTGTGTTTCTCTGGCTGTAGCGTCCCCTGAATCACGGGATATTATTAAAAGTTATTTCCGCGTAGGCTATTAGCGTCGCGCGGTCACGCGAGAGACAGCACGGGGAGAAAGACAGGCATAGTCCGTATGCTTTGATACTTGCGAAAAAAAGCAGAATTCTACCGTGCCACCGGTATCCCGTTACATCCCTGCCTGCTTATATGCCTACTGGCGATTGCTCATGCAGCTCGCAAGGAGCCGGCTCTTCGCACGTGCGTGCGTTATTAAAACGAGGGGTTTGAAGACCATGCGAGTCATTGCTAATAGGTGAAAGTGAAGAAGAGCAGGATGAGTCTTATCGTGGTCGGGCTGCAGGCACAGACAGTCGCATTTATAAATAGAGAGCCAAACGCTCTGGGGAAATCCTCGATCCTCGTCTCGCTTTTACTCTCGCTTGTTCGCTCTCTCGCTCTCGCGGTATGTAGGTTTCCGGGGCCGAAAATAGCGTCCTGATACGCGACCAGTACTCGACCGACAGGGCCTGTACACGTCTAAACAGCAATGAGCAGCAATCAAGGATCTAAACTTTGATCAACTTGTAAAAAGCAAGGTATGAGCTTACCGTGCGCCGGAGGTAGGTATAGGTGCAAAGTATTTGCTAGGTAGATAGCTGGTGGTGGGCGACGACGACGTGCAGCCTGAATAATTACGTCGTCGCCTGGGCGGCTTGGGGCCGCTTGATTTTACGCCTCGTCTTGCGCGGCATCTCACACTCTCAAGCTTGCCAAACGGGCACCATCTTCGGATCTATTTACTTATTTTGGAAGAGCTGCTGCAGCGGACGAGATACACGCACACATGCGCACCCACAAACACGAGAAAGACACGACACACGAGCAGTATCCACGCCGCCCGGACAACTGATTCTTGATAGCGACACCTCAGACCGCTTACTCCTGCTACAGTGCTACTTGCCTTGCCTACCGGGGGCGCGACACGCGTCTCTCGTATATGGACAGTAGGAATGCAGGACTGTGAACTAGCGCGGTCATGCAATTTTCGAGTTTTTAATCTACATTTTACATTTGTAACATTTATAATAATATTAAAACCACACCACTAAATTTTTAATAAAGTGTCAAGTACGTTACTATTAGCCATATGTTTAGACAAATTTTATACTTTAGTTTGCTAAAGTACTTTAGTAAAAACTTCACGTTACTATAAGTTATGAACGTACGAAATTTAATTAATTTAATTAATACGATGCATCAAAACATTTCCTTGGTAATGTAGACCGTCATTTATTAAAAAAAATTGTTAGTTCATTAAGTGGTTTAAACACGAACAAAACAATAAAATAATTTATACAAATTAGTGATTGAATAAATTATTTAATTATTAGGTAGTATATCATGTATTTTCTGAAGACTGCTGTACATTACGTCAAAAACGAAATTTATTTACAGAGTTGACTTTGTTTTTACAGTATTCAAACTCAAATAACTTTTTTTACAAACTTTCTGAAACTTGAACCAAAGAAATTTACATTTTCACAATATGTATAAATTGACTTTAATTAGATATGAGAAGACTTCATATGAAATTTACAAAATACACATATGTAGATCATATCCATTAGAGTACATTTTTATACTTTATAGTTAATTCATGAATAACAAATATAAGATGAATTCTTCACAAAGATCACTGATAAATTTCGTAAGTACACTTAATAAACGAATATTTATTACCCTCAGTATAGTTATCTAGTCCAGATTTTTGAGTAGGAAGAGGTAATAAAATATTATTAAATCTTTTTGTATAAAAATTTCTTCAGTAACATTTACCTACGTCTTTTAAACTGTTTTTCTTCTGCTAAATTGTTTTTACGAAAATTTTTCTTGAATGGTCGCGTTACTTCTGGACTCAATTGCCGTTTCCTTTTCTTTCCATACAACTGTCCTAATGTTTGCATTTTCTTTTGTCGAGGTGAGTTTTTATTTTTACGGGAAGTGTTCATCTTCGAATTTGACGGCTCGCTTGCCATTATAAATTCTTCTTCTCGACTCTCTTGAATAGGATCTGTTGGTTCGGCTTTAATAGGATTCAATATTGGTGGCTGTTGAACTACTTTGAGGAAATGATCATGAACTCTGCTGATACTCGCCGAAGTTTCTTCTTGAGTTTTTTGTAACTGCTTCAACCTTTCAGCTTCTTCTTTCTCTTGTTTTTCTCTTTCTAGTTTCTCTTCTTCGGCTACCATAGGCTGTACTCTCTTGTATCTTTCAAAAGGACTTATAAATATAAGTTTCTTCTTTTTTACGTTATTTACTTGCATCTCTACTATTTCATCCTACGAATTAGATTAAAAATTTTTAATTTACGCAATTTACCTATTATTTTATTGGTAAAATTATATACTACCTCGGAAGACGAACAATCAAACACTGAAATAGATGGTTTCAGTCGTGGCTGATCTACTTTATTTTTTAATTCTTTAGAATTAAGCAAACAAGGAAGATTCGCCCTGGCTTCCATATCACTTGGTAAATCGTGCGGCTGAAAAATCCAAGATTCAGAGTTCAATACTTGACTCCTTTGAGTCAACCTTTGTCTCATATCTTCTTCCAATACAGGCTTTATCAATGGCTGTTCTCTGGCTTTGAGTATCATTTTATGAATTTTCAAAAGATTTTGTCTAACTAATGGAGGAATAGGATTGCAGCAGGCAAGAATACCCTGCATTTCTCTTGGAAGAGTTTCTGCTATGTTAAGTAACATATGGTTTGGTAAAACATAATTTGTACTATCATCTTCCATTCTAGCTGTTTCATCTCTCCATTTGTGCAATTCTTTTAGAGCATGCACTTGTCTGTTATTGAACATCTTTTGACTTTTTCTGTACATGCTTAAATAACTATCCTCAGTCCAAATTGGTTTTATATATGTTTTTTTACATATATCTGTGCTGCGGCCATACACTGCTTTAAGAACATTAGTTTGACCATTTGCAACATCAATTAATTGATTTGTCAAAACATCTTTCAAATACAACAAATAATGTGTATCATCTCGTGCATATTTCATGAGTTCTTCTGGTAGAGGTCTTATTCGCCAATCAGCTAATTGAAAATGCTTGTTTGGATCAATGTGGCAGTGTGTTTTCAGAAGATAAGCCAAACTTAAAAATGGTAGCTCCAAATGCTTTGCAGCTTGATGGGTGTCAAACATATTTACAATATAAAGTGACAAATCTCTTTGCAACCATAAAATGTCAGATTCAGCTCCATGAAATACTTTGAGAATGGATGGCTTTGTAAATACTTCATTCAGAATGTGTAAATCAGATCTGAGTGACAAAGTGTCAACTAAATAATCTGTATCTCTTGTTGAAATTTGCATAAGACAAGTAATACCTTGATAACTTCTATAAGAATGATGTTCTAAATCAACACCTAGTTCACTATACTTCATTAGGTCCTGCAACATAATTTTGAGGTCTTGAACCTTTTCAATCATTATTAATGGTGTTTCGTCTACAGGTTTAAATTTGATAGGTGGTTTTTTGAGTAACTGCTTTTCTGGAGGTGTAAATTTATCAAGTTCGCATTCATAAGGATGACAAAATACTTCTTCTCCTTCTTCTCCACATTCAACATAAATAGCTAGAGGCTTTATAGAATTTGGCTTTTCTTTGATAGTAGGTTGCCATGGTTTGTGGCTGTTGTCTATTTTATCTTTGAAAGTTAATTGTGGTCGTTGAATATTTTTTCCTGCCAATAATCTCACTGCTTGAACTGGACTTGAACTTGGCTTAGCCTGCTTATTTATGTACGATGAAGTATTCCAACTTCCATTGAGGTTGCTCGGAGTTCTTGTTTGTGTGACAATCAATTCAACACTGGGATTTTTACTTATACCAACTTCTTCATCCATACACACTCCCTAAATTAAAAATATAGTTGTAGAATCTATATTAGGATATAATATAAAAGACGTAGTACTTACAGCTCGATCCAAGAAAATATCATTTGACTCTAGCAAAAGGTCAAATTTTTCTTCCACATCTCTTTGTTTAATATTGCCTGCAATTCCTGCTTTCTCAACAACATTTTGCATAGAATCAACAATTTTTTTAATTTGTATATTTCGAATCTCGTTAAATGTAGGAAAACACGTGTAATAATTAAAGTTTTCAGCATTTGGCAAACTATTAGCAGCCTTGAGTCCATTTCTAATAACAGTAAATGATTTCTGAAAATATATTAATCATCGTAAAAATTCCATAATAAAAATAGACAAAAATAAATTTCAAGATGATAAAATATTCAATTAATTCGACTTAAAAGAACATATCAAAACATACCTGAATGAAATCATCGAACTTCGAATCCTCGACCGTCACGATATTATCCTCTGTAGCCATTTTTGTTTTGGCCTTTACGATATTTATCTTCCCTTGCAAAATTAAAAATTTGTTACATTTTGCTACAACTTTTACATTTATTTAATTATACGCTGCATTTCACATGCAAGTAACCATGTATTATCTACTCTGGTCAGCGATGACCCTGGTTAGGCGAGAATACAGAAAATCTAACCTTAATTTTAATAGTAAAAATGTGTAATGTTGGCGAAAATGATATTCCTATTGTATTGGTATCAGATTTAAACGAGTAATTGACTATACTAATTCATTTACAGAACTCAAAAGAATATTTTTAGTAGGTACACTAATCCCACCTTTAATTAAGTTTATTTTTTACATCACACTGAAAAAACGATTAATACGTCATATTTTAATCCAGTCCAAGGTTTGTTTCGCTGCACTTCTTATATTTACGTGAAAAATAAAAAAATTCATTTATTATTCCTCCAATGGGGCATAGGATAAATGTTCTATTACTCTATTGTCACGTAAATAAATTTTATAATTTCATTTAATGAAACCTGTTTTAATACATTAAATTATGATAGGTGCCGACGACAGGGACACTGACGATAGTATTCAGTTAGAAATCAATTTTTATTAAAAAAAACGGAAATGCAAAATATTTCACTAATAAAATCAAAACGATAGGTTACTTTTATAAGTTTGAAGAAAAATGCATCTTTTAAATGCCACAGTTTAAACTTTATGTTATTATCAACTGCTTTAAGAGAGTAAAATACTTTTAAAGTTAATACAATTTCACGATCTTTCAGAAACAATTTACGAATTACTTATATTTTTTTAAAGCGAATATGTAAATTATATTGAATATACAATTATAAAATATATTGAAATGAAAGTAAAAGAGCAGTATCTTTCATTTAAACAAAATAACAATTGCTGAAGCTTAATTATGAAAAAACATTTCGTGTTTTTATTTCTAGACTACTTTATGTTTATATTAACGATTTATATTAAAATTACCCAATAAAATAAACTAACATCTGACAAAAATTGTTTTCAGTGTACAAAATATTTGTGATAAATACAAAAAAAATTAGCTACGTGTTATCCACTTTCGAGCCTCATAATTCAACATACTCCTTCATATTATGCATATTAATTAATAGCTATTTAGTCTTACTTAGTGACAAGATAATTCTCGCACCATAATATATTTTTAATTACATTTTATATCTTAATAAATAATGCTCGAAAAGTTGAAAAGTATTTATGTCGGTCGAGTTTATCGAAAATTTTTTTCTCTAAAACTAGAAAAAGACGGATGTATAGTTCATGCGTAGCATGTTTTTGATTACAAAGCTATTTTTAAAATCGGCGAATTTTGTGATTGTTATAAGTGATTGAAAAACAAAATCAACGAATTTGCATCAAATTTTGCTTTCAGATGATGCAAATAAGGCTTTCGGGAATGAATGTATGAGCAAAACACGAATAAAAGAATAGTATAATCGTTTCAAAGGAGACAGGACTTTCTATTGGTGTGATTTTTGTTCTGGCCAACCTTCGACGACAAAAACACTCATTAATATTGAACGGGTACGATTTGCGGTCGATTTAGATCATTTTATATATGAATCTCAAATTTACAAATGACACGTGTGTGTGTACGAAGTTCATTCCGAAATTGCACAGCGCAGAGTAAAAAAAGCTTCGCTTAGAAATCGGTCAGGACAACTTAGTAATTGTCAATAACAATGATATTATACTTAATCCTTAAAAGGTTATTACTAAAGATGAATCATGGGTTTATGATTATAATACTAAACAAAACAACATTCTTCACAGTGAAAGTACTCTGGATCGCCAAGACCAAAAAAAGCACGTCAAAATCAGAGCAATATTAAGTCAATGTTAATTGTTTTTTTTCGATTGTGAAGATATTATACACCATGAATATGCATAGACAGACAATCAATAAAAACTATTACGTTCAAATTTTGAAACGTTTGCGAGAAACAGTGCGAAAAGAACATCCACACTTTGGGTTATTGGGTTATTGGCTTCTCCATCACGATAATACCCCATCGCATTTATAGAATCTTGTTCAGTAGTTTCTAAGTAAATACAGTATCCAAATGCTTCGACAACTTCCGTATAGTCCCGGCATAGCCCTTTGTAGCTTTTGGCTGTTTCCAAAACTCCAAAAACCACTCAAAAGACAGCGATTCGATGACAAAACGACAGTTGAAAATAATACGACGAGCACCCTACAATTGAGTTCCAGAACTGTTTCGTGAAGTGGAAATATCGCTGGAATTTCGGCAGATCTTGTATTCTATGAGTATTCTGTAGTTTCAGTCTAATTTTTTTTGTCAAGAATTTAAAACTACACTAACATTCTTTCTAAAAAAGTTGTATCACAATAAATAATTTGTAATCGTGAATCTTCCCGAAATTTGTATAGAATGTCAATTCGACTCTTTGAATAGGCGGTACTAATGTATTTAAGTAATTTCAGTGATGATTAATTCAATCAAATGGATTATCACACGCTTCAATCAAGATTATCTTTATCTAAACTTTTCAAAATATCTTTCACTTCTTCTACATCCCGATATCCATTATCTGAAAATAAAATCAAAAGCCGATTTTATCGAATTTTCCAGAATTTGATTAGAATTTACTCATCAATACTTACTGCAATAAGGCTCGCTTGACGAAGTTAGAACAAAAAAAGTTCCTCGGTATTTGTAATTTTCACTATTGATACCCATTTCTATACATGTTTTCGACGTTTTACAGTCCGTTCTTAAAATTTGTTCAGCATTTCTGTAAGTTCGATCCCATGGTTGAGCCCAAAACGAGCAGTTTTTCATAACCGCAATGTTGATCGATTCCATGAAGTACGAGTAAGAACGTCCGTGACTGCAAATCGCATTTTGAATAACTGCAATACAATATCGATAATCACATTACTTTCCAACGTGGAAAATGATTTTTGAAATTTCACTTCACTCATAATAATACTAATTTTTGTTGATAATGAATTTTTTTTAATGAAATCTGTTACTTTTTGTGCTACAGTTTAAAGCATGAAATTCGTTTTTTTTTTCAGAAACACGGAAACTTACCTTCTTTAGGCGCTGTTATGACAGGTATCGTGTATTTGGACAATTCGCAGCCAGGCTGTATTTTTCCGCCGTTGGGAAAAAAATCAAGATGACCTACGAAAAGACCATGAAAACAAATAAATACTTGGTTCAATTCACTTGCAATATAATTATGTTTCCGATACACAAATTCAGACAACGCAAAAGCAGTATATGATAGTAAGAACCTATAGACTGTGGCAATCCAAGTCCAAGCCTCGATAGGAATACCCCATTCGTGTGAATAACATCGACGAAAGGCGCGTCTGACTTATCGAGTCTCAGCAATAAGTCGACGGCCGTGAAACATGGTTGAGCAGGATCAAGCCCGGTTATGCGCTGAATGGACCATCCAGACAAGCTTTGATTAATTGCATTTGCAGCGTAGCCGCAGATGTGTGCACCCAAACTATGACCCACGCAATGAATGCGACCCCAATGCTCTGCACTTGGACCATCGTGCATCATAGTGTAATTCGCTATGTGCTCGAACAGCCTGTATATGAAGGATTTTTCTATATCTATCATAAACTAGTGACTGTAATAAATCTCGTGTAGCAATTATAACAGGTGCGAATTTAATCGTATGAGCATGTATCCGAGTGTATGAAGAAACGTACTTTGTTTGCACAAAGGAAACTTTTAGAGTGGGTCTTACCGAACAGTATGACTTATTTGATAGAAACTTAAATGGACGATGTAGATGTTTAAAATACCTAGTTCATCAATTCACTTTTATTCGCTCGTAGCAATAATTTTTTTATTAATGTTAAATTAATTACGCCGCAATTTGGCTGCCAGTAGTTTGGGTGTTGAAAACAGCTTTGTAATAATTCCAGGTATTTCCACCATCACTCCAATCCACTGCAATAACGTTAACATCCCCCTAAAAATTAAAATCAATAGTTGTGCTCGAACATTTTCTTTAAAATAAATTTTGTTATGATTTTTATTCCAATGCCCTGTGTTGATTTTCTTTACAGTAATTAACGAATGACGTAAATTACAATTGTAAAAGCATCTTTAATGAGATATCTTCGGATAATGGCTGATTTTGGTAAAACTTTAATTAAATAATTATTAATTTTAAAGACACCAAATAAACCTACATATTTTAAAAAAGCTTCGTTCATTTTATGAATCCAGCTTCCATTGCTGTTGGATAAAAATCCATGCACGATAACAACGGTATTACGCCGCGGCTCAAAGTCAGTCCATTCGAGACCAAATTGATCATCAAGCATAACTTCGTTTCTATGTGGCATTTTGCGGGAAGTGAAGAAGAACCGAGCTCGTTGCGCTGATGAACCATGAACAGCCTTTCGAAGATATGACTCGAGCATACCCGCGACAGTAGATCCTAAACCTAAACAGTCGTTCGGACCTGCCACTGATAGTTTCCCTACTTCCGTCCCCAAAGCAGATGTTGCTGAATATTACAATTATTACATTAGCTTTTTATTACTGCGAGATTGGACTTTTCGCTACCAAATATAATAATTCATTATACTTTCTAATATACATTTCGTGGAAAATGGACGATAAAAGATATCTAATAATACTGCAATTACTTGACACAATAAGGAAATTCGTTTATTACACAAAAACTGTCTTAAATTTGTATGATTAAGCATAAAAGGTGCTATATCCAATTTCCAAAGAAAATGTTATGATTACAGCAAGTGACTGATTATTTAGAGAATTCAATAAAAGAACTAACGGAAAATTACTCTTTATTTGAACGAGTCATCTACGATTTACAATGGAAATTAGATTAAAATTTTACAAGTCTAACAGCCATTTTATTGTAGAACAGTTCGAAAGAATTTGATAGAATAGAGAGAATAGCAGTTTTGAGCGTGCACGTAATTTTGAGCTTTGTTAAATTGATTATGTAATAAATATTTTGCTTTCACTAATAGACTACTTAGTTTATTTAAAACTTAAGTTAAATCCACATAGAATATTGTCAAGCTCGCAAGCTTTCTACGCAGCTTTCTTTTAAGGTTATATACAAAACTACAACTAATTGTCTTACCCTGAACATACTGTCTCAATAAAAAGATAAAGACAACACCGTAGCACCACATGATTGTTTGAATGTTCGAATTACACTGACTGACATCGCTCGGTGTTTAATTTCAATTCAATGTACGCGCAACAGAACTATACACTGAATCACTCTGTCGAACTAGTGACACTCACCAAATGACCTCTTCCGATAAACAAAGCCAACTATTTTGAGCAATTCTATATTCGATATAATAAGAATTTTTTCGATTGTAACTACATGGCAGTTGTATATATAGTGTATTAATTGTCTATCTATGATAACATAGATATTATATCTATGATAACATAGATATTATATCTATGATAACATAGAGGTTTGCATGGTTTTTTTATGGAATAACTGAGGATTACTTTCGAAGTAATTTTTGGCGTAGAAACTGAAATCGGGCTCATAATTAATTGCTCCATCACGTCAGGTTTTTAAGTAAGTTTAACCTAAAAATGCGAAAAACCTAGTTTTTCTCTTTATTTGAGCATTAATAACTTTACAAATTTTTATAATTTTTAACAATTTTATGAAACCATCAAAAGGAACCACTTCTTAGCTTTTTATTTCACTATTTATAGTTATGATTTGAATTATATTCTAAGCAGAGATATCGTCAATGGAAAAAAAATACGAGGCTGAAGATTGACCTATATAGCCTTAAGATGACTGGGTCGCTAGTAAGTCGTTCCTTTAGTAACTAGGTCATGTATTGATTCTTGCAAAAAATGTCTAGTTTATATGACCATACACTCAATCTGTTAGGAGTTTGATGTTATTGTCTTTGAGGTTAAAGAGCTCTATTCATAAACCCTACTTGGGTTTATGAATAGAGCTCTTTACTTTTCATGGGTTTGATGTGTTATATGGCATAATAAAAGTATAGAACAGCAGAGCCGTATCTGCGGTCAATGATCTTTCGTTCATATAATTCCTTGTTCATCAGAAATATCAATGAAATAGTGCGGAAAAGTAGTCTTGTCTCGCGTGGCGTTTACACCCGAGCGAAGCGAGGGTAGAAAGGTACACGAGACGAGAAACTCTTTCCCGAACATGTGCCGTACCGTATTTTTTTATACGACGTGTGGAAAGTGCGATTTTCAATGCACGTTTTTTGCCGAGCGTGCGGAAAAAACGCACTTTCCGCACGGAGTATTAAAAACAAATTTTACGTCCTATTGTTTTTCCCTTTATTTATTACATCGGTTATTGAGAAACTTGCAATTTTTTTTTCAACTTGCAATATCTCCGGTTAGAAAAATTTAATCATAAATGTAAATAGTGAAGTAGATAGGTCAAGTGTTACTTTTTGATGGTTTTATCGGATTTTAAAAAATAATAGAAATTTGCTAAGTTATTGATGCTCAAATAAAGTAAAAAATTGTTTTTTGCACTTTTAGGTTAGGATTATTCAAAAACCTAACTTGATGGAGTGATTCTGAGCCCGAATTCGATTTTTACATAAAAAATTACTTTGAAAATAACTTAATATTTTCATAACAATCACTTTATATCTTGTAGACTTGTATAATGGGCAGTTAATTGACATCGAAAGCTTGGCTCAATTTTTAACGAATTAATTTTTCATGTTACATGTTCTAAATTTTTATATTTGTAAATTGTAAAATTTTTATCGTCCAGCACCTTTGTATATAACATTAAAATAGATTATATATAAAACATTTATATACAATTATTAAAATATCAACTTTTACAATAAAATATTGTGAAATAAAGATTTTAAATAAATAATCTTATTTACATAAATTTCAATAACATCAGTATTAGTTAATATTTCTAAAATAAAGTACATTTCAGGTATCAAAATATTATGACATTACAGTTATAAATGTTAATTCTAAAAATATAAATGATAATCACATTTTGAATTGGAAATTATGTTTATACAGACATGGTACAAAAGTGATGAAGATTTCTTATTAAATATTATTATCACAAACTACTTCTTTAATAACTGCCACTATAGATGGAATACAATCATACAATTTTATTTAAAAAGTCAATTTTTCAGCTGTCTAAAGACTCTTGTGTTCTGAAGCAGTCACTCACAATTTTCCATTTATTATCTAGTGCAGTGATTGTGAAGTTTTGATTAAAACTTTTCCCAATTTTCTTATTTTGGTATTTCACTTGACCACTGACTTTAATTAAGAAAGTATGCTGATTAGCTACTGCAGGCACTAAAAAAATTTTTAAAATCAATTATAACATAAAACTTGTTTTCTATTTGTATTTTCAAGTAGCGTCTAAGCTAATGGAAAAACATCAAACTTTACACTAGAACAATAAGCTGTAATCAAATTGTACCTCTGCTATATTTTTAATGGATAAATGAAAACTTCATTTATGTAGCATAATATTCCAAATAATAGAATCAGTAATTCACATAAATTTAAATATTAAACTATAAGCTAATCATTTACCAGTAATAGGTAGAGCATCTAATGAGTTAATTGTATGCACCGATGGGGGAAGATCTGTCCAAAAGTTTTGGATTTGGTCTTTTCCTTCTATACCATTCCCATTCCATATTAGAATAGCATTGTCCATATATAACTTTGACATTAGCTATAAGCATAATAATCAATTTAGTTTGCATGAAAATAATCCAAATGCAATGTAATTATACTATCACTTACATATTTCTGCTTATCTAAACTATCATAATACAATTTAGTGAATTCCTCTGCTGTTCTACAAGCTAAATCGATTTTATTTTTTAGATTCTGTAAAAGAAGAAATTAGTTCAACAATAAATATTTTTGGAATGAGTTTTATGTGAAATTGTTAGGTTATGTTTGGTAAGCACAACTTTATATTTCAATAAGTTATTTAAACAAGATGAGATTGATATGTAAATAATATATATATTAATGTTACCTCGTCCATATTGAAGGATTTTTAACAATACTTTTAAAATAATATATGTAAATATGACAATTTTCCACAATCAATATTGTACAGCTAATTTTGCTGTCACGGGATCCTCATGACTCGTGAGTCGTGACATACGAATGGTCGACTAGTGGAACACCTTATTTTACGCTATACTATATACTATACATGATTGTCCAGCAGTGCAGCAGCCTTCTCAAATCATAGTATTGTAAACATTATTCAATTAAAATACAGGTCAATAAGATTTTAATGATAAACGTTATGAATGGAACAATAAAAAGTGTCTATGAACAATTTAGTAAAAAAATTATTATTTATTCTTTTTTTTTTAATAATTCAATTTTCATTGTGATTGTGTAATAATAATAATGAAGCATTATGAAATCGCACACTATCATAAACTTAATTGAAAATGAAATTATGCGTAGTGTGTGTGATCGTAATTGACAGCCACGGTAAGAATATTACGATAGGGTTATGCGCATGCGTTCGCAACTTGGCGCAATCAACGCCATATTGGAATACCCATTTTACTGTTACATAGTTATATATATAGATCTCCATGCACACAGATATCAGCAGGTACAAGTACACTGTAGTCTGTACAATCGTCGCAGTCGTTGTAGGTTGTACTGATCCGCGCCTTGTGTAAGAATCGTGTGTTCGTAAAGATTATTAACCTCTAAAGAGAATAATTTTTGTGAACATTTTCGTGAATATTAAGCGATTAGTCAAGGGGGCACCCGGGCAGTTTACGTGCTGTTGAAGGTACGCTCTGCCGTAAAAACCTTGCTGTTTTTATACTTGGTACTCCTCGTGTGTGAGTCGTGACTACGTCTTTCTCTCTTGTGGTGCCACTACAGCGCTTCAGCACAAAATGCCAAGGAAACCAACAAATAAACCCTTCTGGGGTGGATCCGGAGGACGAGGTTTTCCAGCGAACAACTTTGAGGATAGATCGAGAAGAGAGTATTTTGGTATGGATATTTTCAACTTTCGTTATTTTCAAGTCAATTGTTTAGCTCGTATAACCTTTACCGTCCGAGAGGACGTCCATGAAAAGCTTTTAATTTAGTTGTTTTTCTTAGTTTTTTTCACCTCCGTATCTGAAAAGTTCTGAAAAGTCGTCATACTTAATTACTTTTTTCTAAAGTTTATCAAAATAAACTGTTTTTTAGGTCACGACGACAGAATGGGCCGACCAAACGAAGGGCAAAGGCATCTACAAAATCGACAGCGAGTTACGTTCAAAAAACCCAACTACAAGCCCGATCCAGCTAAAAAAAATCGTTTCATAAAACTAGATGATGACATTTTGATGTCAACTGGCTCCAATAATAATAGCCGACCTGTTGTTAACATTATGGGAAGAGGCAAAAACTTTTCTCGAGGAAGAAACAGTCCTCTACCTCGTAGTCACTCGAGAATGGATGGTAGATGGATAGTGAATATGAGTGATTCCAATTGGTATAAAATAATTGTAAGTTATTTGTTTTATGTACTTAAATTATTCGTTTTTGCAATAAAAATGTTATTGTAAACTGCTAACCATATAAAGTGTCATCCTAATAATATTTATTAGGCAATTATTTATCAGAAAAATTTATTGCGATTTACTCTAAAAAAATATGTGAATTTACTATATTATATACAATTTATAAATCTTGAATATAATTTTCATGAAAAGATTTTTAAACAAAAAATATATAACCAAATTTCTAGACTTGTAAAGATATGGTATTAAGAAATTATAATTATTTTTCAAGACTAAAATACTTTAAATTATTCTTCAGATTCAACAAGGAAACAAATATACAAAAGAATTTGTTCTTAGCAACTTGCTAAGTATGATGGCACCATGTACATTTACGCCAATAGCGGTTAGTATAATTTTCGTGTATAATTTATACATAATTAACATGGAAGAGAAATTTTTTGACCCGTATTTATTCTACAGTATAAAATTCGTGATAATGATGCAGTGTTCTATGTTGAGGGCTTTAATGTTGCAAATAAATTGAATAATTGTGACAAAAGAATTTCTTGTACTGATGGCTCTAAATTAGGACTGAGAGTGTTTCCAGGACAACCTCGAATCCAAATTGATGATGCTCTCAAGGAAAGATTGAAACTAGCCATGGCCAAAAGATATAATCAAGAAACTTGCGCCTTGGACTTGTCTAAGTTTCATCAAGATTCAGGTAAAGAAAAGTTTAATTTTGCGCAAATGACTTAGAAACTCATTCAAAATTACTTGTTACTTGTGACAAATTCTCAATTCTCTTATAAAAAAACAGAAAGTTTAACTGTGTATCGAGCTGTTATTCTTAAGTGTTTTTTTTTTATTCCAGATCTGGCATCAGAATATTTTTGTCCTCTGGATCGATCAAACATACTCCAGGTTGTTTTAAATATAGTACATGAACATATACCTGGCTTGTTGGCATTGAAACTGGACTCAAATAAATTACAAAACATAGATAGACTTGGAACACTTGCTGACAAGTTTGAGAATTTGAAAATCCTTTATATAGGAGATAACAAGGTTAGTTTTTTCTCTACAAGATTATGTTTTTACTTTATTAGTCTTCTTTATTAACTTAAATTTGTTTAGATAAAGGAAGTCTCCCACCTGAATGCTCTTAGAAACTTACAACTAGAAGAGTTATACCTAGAGGGAAATCCTCTTTGTAGTAAATACAAAAATAAAAAAGAAGAATATATCAAGTACGAATTATCAATTTCAAATTTTCTAAAATAAATGTAAATTCAAGAAAATTCAATATTAACTGTAATGTAATGTTATCATTTTCAGTGATATAAGAAAAAGCTTTCCTAAGCTTTTGAAACTAGATGGTGTTGACTTGCCACCACCTATTTTGTTTGACGTAGAAGATCCAGTAATCAGACTACCACCAACACAGAAAATATTTATTGCTCAATCAAATACCAAAGCCTATGCAATTGCATCGCAGTTTTTCCAACAATATTTTCTTGTGTTCGACAGTGAAAGTCGTCAACCACTTCTGGATGCATATCACGAAAATGCTTTGTTCTCTATGACAGTTAATGTCCTTCCAAGATTTAGTCCATACCATAATGAAAACTGTAATATTCTCAGAGTGACTGAAGCTAGTCGTAGACACAAATTGAAGAAATATGGAAAATTGCCTATTGTGTCATTTATATCAGAAATGCCTCGCACAAAGCATGATTTGAACAGTTTTACGATGGATTTGTGTATAGCTACTGTAGGAGTTTTCAGTTATTTTCAAATTATTTTCAAATAAAAGCTTTTATAAAAGATACTATTTTTTGTTACAGGAAGGAATGATATTCATCTCACTAACTGGTCTGTTCAAAGAACTAAATAGCAAAGATAACAAAGAGTTATTAAGGTACTTCGATCGACAATTCATTATTGCTCCAGAAGGAGCAGGTTTCTGTGTACACGAAGAACACTTATCAGTCAGCAATGCGACACCAGCACAAAAAAAGAAAGCTGATACTTTGGTTCCTGAACAACCAACTCCTGGACCATCCACAGCACCAGCACCTATAGCCAATGCAGCTGCATTGACGGAAGAGATGAAACAACATATGGCGATTCAACTCAGTCAACACACAAAAATGATGCCAGAATGGAGTTATAAGTGTTTGGAAGAAGTTCAGTGGAATTATGACAATGCTCAATTAGCATTCCGAGAAGCATTATCATTGAACAAAATTCCTCCCAATGCTTTTATACAATAAGTTTATTAATTTTAAGCTAGATTTTTTGTACACACGAAAAACAACTTATGTGTAATTTCTAGAGTAAAGTGTAATGTAAAATACGTAAAGAAATTGTTTGCAAGCCTGAATGCAGGTTGTTCTCTAAGATTACTATATTTTATGTTTGATTTTGGAGCGAATGATAAAAATGTTGGAAAAACTATGAATAATTGCTAATAATGATTTTATAATACTTTTAAGGGCTGTGCTGGTTTCTGTAGCTTAATAAGACCCTTTTAAGAAAATTTTTCTTGTTCATAGATAAACGGCCGCGCTTGAAATTTTTTTATTATTTCATCGTGTGTAAGGTACTTTGACAAAACTAGTTTTTTATTGAGTCGTCAATCTTTGTCATTAAAATGGCATAAATCTTTACTACTGTCATCTCTTGATATATGTATAGTATCAAGATCATTCAATAAGTTTATTTAAATTCGCGTATAATGCTTGTGATCGAGTAGCATTGAATTCTAATTTTATTTGCGATGCGTACCATCGTTATAAATGAAAAATAAACATCAACAAGTCTATTTTCATACATGAATAATTAATTTATTAGTTGAATATTGCTTTGTACTTTCGATAAATGGCTAATTTCCGACCATAATTATGAATGAAAATGATAAAACAGCATTTTTTTTCATTCTGTAATTGTAATAATTTGCCAATCGTGTAAATATTTCAACCCGCACAACGACTGAAACGTTGATCCAACAGTTGTCTACTTATGAGACACGTTTGTTAAGTAAGTGTAAATAATGAATAAAAAGATGAAAAATAAAGTTTTTTATAAATTGAATATTTAACTTATCGTTGGCTTCATCCCGAATTCAATGAAAAACTATCATTTTCTAACGATTCATCTTGTTCCTGGAATCCTAGAAAGTATTGCTGGTCGTGCTCTCGTTCATTAATGTTGAGAATATTAGAGTTTGAATTTTGTTTTTTTCGAAAAAATCCCACCTGAAATAAGGTTTATAATTCAGAGCATGTCTTTAGTACGCATTGATTATTAATATACACAAAAATTTGCGCATACTTGGTGTAATATTGCTGTAATAATTGATAAAATAACTAAACCAACGATCACCGAGATCACTATTATCCATACATCGACTGATCTTTTCTTATTTCTCACATTATAAAACTTCGTTGTTAGTTTAAGTATTTTCGATTCATCTTTCAACGGTTTTAATATCTGCGCCCGCGCTCTCGTGCTATACTGAAGAATTGACCCAATAGGCAAAAGCTTCTGCAAAGATTTCATATTCAATGTGAAAGACAAAACTATTGTAGCACCTTGAAGCGCTTTTAAAGCTGTCAGATCGCAAGTTACAGTTCCACACTGCACTTTGTCATTGAAGCAATCAATTAAAACAATATCACTTGAATTTTTTTCATTGGATTCTACTGTCTTTATAAATTTTTCTGTCTCCAGATGTGTCAACGGTGTATTTCTTTTTTCTATTTTATAAATATTTTTGAATTGATAATGGCTATCTTTGAGACTATCTAATGTCAAGTTCATAGACGATTTCATTGGTATACCGTTCATGATACAATTATACAATGATCCAAGGATTTGAAGCTTCAAAGGAATAAAAGAGTTTTTACATAGCGCCAAAACAAATCACTTGAATATTTACGAAGACTGTTTATGAAGTTTGAGAATTCAATTCTGAATACCTGTGGCATTTTTATAAAAATAAACGGCTCCCCGTGGCTAATACTTGTTGGAACGTCAATAATTATTTTCCCATCATTTATTGGAGTAGGTCCATTTTTAAAAATATCATAAATATGTTGAAAGGACATATTGTTACTGTCTCGGTGCTCGGTTAAATAATAACTATCCTCGGCAGTTTTACTGAAAATAGAAAGGATGTACTAAGGAAATTTCGAAACTCTGAAATTTTTTAGGAATTAACGGCAATAACTTTTACCCTGATATAGAAGTGGAAATATTGCTCTTGAACGTTATTGGCATCGAAATTTTTTTCACGCCTACGTTATTGGTAATACTTTTAATGGTCATATTTATATACAGTGTACATGACTCTATGCCGGTTAAATTATGAGTTTCAAAGTGTCGCATATCCAAATCTAATCTGATTGTTTTCTAAGTTGTACAACATCCCAATTAAAAGAGGTGTATGATAAGCGGAATAGTTTCATACCTACCTGCGTTTGTTTATTGAACGGATTTGCTACGTTGCAGGTGACGACCAGTAGGTCTTCTACGATTGATTCTTGGCAGGAGGCTAAAATACTTCGCAAGTGAATACTCTTTGGAATGAAAAAGACGGCAACAACTTGATAAGCGGGTTCGCCGTGATTTTGAAATTTCGCTTCAACGCTCAAATCGCCTGATCCGATTTCCAAAGTGTTGTTTTCTCTAAAGAGTGACGTTTTCGTAAAAATGGATTGCAATGAACTTTGGTTATTAATAGCTATTTAAAAGTTACGATTTACCCTACGACACCGAACATCGTCGTTGTAACAGAAATGTCAGAATTGCAAATTTTACCTTTTCCACAATAAGTTTCAAAAGGAACTAACAATTTGATAGTTTTCAATTCGCGTCCTTTATATTCCATTGGACAAAACTTGCAAAAACTGTCTACAAATCGTGTCGTTAAATAAAACAATGACAAAATATTGGCGAAAAAAGGCTCGAACTTACCATTGGAATGACTTTTAGTTGCATCTATTTGATAAGTGTTGAATTCGTACGTAAGAACGATGTCTACAGGATCAGCCATGTTATGTATTTCTGGCTGAAATTGTGAATTTCGTTTCAGTTGTAATTAATTTGTAGCTACTTATTTCAGCTTACTTTCATTGAAAAGTGCGAAGTGGTACACCCATTCCAGTTAGTATTAGCGACTCTTGTCATCTTACTTTGTCGCGAATAACGGTAATAAAAAACTTGATTTTTCTCCGAGATCGGTACGTGCCAGACAATATAATCGTACATGAATCTTTTGTGCTTCGAATCTACTACAAGCTTTACCGTATAATCTGTGAAAAAATAAAATGGAAAATGCTTCGTTTACTTCGATTTAAAAATAAGACGACAAATCAAAAAGCAACCTACTTTTAACTACTTGCGGATTGGTATTTTTGTAATTTCCCATGCAAAATTCCGGTGAAACTCTCGTGGTGACACCAATTTTGATGGCTGTGGGCTGAACTTTCAAGTTAATTTGACATTTTTCGACCGGTATCGCGCGAAGTATCACAGCGTGTCCAGATTTGTAAGCTCCAACACCCACATCTACGAACCTGAAGGTTTTAAAAACAATTGCAATTGAAATTGGCAGTTGCCTCGAATAGACAGAACCCACCCATTTCCATCCATGTCAACTAAATTGGAAACGGAAAATCCGAATCCACGAAGAATCGTCGAAATGCCGATAGCTGCAATTCTCTGTGACACTTGTAAATTATTTACCTCGCCGAGAATGGAAAATCCGTTATAAATATATATTACTCCAGCTTGTTCCCATGGAGCTCCAATAATCAAATCTTGAGAAAGGCGGTTTAACACGTAAGTTAATATATTACTCTGGAATAATACTGTTAAATAATTGATTTCGTTACCGTCAAACCCATCTCCATCTAAGTCACCAGAAGACAAAGAATATCCGAATTGCGCTTCGGTAACGGAGCCTTCAATCGTAGGATTATCATCTATGAATCCCTAGAATGAACAGCGGGATTTGTAGTCGTAATTTTTTAGAAAAAAATTGTAAATTTATGTCGTTGTAAAAGGTGTACATCCTGGGTGCCTAAATAAATGTAAACTTTGCCAACGTCATCGCCGAAATGCGGAGCGCCGACAATAAGATCGTCAAATCCATCATTGTTCAGATCACCGGTAGTCAAGCTTGCGCCAAAGTATTCGCCCAATTGGTTACCGTAAAGATATTTCAGGACTGTCGGCTCGTCTGTACTGCTGTTGATTATTGCGACCTTTATTTTACAAATAAAAATTCAGTTAAATTCATATAAGGTCTTGCGATACTACGTTTCGATACTATCGACAAAGTGATTTCAGGCTCGTGCGGACGTTTGCGGCCGAGTGAAGCCAGGCTGAAATCGCTTTCTCGCACATGTATCTAATGTTATTTTTCGATGTGTGAGACAAGACATAGCTATTGTCGTTCAACCTTGCCAAATAATTTCCAAACGGGGGCTCCGCTTGCGAATAAAATTTCTTGCTTGCTGAAGAACCGGCCGGACGTCACGGAATACCCTGTAATGACAATTCACTCGAAAAGTTTACTTTACATGAATGTTTTCGTATCAGTCGTCGTTATCACATCTGTTATACCAAATTCCGCCTGTTCATGGATATAGTTGGATATAACCAAAGTTTTCCGATTGTTTGCTTGGATGATGTTGATTGAACCACTCGGGTTTCCAACAATTGTTGAAGTGTTGTTAAGCAGAGATCTTATAACTGATTCACTTTTTTCTATATCATTAAATTTGATATTCGACTACGCAAAACAAAGAAAATGTTGTTATTAAGTTAAATAACTCTGAATTGGTCACAGTTTAAATTTATATAAATAGTAGCATTACTTGAATTGGACGCGCAACATTTTGCGAAAAGCCATGCATAGGATGATACCAATGATGCGAACTAAAATCTAAATAAAGATAAAATTAATTTTCAACACTAAAAAATTATATTTGTGATATAATTGGATAATTTTTACTGTATTTAGTTAAACTTTCAGTTTCTATTTGTAAGAATGAAGTATTGTTATAGCTATAATAAAAATAGCACATTCCTTGCATTGTCGAAATGTATTGATTGGTGAAAGGCTTAAATAAATTAACTTCCGTACGTGGAGCGCAAATCTAAAAATTTAGAGCCATAAGTATCTTTATATAAATTTATAGATTCTAATTCGGTAAATATGATTTAAAAAATTGTACTATTTCTTTACTTTTAACAAAGTTGGATGAAGAGCGGCGATCGACATGCCAAACCAGCCATTATCTTGGATCACTTTCGCGTACATTCCGAATTTCAGCGCTATATCCGGAGGAGAATCTGAAGTAGCGCTTGTAACGTGACATTCTCCAAATAAAGGGCATTGATAAATAACTCCAGGTTTGTTACCAGATTTGCTTAATTCTGTAATTTTGGCTTTTGGCGCTCCAACAATTAATCTATTGATTAAAACTTTTAGCGAATTTTTACTAGTCGATTTTGTTTAAATATTTGCGTTATACATACGTAGGTTCATATGAATTCCATTCTGGAATAAGTAAAACACTAAAACCGAAGTAACTGCCTTGGTTTTGTGAAGACTCGAAGTAAATAAGTGGATATTTGTCGTCTAAATTATAAGAAAACACATTTAACAAAGAAATGATGAAAACAAAGAACAGGATCATTGTAATTCAAACCATAACAATTGATACACTGCATAAGAGTAAATAGGGACAACGCGAAGATGTGAGAAACAGGATGGAACAAATGATAAAATTATCTGACAGAAGTGTCATGCTGTTTGTTTTTTAATTAGTTTTTTCCATACTCAAACATCGGTTTATTATACTCTTATCATTATAAAGATTGCAGATTGAGTGACATCTAATATTTGATACAAACTTTTTACAATAAATTTATGTGATTTGTTAATTCAAAACACTACTTAATTCAGACGACTTTCAAAATACTTTTTCTTATCTGTTTGCTGAATCAAAAAACTTAATTACTAAGCTCATATTTTATAAAAGAATCTTTCACGATGGACTTTTTAAGTATGAATAATTCCTCGTTGTTTGAGACGTGCAGCATGCTCTTCGAGTGAACGTCGATAAAATAATTTTCGAGGATCTACGCCACTCAATGCTGGACACTGAAATCAATTACAATTAAAATTAAAGTTTTAATATTAAACGAAAAAGACCTTAGTTTTTCAAATATTCTATCAATATACTCACTCCTGCTTTACTTCGAAAACTCAAAACTTCTTCTAATATTCTATCAATTCTTTTTTCTCTGTCACCATGGTCTGGATGAGTTGATAGCCACGGGATTTGATTAGGTTCTACTTTCAGATCAGTCAAGGTTCGCATTGTACCCCAAAAAACAACAGCTTCTCTGACATCTACACAAGCCTAAAACAAATTTGTCAACTAATTTAAAAACTCAACTGATGATATCTTTGAAGAATTGATAAATAGCTTATGTCTACTCACTTTGGCAGCAATAAGTAACCCGACTGTATCTGCTTCAGTTTCAAGAGCTCTACTATAGGGCAACGTGTGAAAAACGTCAACAATAGATTGACCTAGTAATAATAAGAAGCCTGCCAGCAGGTCTGGAAATATGGCCCATATAGCTGCTATTGGTAATGCAAGCAAAAGCTCAATAATAATTCCTCGAGAGACTTGTTCATACTGTGAGAATACACCAATAATCCATCATAAAGATCAATTACACCATAAATAATAAAGTCTAATAAAGAAATGTATTCTTACTGAATGATTTAATACAGCATGAGCCATTTCATGAGCTAAGACCACAGCCAGTTGATCCTCATTTTCCACCATTTGCAAAGTTCCTAAAAAAACAAAAATATTTCCTCCCTGAAATAAAAAAATTATTTAAAATAATATTTGTTTTCTTGTTATCTTTTCAAAATTGCTTAAGAAACCAACAGGCAAAACGTATGCATTTTTTAACGGTGAATCAATGACTGTCAAAGTCCATTTTTTATTTTTGAAATTTGGGAGATCTCTATTGGCATTAATCAATTTTGCAGTAATTCTCAATAGCTTTGAATATATTGGATGTGTTTTTGGAAGCAGTATGGACTGAAATTCTTGAAGATGCTATGCACAAAATCATATTTAGATAAACCAATTAATTATTTTTTCTATGAGGAAAAGTCAATGTATACTTACTGTATCAAAAGTTAATTTAGAAAGTTTTTCTTTTTGCTGTTCATTTAATAGAATAAACTGAAATCTTCCTGTCAGATTATCATATTCTAAATGAGTTGCATAATATAGAAACAAACAAACAAAATATAGACCTAAGCCACCTAAAAAGTACAAGAAATAAATATATAAAATTAACAAATCTCAATTTTTGTTCAAATATTGATATTAGTCAATTGTTTACTAAATATGTATTTTCTTTTAGCTCGAAGCCATTTGAGAAATTCTTCTTTTTCTTCAGGACTTTTACTTGCATACCATTTTTTAAATTTTCTTCCAAATAGTAAAGCAGCAATTCTAATTAAGGGCCGCACTACAAGTGCTAAGAAGGGAGGAATATCTCTTCTCTGTGTAGTGTGAAAGCTGCATCTTTGTTTTTCAAAATAGTGAAGAACTTTAACTTGAGTTTTCAATTGCACTTGATGAATGTTATGTACTTTTGTAAATGAGCGGTAAGAAATTGCACATGACTTTATTCTAAACTTGCTGGTAGCTATGCGCTTAGCGATGTTACTAATTTTAACAATGGACATTTTTATATTAACTCTTATGAACCTATAATTTCACTTTTTTACACAGAAATGCACATACAAACTCAAATATTAATATTATCAAAGAAAAAAGTTTAAAAAAAATTTGTCTATATGATCACATAAAATCCAAACAAGCAGCTAAAAGTAATAAATATAAACCTAGACGTGCATGATACTGGAACATAATTCCTCCGGCAATACCAATCTTCACTGCGGAAAAAAACATTTTCTTTGAAAAAAATATTGTAATAAGATGCAGCCAAACAGGGCGTGCTCTTCTTCCTACATGATTAAGAGGTTCCTTGTGGGCCTCTTCTTGAGCTAAAGAATTACAAGTGCGAATTTTATACTTCTGTACCAAACGTTTGTATTGCCATGACGCATCCATTAGGTGAGATTTTGTTTGAGCCTATATAAAATTGAAAACAATATCTGAAATAAAAATGGATTAGTTTACTCATACAAATTGATGATTAATGTCGGTAAATTTATATGTCAACAAAAATTCAATAAGCGAGAAGTTTAAAAAATATCTGGGTTTGTAAATAAACATTGTAACGGCAAATAATGATAATTATTTCATTGCCAAAACACCTATGCATTAAACCAATTAAAAACATAACCTTATATATGTTAGTTGAGTTATAACAAAATGGTGCAACAAATGGATAACAATTGAAAAATTACAAAAACTTATCGATATACATCTTAAATTTCTCAAAGGTCACGTGTATTATTACATACATAATAAATCTATTTTATTGCAATGTAGACATGACAAATTTTTTCGACGTGTGCGTTGCTCATTTCCAGATCCAGCTGTTACGATCTGCTTACGCATGCGTCACACTATTGGAATATCAAGGTAAATTATAAATTAATCGAGATTGTAGCTTTGGTAAAAAATTTAATTCTACATATAGAATAATCAGTATGAATAAGTAATAAGGTACGTTAAAATAAATTATTTAAATATAATCCCAGTTTTTCGTTCATTATTGAAAATCATAATTATTATGATAATTATCGTAACCAAATAAAAGTACTTTAAATTTCTGAGTATATATAGATATAAATATCATACGATTCTGATACTTCAAGCAATGAAAATTTTTCTTGAAAACAATATATTTTTTACTCATATTTTTGAGTACGTATGTACATACATATTGTTATGCGAAGTTGTATATATTATTTAGAGTACGCAGTTATCAGATGGTAACGAATTTTGAAGAAGACATTCAGAACTTCTTTTTTTTGTATTTTGAAATATGCGTGTTTCGCATACTAATTTTTACTACAACACGTCATAATCTATGTGTAATATTCAAGTTACTGCTATTCAAAAAGAATGCTGTACAAATTAAATTAGACTACAGGATTGTGCAACTGTGACCGTTTATGATGGTGCGTATAATTGAGCAATACCGATTTTGATCTCGATCGGTATACTGTATATAACTAATTTTCTGGTTCAACCCATTGAATGCGTATTTTTTTAAATATTATTCTGATTATTTTCTAGCTGTTATTCCTCATTATTAATTATCAATTCTCTAATACATCAGGGTGACGTGAACTACTTGGAGATCGGATTGAATATAAGACCTTAATACATATGGAATGACATATTATAATAGCTGCATCCACTACTAAAGTCATTGGAGAAGAATTAGCTATAAGTAAGATATACATACATATACACACGCGCGCGTACCCACACACACGCACGCACACACATATTGCTTTTATTTAGAAAATATCATATAAATAACATAATCAATTAAATATTTGATACAGACTTTTCGATCTTATATACACCGATGCAATAGCAATAAATCTAGATCTATAGATCTTCTGGGAAAACTTTATTTTGCGGTATACAGTTAGGGTGCGCGCATTTTCGCCTTCACTGCTAATAAGATAACAGAGGATCAATGTTGGTTAAAAGAATAACGGAACTGAATCCATCTCAACTTTGCTTCCCTCGGAATGAAGAACACTAGTAGCATCACTACGAAAGACGCGGAAATCGTAGATATATTTTACGCATCAATGCACGAGCTCGTATACTTGGTATAGCTTGCTTCGACGAATAGGTATAACCGAATCCTATAAAAAATGCACTTTTGTAGTATCTAAAATGGAAAAAATTATTTTCGCTAAATTATCTGGACATTGTTTCATTTTTTTTATTGATGGTATATAGCGATCGAAAATGCTCATGAATAATACAATTCATATAGAAACTATTGTAAAAATTACGGCTAACTTTTCTTCATAGCTTATGGTGACAATTATTTTGAACAAGTCTGAAAAGGTGCATAGAGAGTATAGAAGTAGGCAAGCGTTTTCATTTGATACCGTGTACGTTAAATAATTATCATTTGAAGTTACACATAATCCATTTATTAAATTCGATAATATCGGTTATAAACCATATAAGTTGGATATGTAAGGACACTTTAATTTGCAAATAATATTATTTTTAGTCATTTTTAACTGACCTTTTAAATCAACGGCAATCGTGTGAAACTTGCTATGTTTGGTCATTTAAAGTATCAAATTTAAGTTCTTGACTTCTAGTATCTGTATTACTAATGTTGCACTATAACTGCTGTAAGTATTTATCAGCCCATGCTATCAGCGAAAGAAATCAAACTTGATCTCCTGATAATTTGCACTTAATGCTCGATAATTTAAAAATACCGAAAAAATAGTTTCTACAAGTTTTTCCAACGCTCACAAATATTTTTGGCCACTACTAATCATAAATAAGAAGAAAAAAATGTATTTTCAGTACAAAAATTTCATTAAGTTGAAAATGATACAAGTCAAAATACTACAGTTGTTATCGTATATATCTATTGTATTATATAAAATTCTTAAGTTCCATGTTTTGATAAATCAATGAATTATTCCAGGTCATCTTCATTTTTATCCTCACGGGGGACAATACAACCAGAATACGCCATTTATGAAGATTCCATCTGGTCTTGCATTTCCATAACTATAGGATAGTATTATGCCCTGAGACGTAATCATTTTTTTTCTTTATCGATTTTACGATTTCGATTTTACGAGTTTGATTTTACGAACAATTAACTATTATACTTATATCGGGACTTAATTATGTTACAATATTACTTTAATTTATTACTTTATACAGTCTAAATTATTAATTGCTTATGCAATTTACATTTATAAACTATAAAATTTATATCATTAATATACTATAAATTACTATAAAAATATTGGAATTTATCATTTCCAATTTTTTTGCATAAATACTTGTTTAATTGAATTGTATAATTAAGTGTTTATATTTATCTACAATTTCGTGTTAAATACTCAAAATGCTACGACGAATATAATATCGAAACTTAACAATCGTATAAACTTTAAATCAAGACATCTATTTAAATCATTGAATGAACTTTACTAATATCTCGATTGTATTTTAGTGAAAAATGCTACTATTTATAGCCATGGTTAAGCGTACGTTTTACCAACTATATTCTTAAGTCGCTCCATGGGAAATATTCCTTCATTAATCACCCATGAAATCGACAATATTATAATATAAAGTAGATGGATTCATGCTTGAAAGCTATACAGATGTCGATGCTCTCAATACTTTTTCAGAAAAAATGGAATATATTTTACACCTACAAGTAATGATTTTCCTTGATGCTGTATGTCTATAGCTTATTTTCAAAATTCGATAACATTTATTTTTCTTTTAAATATTTTTATTTAAACGTACATTTCTTACAGACGTTATAAACAAATTACAAAAAAGTTAATATAAAATATGGCAATATGGGAAAGTGGACTCTCCTTTCTTTCCCGAACACAACAGATACAGTTTTTTTCAAATTAAAGTGTTGAAAACGTGAATGTGTGAGCGCATGTTTTTCGCCGGCATGCGGCAAATAAAAATCATACTTTCCGCCCACACGGATACATAACGTGTGCTTTCCACACGTTCCTGATTTCGTACACAAACAATTTGCAAACATTCTGAAAACACTTGCTGGCAAGCTTTCAAACGTTAGAAGATTTTGGTAACAATGTTTCGCAAACGTTTTGAAAACATCAAATGTCTGCAGATTTTTCGTTTGCAAATCATTTTTGTTTTAATTATTTGTTTAATTATACGAAGTACCTTGTTGTTTACATTGATTTTTCATTGTTTTTGATTCACTGACAATAATAACATTCATTTGAAATATACATTTACAAATACATATTCACATGATTCTTCGCATGATCAACTTTCAAACTGACCAAATCCATGTTTTTCAAATTGCCTTTTTTCAAGCTGCCGTTGTATTGCGTTAAAATTACGAGTATAGTATATGTAAAAGTATATTTAATTGCGCGCGCGCTGGCGCGCGCGTGGGTGTGTGTGTTGCATGTGGTAACTTGAGACAACATATTATCAGCGGTGAATATTCAGAATAGTAACCATCATTGGGATGAAACTCCATAAGTTTTTATAAATAAATTTCGATGTTTTTAAGAAAAATTTCTTTGATCGACAGATAAAACTTGTGATTACAAGTAGTTATTACTTATAGACTAAAGCGCAATGTTCAATACTAAATAATTATGAGTAGTTCCTATACGACTATCATAAATTCTATTTTATCAATTGGAGAAAATATTAAACATTTTTTATTTTTATATGTTGAACGATAATTTTCTTATTTTGAATATTTTGTCTAAAATTTTCGTGAGCTTGCATAAAAGTAGTTTTTTTTGTTCACGGAGATATAAACTGCATTGACGACAAATCATTTGTATGTACGTTCATGAATGTTACACGTGTCAACTCGTAATGAGCAGTGCTTAAAAATGTCGATGTCTAAAATACGCGAACAACTTGAATTAAAGATGTAGTTTTATATTACAAATATAAGTTAATATATATTAACTTATATTTGTATAACGCTGCTTTTTGCATTAAGAAGAATACTTTAATATTTTTAATTTCATAGCATATAAATGATGAGTTAAGCCTTCGTTATCGATTTCGATGAAATATCTTATAAACATTACTACATTTATCTAAAATGTATCATCTAAGAAAACAAATAATGCGCTATTATTGTTCAATATTATAAAATTATGTGACTAAATGCATTTTTCGTACATATGCCATAAGACACAATATTAAAATTTAAGCAGCTTCAAATGATTGAGTTACTATTTTTATGGTTGCAAATGTTGCAAAGAAGAGATATTTTTAAAGTAGTATATAATATCAAATGGAAATTATGCAAATTACTTCTATTTATATCCGATCATGTTCTTCAACAATGAAGAAATCCACAAGTCAAAAGTGCAATTATTTTAACAGTTTTATACATTGGCCAATCGTGAAAAAACTCAAAAATTGTTCTTTTCACGTTAAAAGTACTTCATCAATTAAATTTATTGTAAATTTTTGTTTGACCTATTTTCTTTATCATGTTTTTTTTATCGTAACGACATATTACTAACTGTGATTTATTTTCGTGGTAGCTGTAACTTTAATAATGGTATATCATTTCGTGACCAATTCACAGCTTAATTTTTTTTTTACACTGCCAACTAGTAATAATAATAATAATAATAATAATAATAATAATAATAATAATAATAATAATAATGATAATAATAATAAATTTATTGATAATGTGAGAAATATTATAAGTATCATACATTATGTTCAAATCTTTTAGCGGTTTAATATTATTCTGTATTTCTAAATTTATTTTCTTAGTTTTTCCTTGAATGTTTATTTTTTGTGTTCAGTGTTTTTATAATATAATTTAATTTATTGAAAGTATTTAGTGCAATGATTTCATGATATTTAGTTTAAATGTTTTGTTAATACTTAGCCGAGTGAATTTATTTCTTGCTGTTTTTATTAATAATTGATTGCTTGCAGTCAGACGAAAATTTATCATAATTTATCACCACAGCTTCAAATAAGTAGTTTATTGTTCAATGGTTACCGGATACTCGTTGTTATCTGATTTCTACGTGGATTGCCCCATTCAATGATTCTGTATGTGCTAATGCTTCGGAATATAATATGTAGTGCATTGTTAATTATGCTTTAGTATTTAAAATTTTTGAAAATCATCTGCCAATTTATAGCTAAAACTTAAAGGCTCTTTTTATGTGAGAGATGTGCTGATTATTGAAGCAATTATAAATATTGTGCAGCATATTTGGAAGAATATAACACTTATATTCTTTGGACGCTTGATTTAAAAACTTCCCCTTGATAATTATAGATGCTGTATAAAATATTAACATACATATAAACATTTTAGTTAAACGCTTGTGCATATTATAATATGTATAATAACATGTATACTTCTCGTTGTTGTAAACGAATCACACTTTCGCTACTTTCTAGTATCTTTTCAATAAAAAAGTAATTTTTCAAAGTTTGATGATACTTGTTTTCGTTGTTTTTTCATCAATATGGTAAATTATAACTCTCAACGTTATTTAATAAATAAATACTTTATTTCGTTATTACAGTAAATTATAACTCTTAACGTTATTTAATAGGTGAATACTTTATTTGACTTTTTCATAATGGCCTGCACGTGACATATCGATTTAGCGATACATTTGCTAAAGTTGCTGCGACTGAGTTGTTCAACATCCTGTGTTCGGCATCGTAAAAGTTATTTTTACAAACAGTTCTCGATTACTTTTAGCGATGTATAAACAAAGGATTAATTAATTGGAACAATAATAATTAAACATAGTTGATCAAGTAATCGCATATTTTTATTACTTATTCTCATTGGTATATATATATATATATATATATATATATATATATTAATGTTTATATGTATTTATACCCTTTATATATATATATATATAAAGCGTTCTTACAACATTGAATTATAGATACGTCAATTGAATTTTTAAGTTAACTAATCGTAAATTCATTTATGTTAGTAGATTGTACTTTCCAATTACGTTTTAATCTATTTAATGGTGCATAGAAATTTATAATTAAACTTCGATATGCAAAGCCGAATGATATGATTAATGTTTTATTTCCATCCGAATGCACTTTATTAACTTGATTTTTTTCTGAAATTAAATTTAAACTCAATGACAATATCGACAAAATAAATAATAAATTATAACTTTTTTGATTTGAGTTTATATGTACGTACTACAATTGACCATAGATTCACCAATTCGTGCACTCTTGAATACATCACAATACACATTTCAAATTTATTTAAACAAAAGAGATAAGGAATAACTATAAAATAGCGAGAGCTCTCGAGTGTAGTGTCACGTTCGTTAAGTTCTGCGAACGGTAATTCTATGTTAAAGTATTAACTGCAATTCAAAACCTTCATTCAATATCTAATTACGAATAATAGATTGTAATCGATTATAAGCAATTTAAGTATAATGTGTAAAAATATATTTTACTTGTTCATCGTATATTTGACTGTGACCAACGTTCAATCGGATGCCATATTCAGTACATTAAAAAATAAACCGATAATTTCTACCATCGAAGATAACGAACTGGTTGCTGGCTTGAAAGATAAATTAACTAATAATTCTATACTTGAATTCGTTAGCAATAACGTTACTCTAAATTGCTTTGGACTTCCTGTCCGATTATTCGATCAAATTTTTGAAAAGATATTCACGCAAACTACGACGGCGGAAGACGTCCGTTTCTACTTTTACTCACGGAACCGTGTAATCCCAGTAACGGTGCTGGCCAAGTCTAGATATTTTGATTTGTCGGACATCAATTTTTCTACCAAGCGTCAAACTATAATTATTTCGCATGGCTTCATGTCTAGCGGAAAAGAAGAGTGGATACGTAATATGACACGTGCCTTTTTGCAATTAGTACGTATTCTATATTTTGTATTTGTTTTTTGACATCTTATATCGCATAATTGTAGAGAATCAACAATATACTTTTTGATATTCAAATACACAGTAACAATCAGTAGAAGATATGGTCAACTGATTGAGTAGTATTCCAGAAAATTTTATTTTTTATAGGACGATTTTAATGTTATCGTAGTTGATTGGCAGAAAGGTAGTAATACTTGGAATTATTTTGAAGCGTCTGTAAGTACGAGACTCGTCGGTTCAGAAATTGCCAAGTAATGTACTCTACTAGCTTACACATATTTTTATCGTTTGGTAAGAGATATTATGCAGAATTAAAATCTAACTGGCTCCCATTGCAGTTTACTATATAAAATTAAGCGGAAGGGTCTGGATACGAATGCATTGTCCAAAAGCTTCGGGAAATTATACTTCGTTGGGCATAGTTTAGGTGCACATATATGTGCTCATGCTTCGTATAAAATTCAACAATTGGAGAAAGACGATGCCGTAAAATGGACCGTTTTCAGAATCACTGGGCTTGATCCAGCTCAGCCATGCTTCAAAACGGCTGATCCATCATTACGGCTGGACAAAGACGATGCAGAATACGTCGACGTAATCCACAGTAATGGTCGACAACTAATATTTTTGGGTTTAGGTCTACCTGGTCAATTGGGTAAATATTTGTTCGGGGAATAGATACAATGTGTGTCAATCAATTTATTTTTTTTCGTATTTAGGTAATGATGATTTTTATCCTAATGGCGGGCAAACCCAAATTGGATGCGATAATATAAATGCTACATTTTGGCAATCGCTTATGGTGCCTGTAAATAGTGAGTTAATTATTTTACCTAATTTTTTATCGACAAATAATGTTAAATTTATAAAACAATAGAGTGGCATTTTCCACAAATAAGGATAAATGTTATTAAATTAATATCCGACATAATAAAAGATATTTGTTTTATTTCTCAGTACTGCCAGTAAGAATAATATTTCCATTTCTTCTGTTTCAACAGTTATCAAAACTACTATATGCAGTCATGGTCGATCCCATGAATTTTTTACTGACTCGATAGAAGTCAAACTTTCGGGAGTTTGCACTTATCGAGGCCACAAATGGAACCAAAAATATGAAAATATAAGGAGTCTTCTGAAAGAAAAATGCAATGACTTTTGCCCGGAAATGGGGATTAATGCCATTAATTATCGTAAACAAAATAAGGATGAAATATATTTCGTACCAACTGGGGATAAACCTAACTTTTGCGGTTTGTCTTCTTTTTTCTCTCTTATGTTTTATTACATCTCAATATCATTGTGGTTGTCAAGGAATGTGGATCAAGGTTGCGTATTAATTTACGGAAGCGTGTTTTTTTTTCTAGAAATTACCAAGGAAGATATAGCAGCAATAGGCAAACAACTTCGTAAAGATCATTTCATGAACTATCCAATGCAGAGTTTGATAGATTTTGTGTCAGCTCCGATGACGGAACAGGACAATTGATTTAATAATAATAGTATAATCACGCTTTATAAATTTTTGAAAGTTTTGTTACAAAATAATCGTTGGTTACTTTCGATTGTAATAAAATAGAAATATAGATACAATGCTGTGTATTCATGTTAATATAGGATAAAAAACAGGATAAAAATTGAAAGCAAATATTACAATGAATTTGCAGATATTTAAACAAGATTTATAAAATGTACACGTAACTTTTCAAATTGCAAAATCGTATATTTGAATGAATTTAAATACTTATTAATAAAGTTTTCCTTGAAAAACTTAAAAATATATCGTGGTAAAAAAGTATTTTGAACTCGAACTTGAATGAGCTGTGCATATTAGATTGCTGTATTAACCGACTCCATTATCAAAAGAGCAATAATTCATTGAACGTTTTATAAGTACAAGTGTACCAGTTGCACGATTTATAATTGAGGAAGGTCGGCCACTTTGAAAATATGTTCCCCCTCTCATTCAATTTTTCGCTATGCTCTTTATTTTGCCAGTATAATTTTTTCTTCAGTTTCTGGGGAGACTGTGAGAAGTGAGCAGAGTAGTGTTATAGTATTGTCAAAAGTTTGATAAAAATAAAATTTTATATTTTTTGGGGGGACTAGTGTGAGTTATTGCGATTTTTAAGATGCTTTTTAAAAAAGGAATGATTTTGTCAACATTACTTTTGAATATATTCTTGATCGAGTCACAAGGTTTGGAAATACCAAAAGTCGCTCCCTCGGATTCTATAAAATCAAAAATCAAAAACCCATTTGGGTCGGTGAAAAATATTAGTAAAACAATCCAGCCAAATATACCAGATCCCTTGGATGCTTTCAATAAAATTTCCGAGCAAATTCCCGATCCTCTTGCCGGAGTAAAGAATATTACCGAATTGATTACAACGACTGCTGTTTTCATAAAGAATAACGTGTCGCTCAATTGCTTTGGTTTACCAATCGCAGCGTTTGCAAACGTGGTTGAAAAGATATTTACCCAATCGACGAAGGCTGAAGACGTGCGATTTTACATAGCAACCCCAACAAATCACACTTTGACAACTGTTCGAGTTGACAATTTCACTCTACAAAATACTAATTTCGATATAAGACGTCCAACTGTAGTGATTTCGCATGGTTTTATGGCTACTGGACGAGATGACTGGCTGACCGAGATGAAAGACGCTTTCTTGAAACTGGTGAAATTTTAAAAGAAAATTTTCAAATAAAACAAATTCGAGAAAAAATGTGAGATATTATTGATTTTCAGGATGACCTTAACGTAGTGCTTGTAGATTGGCAAAAAGGAAGCAACGTGTGGAATTATTACTCTGCAGCAATCAGCACTCGAATTGTCGGTCTACAAATTGCCAAGTAATGTATTATTCAAAACATTCTGATTTAGAAAAAAAAAAAAATTATGCATCTATCGCATCGTATGAAATTGCATTGGCTGCGGTACGACTTTTTTTCGTTAATTATTACACGTTTTTTTGCTCTCCATTCTTTGAAAAATTAACCACATCGATGCAATGTTCATGAAAACAACGTTTCGCCGTCTTGGTTCGCGGCCTCCTCAGATTAAATACGTATACTTGTATCACGTCATTACGTATGAAAGAATGACTAATTGTTTTGAAAAATAGACATTTTCAACGTAAACAACGTATTCTAGATAAACAAAATGGAAAATGAGATAATGTCATGACTCGACTGATCGGTCAATAAATTGTATAATTTTCAAAATAATTAGATACTATCTCATACATAACGATATTGTACAAGTACCTTGAATCTGTGGAGATCGAAAACCACGACGATGAAACGTTATTCGCATGATGAATATGGCTGTTTGATCTATTTTGAAGGAATCCTCGAGGGCTGACGCTTAAAACATTGCATTAATGTAGTTAATTGTTCGTTGATTATTTTATTTACGAGTCGATCAGTATCCGACACGGCAGAAATAACTGATCATTGGTAAATATTTTCAATTTATTAAGAGTAAATAAAAACTCGCCAGGTGACGAGCAACTGGAAAATTTTGTATGGTTACGAAATCAGAAAATGGAAATTGAAGATGACTATTGTAAAAGTTTTGCGCGAAAATCACGTTGGTTGGCGAATATGTATGTACTCTCATGGAAATACGTTTAAGTTAAGCGCGCTAAGTTAGACGCGATACTCACAGTACTATCAATTGAATGCTAATGTATCAATTCTTCACACAATGAAAAATACATCTGTTTGGGAAATTTTCTTATGCAAGCCGTTGAAAGTCCATGCTATTTTTAAATATCATCAATATATACAATAAGTTAGTTTTTTTTTATACGATTTGTCGATGGACTTGGAATAGAATATTTTTAAGTAAGTAAAGGTTTATATTTGATTTGAGAACGTTAGATACGGTCTGATAAATCTTTCCAATCGAAAAGTTTCCATTGCGCGTAAATTGCTATGCGTCAACTGCAACACATTCCAGATTGTTTGCCAAGATACGCGGCTTGGCGCAAGCATCTCCCAACACACCTGGCATCAAAGAATGGGGCTCGCTATACTTCATCGGTCACAGTTTGGGCTCTCACATTTGCGCTCATGCTGCTTATCTCATTGCCGAGAGCCAGAAAAATAATTCCGACAGATGGCTCGTAACAAGGATAACTGGACTTGACCCTGCGCAGCCTTGCTTTTCCGAAGCCGACTTGAAACTCAGACTTGATCAGCATGATGCACCTTTCGTCGATGTTATTCACACCAACGCTCGACACATACTTTTCCTTGGACTCGGCCTTCCAGAAAAATTAGGTAATTCATAAGATTTTTATCTTTTCTTATTGACGTCAAACCAGTACGGTTCCGTACGCCTTGAACGATATTTTTCTTGTTCCGCAGGCTTTGCCGATTTCTATCCGAATGGCGGTCAAACTCAGCCAGGCTGCGGCAAAATTGACCCGTCGGTCTGGGAGTTTTTATTGCTACCTAGTGACAGTAAGTACTAATTACTAAGTGAAACTCCAGATCCGAATCTGTTTCTCTGACAAATTCGTGGCGTCAATGTCGCAGTCATCAAGGAAACTATCTGCAGTCACGGAAGATCGCACGATTATTTGATCGAATCATTGGTAGATCATGCAGCCGGCAATTGTACTTTTGTCGGTTTCAAGTGGGACAAGCAGTCGAAAGAAGTAGTCAAATTTTCGAAAGAGAAATGTAGCAATGGCTTCTGCACGGAGATGGGAATTAACGCTGCAGAGCATTATCCACAAAACGCTGGTGTTTTTTTCGTTCCTACTCGCGAAGAAGCACCTTTCTGCGGTACGCCAACACGAAACCATTATATCTTACCATAGATTCGCAAGCTTCAATGATTAATGTATCGACTACGTGTTTGTTTTACAGGTGCCCACAATGAACAGGAGGTATTCAAAGTTTATTCATCGAAAAATCCGTTGGCACGGTTGGCCAAAAAAATTATTCCGCTTGGAAATCCGTAATTTATCGAGTTCTCATTTTACTATCAATTTCAGTTGTTTCAAATATTCAACTTCTTTTTTCTAATGAAGTAGTGAAAGTGCAATAGAGGTTTCCTAATTAAATAAACGATACATAATAGATTATAGAATTTATTTTATTAATTTTTACTATTCTAGTATAAATCATAATTAAATAATCGATGAAACAATATGACCGACATATACTATATTTACAAAATATTTAATCACTTCAGAAATTCACAATATTTACAGTGTCAAATGATTCTACTATAATAATATTGAGTGCAAACAAAATTAATTATATTTTTACCCAAAAGTTAATGTAACTCTTGGAATCAGTTACAAACGTTCAAGGTGGGTCTGTACTTAAAATTAATTTTCTTTTATTTGAAACTTTGAATCAAATCAACATTTACATTTGTATTCATACTTATTTTGTGCAGTTACCTACTAATTTTCAAGTTATATTGATTATTATTAAAATTATATCATATATTATGCTTTTTCGGGGTTCAAAATAGCCTATGTGCAGATTATGATTATCTAATCTAGCCAAATAATTCTCAGAGTTATTACCAATATAACATAAAAGAACGGCTTGATCAGATTTTGTAATTGTCAATTGTATACTGAAAAAAAATTCAAACATTTTATTCGTGAAATATAGAAAAACTAATATTTTTATTTAAACCTGTGAACATATGAATCTTGAATGAAATTTGAAAAGTGGGCAAACCATTTCATTCCGAAAGGCTTTGTTTAGTTCACTCGTTAATTTCTAATGCACGTAGACTGCTTTGAAAACACAAATTAAAAAAAAAATAAATGAAAAAATAAGGTTTTAAAACTCTCAAATCACCATTGAAATAATAATTTCTTCTTTCTTATTATAACTTTAAATTTCTAGATTCCTGACGAGTTAAAGAATCTTTTTACAGAATAAAAAAAAATTTTCGATTGTAATATAGGAATACAAAACCACCCGAACGTAGGATTCCATTATAATGTTCAAGTCAATGAACTATAATTTTTTGTCAGTCTATCTAAATATAACATTCTGTTTAGAAAACAACTTTATTATTATTGTTTTTTTTCATGAAACGTAGCGGTTAGCGTTGATAATTCAATCTTTTGAATTGATATAGTAGTATCAAAATACCTAAAATCTTGTATATAAAATACATGACATATTCAAGATGATAACATTTTGAATAATATATTTAAAAAATGCAAATAGTATAATTACGTTATACCAAATCATTATAAGAATTAAAACGTGTAAACAGTCTATCAAAAATTAATACACAAAAAGATTATTCTGTAAGGAATCCAGAATGTAACTTACGTTTTCCACGCTCTTTATTGAATTTTATTCATTCAATCAATTTCTTAAATATTTTAAATAGAAAAGAATTTTCGCGAGTCGCATTTGTTGTCACATTTGAAAAGTAGCTAATACGCTAAATAAATGTCTGAAATCGTATATCTTCGATCTAATATCTGAAATTTTAAGGCATCCAAAGAACACTTCATTGACTTCGGTTATATCTTGAATATACAATTTTTTCCCACCCTGGTATTGTTTAGTTGCGTAAGACTTTGCGATAAAATACTTGAATGTCTTATAAAGTAAATGCGTACGCAGTGATAATTAACTCTATGCATAAGAACTTTACACGTGACTAAGTTTTAGCATCATAAGCCGCCCTTCTACGTAGTTTTACGTTAATAACGTGAATAATTAAGTATCGCAAGTAACGCTCGTACATATACTACGAAATAATATTATTTACAAAAGTGAAATTGGACCGAAGCAAACGCTTATAATGTCATTTCAGACATTAGTGAACACTGGTTTTGTTTGAATGCGATTTTTGCAAAACCAAATCCGAAAGATAATCTAATTAATGACTTGGACGTAAGTAGCGGGAAAGATGCCGGTGCGACCTCTACACTCGCCGATCCACCATCCATCGGCTTGCTTCTCGTGCACCGTGATAAGATCGCCAGGACTGAGGCTAAGCTCATCGTTGAGGTTTGCCGAATACTGATAAATGGCCCGACACTTCTCCAAGCCATCGTCGGTTTTGCCGCTGCTCACTTCAGTGGCATCGATGCAGTCCTGATTGTTATTGTCTTCGGAGTTGCTGCTGAACTCGTCAAAGTCACTGAAGTCTTCCTCGTCGGGCTGATTCTCGGAATTGCCGTCGCCGGCTGTCCGGTCGGCCCAGTCACGTTGATGCTCAGCCTCGTTGGACTTGGACAAGTGAAGCACTTCCAGTTCGCCGTCCGACGTGTCCTGGTACTCGAACGACTCGTTCTTTACCCACGACGGGACCTGAAAATCGCAAGCATGTCGATTATCTCGATGTTTGATTTCCAATGGCCGCAGATGAGAATGCCGTTTCTCAATCGCAAGCATGGTACGCGCAATAATTTGTAATCGAGCCACAGTCAAGCAATTGCTGTATTTTTATCGCACCAGTTTTCGCGGGCGAAAACATGCCCGAAATTACATCAGAAATTGAATTGGAAAAAAATATATATATAACGCAAAAGGAAGAAAGCATCACCTTGAGAACACTTTGTTGCAGTCCTTGCTTGTCTCGCGAGACCAGGATGTGTTCGGCGAGAGGGTGTTTGCTCTTTTTACCGCCTTCCAGCTCCGAGAGTGCGCCGCTCACTTTGTACCTCGCGGCTTCCAGATACGTTAGCATCGAACGCATCTGAAAAGATAAGTGAGAAATTCACGGTAGAAAGGAGTCGCAAGGGAAGCTGAGATCTTGCAGGTCGGGCGCAAAACTCGTCGATATTTCACTATCGAGCGTAGAAATGCGAACGAGAAAAGCGTCGAGTGAATCTAAGCTTATTGCAAGGAGGAACTCTTCTGCGAGGACAAATAATAATGAAAATGCGCGTGCGAACTAACGTGAAGCAGCTTGTCGGTGACATTTTGCGTGCTCTCGTCGGCGGCGAAGGCTGGGGTCTTGATGAAAGCTCGATGCAAAGTCTCCAATCCCTCGCGACCTCGCCTCTCGCGTTCGAGATCCTGCCTGATGAGGTGCAAGACGCGCACGAGTGCCTGCTTACGTCTCTCGCGATTCATTGCCAGTGTGACGTGCTCGGCGTAGAAGTCGGGTAGCAGCTGCTCGGTGCTCGACGTGTCGCCACTGTCTATTCGTCGGATCAGATTCTTCAGGATTTCCACGTCTTGCGATACGCTGCAGCTGCGGATGGGTTGCGATAGCCTGTCCACGCTCTGCTGGGAAAAAGTTGGCACGGTTTTATTGTTTGCCTGCGACATTGACTATTCTCGCGTGTGACCAAGCGAAGTTATCGCAATTGGCGAGCTCTCGCCTCTCCTGAACTTCGGCGCGCCATTCCACTGAGCGCGATGCTCTTTCCCATCGCGCGCACGCTGCCAATGCAAAATTACCGATCGACCACAGTCGCGCTAATCATAAAATTCGATAATTCGATTTCACCGCTTACGGCGATGGAGAATAGGCCGTGCTTCGAATTACGGGCGCGTTAGACTCGTCGCGTGACCCTTAATCGAGCACACCTTTTAACAAACAGCCGTACGATTAACGGCGCTTAATGAATTTCACTGTAATCGAAAGAAAGTAGAGCAAAAGTGTTTACGCGTCCTCGCGCGATCGGCGCGTCATAATCGATCGGTTGATCGGCAGCGCATTTACGCGTCTGTTTGACGAATCGCGTCTTACATCATGAAATTCACGCGCGGCGCATCGTCGAAGCGGTTCAGCGAGCCAAGGAAAAAGAAAAAAAGACACGAATAAAAATAAAAAAAAACAAATGTATAACGGTCGCGGGGATTTTAGTTCAAGGCATCGGGCAAAATGCAGGCCGAGCGTTAAGTTATTTTCAATCGTTCGCCTAAATAAATGCGCTTAACGGTAACAGTGATTCCCTCGCTCGAAGTTTATTGCTGGCAAAACAGCAAGAGAGCGTTTATTAGCAAAACGAATATAAATGCGTCTCTCTCTCTCTCCGCCGCTTGTTTTCTCTTTGTTTTACAACCGCAATCAAAGTTAAGTGTACGTTTGATCTATTGCTCGAATTGCTATGGCATTGCCTTGTCAAAGTTGATTTCTTTAGTGTAGTCACTGCAAAAAAGAAGGAATTATCAGCCGTGCAAGCTTGTCTCACTGCTACAGTTCTGTTTCGCGCACACGGCCAGTTCGCATGAGTTACGGAACAATAACGTTCGGCACTGACATTGCATCGCACGAGCAACGCGTGCCCATCGACCACTCGGCGTCGGCCACGAACCTGTTGAAGTTTCGGCGCGAGAGCCTGTAGGTGCGCCAGGTAGACATTGGCGAAGTCCTTCAAGGCGCTGAGCCTCTCTTCCTCGAGCAATTCCATCTGCTTGGCGGCCTTCCTCACGGTGCACTCGTACTCGAGGCGCGCGCGCTCGGCCCTCACGGTCACCGTGTAAAACTCATTGTCGGCGCGCCTGGCTGCCTCCTCCGCCTTGCGGCGCCGAGACTCGAGCTTCGTCGCCTCCTTCTCGCTGACGTGGTGATGCCCGTTGCTCGCCAGCTTGTTGTTCTGGTGCTGGTGCTGCTGCTGATGGTGCGACTGGCTGAGCGACTGCAGCCTCGCCAGATCCTGCAGACGCTCGTTCTCGCGGGCGCACGCGAAGCTCTGCTTCTTCGTCTTCGCTGCCACGGTGCGCCATTCCTGCAGCGACTTGGACGCCTTGTCCACCGAGTTCTCGATGGACTTGCGAGTGCGGCCCTGCACCTCGGCTACGCCCACCTGCAACGGAAGTGCTCTTTACTCGGAAGAAAACGACTGATCCAGCCAGGTTGGGGGGACGATTCGAGCGATGCCGAAACGAGCTCAAAACGAGGCCGAAGGGTCGAGACGACGACGAGGCGTACTCTGAGCGGCTTGGCGAGCTGCTCGCCGAGGGCGCCTCCCCAGGCGCGATGCGCCTCCGCTGCAGTCTCCATCTCCTCGCCGACGCAGCGCCATGCCTCGCTCACGCCGCCGCTGCCGTTGCCACCTGCGGAACAACGTCGCCCTTTAGCTTGCCGTTTCGCTCGCGGCCGAGGGAACGCTCAGGTGCAATCTCCGGGGAAAGAACGCGCCAGCTGCGTAATTGCATTGTGCGCGCGTTGTGCGCTCGTTTCTTCGTGCGCGGCAAAAGTATCCGCGGAAAAAAAGTTTTCGAGGGTGCAATTAGACAACGAGGTTAACAATGCAAACAGCAATTAAAATTGTCGGGATTAGTAAAACGTGTGTTCTTTGCTAACCGGCAGTTATTAACTGTAAAATCAACCTAAGAAATAACTTATCGTGCGAGTGTAGATTACCTTGGTCTTTTGCGCAAGCTTTCGTCAATTTCGCGCTTAATTTACTAAGTCCTTTGGCATAAGTTGCTTCCAGTTCGGCCCTGTTATCAAAACAAATTACTTTCGTTGAATGAAAATTAATGCAATTTGAAAAAGCCATTCGTCGAGAAACGTATTGCTTTTCGACATTGCCAATCGGCGACAGCTGTAATAGAACAGTCTACCTTTCGTGTAGAATAGCCGCGAGCTCCTTGCAGAAATCACCACCTTGTTTCACGTATTTCCGCACCTCTTCGAAACCTCCAGGTCCACTCTGAAAGAGCAAGCAATTTCATACATCATCGGCAAATAAGATGCGATTCTCGAATAACAAGAAAGAGCAGAAAGTGAATAGTCGTCGTTGTGTAAGGCAATAGCTTTCGAAACTAAGCTGTATGGCAATGGAAATGAAGATAGGAGGCGGCTGAATCGACCTTTAGCGCTCGTAGTGCTACATGGCGAGAGATCATTTCGTGGAGAGTGGCCGCATGCGCACGCTATGATTTTTGCAGCGATCGCCTCGTCACGTATCGCTTATTTATCATTTTCACCATTCATGGCAAACTTTCATCTTTTCTAGGTCTAAGTCCCGCGGGCGCGCTAATGTCCATTGCCAATTTTCATTCGACTGCGACAAACATTTTTTTCATATAGCTGAAGATGCTGCAATTATAGCAGAGAGTTTACCGTGTCGCTTTTATTCGATGAGAATCTAGAATAGGAAATTCAGCGAAAATGTAACACTGCATGACCGATTTTGCGTCTAATTGCGAGTCTGAAGAGGTAATTTAGTACTTGTTGCGGTGTGGGGAGTAAAATAGCTTCTACACCGAAATTCAAAAAACAAAGTTTGTGTGAAAAATCGGTAATTAACTGCAGTTAATTTAATTAGATACTTAAATTAATCTACTACAATACATTAATTGTGCGATCCGACTTTTCTTGCAAAGAAAAGATTTCGGTAATTTAACGAACTAATGAACATCTTGCCTGAACCATCAAATAATTAGATATATTCAGATCGCAATTCAAATATATTTATTGCTCAAAACAATGTCAATGCATATACACCATACTCGGTTACTGGAATACACTTCAAACTTATCACCAAAACTTCTTTTCTCATGTTACGTTTTTATAGTAATTAAAGAATGATGACCCTAGTGAATTCTTTAGAATGAATCTTTTCGAGAAGATTTCGTCAGTTACAAATTACGCGTGTAGTTTTACTGCAAATATAGTTGCGGATAATTTTTGCTGTTATAGCCGATCGTTCGCTCAAAGCTCGTACCGTTAAGCATTTTTCTAACTTGTAGATACCATACACTTCGATTTATGCGCAGATTTTTTTTTCGTTCAGAGATTTAAAGAGGTATTTCAAATGTTTCGTGTTTATTTTTCAATGGATATTACTTTCATTATACCCATTTTTCATGCAATACGATAAATCATACATTTAAGTAGTTTTTTCTGAAATTGAGATCTCGTGGAAATCCGCTTTAAATCACCCGGAACAAGTATATAAAATTATTGGTTGAAAAAAGATAGACACCTTACTTTCCACGCGTATATCTTCATGACAAAAAAATCGCTTGGAAATAAGACTTACGTAGCGTTAAAGCTTCAGATCTTCCGCATTGATTCGTTCGATTAATTAGCCGAGTTAAATTAGCAATCAAAAGGATACAAAACACAGATTTTCCAGCTATTTCAGACACGGGAAATTTTGCATAACTGTCGTTTCGTTTGAAAAGCTCGAAGAACTAGGGAAAAACTTCAACTTGTAATTCACAGTCTTTCTAAAATGACTACTCTGGAATTAAAAAAATTAATTTATTTACCAACGGTAAAACTCTGAAAAAATTTATCTCACCAATGACTTGTTCGATTACTTTCGGATTTGATGCATGATAAACATTGAAAAGCTTTGAAAATTTATAATTTTTCATTTTGTGAACATATTATTTAAATGTTTAAGTGGCAGCGTTTCAACATTGAGCATGAAGAAGTTCAAACAAAACCACATTGTTTTTGTTTTAGTTAATCTTAATGTATGGTGGCTTGAGTATAGCGTGATACCAACAATATATTATTGTTGCCTGTTGCTAAAACAAAATAGTATTTTTGAAAAATAATATTCTGTGAACATAATGCTAAGTTTTGATACGCTGCCACTTAAACATTTAAGTAATATGTTAAAAATGTATGAAATATTTGAAAAGTTCTAAAGCTTTTCAATTTTGCATCAAACCCGAAAATAATGGGGCAAGCCACTGACGAAATAATTTTTTTCGGAAATTGCCGTTTACACATCAACTGATTAATATATCTTCTTAATTCGCCCACAGTTGCTTTAAAAAGATTTTGAACTATAAACTGAATTTTTTCCCGACGTTTCCCATGACTAAAGTAGTTCGAAATCCTATATTTTTTCCCTTTCCCGATTGCCACCAAAACTTTGCTAATTGTTCTAAATGAATCGCTGACGAATCAATCAATGCAAAATATCTTAAGCTTCAATGCTATGCAAGTTCCATTTTAAAACGGTCTTTTTCACGGATATACACTTCAAAAGTAATATGCCAATATTTCTTTAATCGATAACACAGATCTGTAAAATAAAAAGTTGCGATTGTTGTTGGCCAACTGAGGGTCATTTCCGAAGTGATGTTTTGCATAGAATTCAAATCCGGAGTTAGAATTTGTCTATCACGTTAGGTTTTTAGACATCATAACCTAAAAGGAGGTCCCGTGACATAGCGAAAAAATTTTTTTTTTTCAGAAAATAAGGAGCACCATCTAAGAGATCAACCCTTACTCTTTAAAATTCATTTTTAAGATTTGAGATACCTTTTTTTCATCGAGATATCGTTGATTGAAATTAAGTATTTTAGCAGTTTCGAAACATAAAATTAGGGTATATTGGTCTGGGGTTATGCTGTCTTAGGTTACAGGACTCGAGGGTTGAGGAAATTAGGGTATAAGGGTCAAAGGTTATAGACTTGCATATGACATGTGTACGTATCCAGGAAATTAGCTGTTTCGAAACTGTTAAAATACTTGATTTCAATCAACGATATCTCCATGTAAAAAAGGTATCTCAAATCTTAAAAATATATTTTAAAAGGTAAGAGTAGATCTATTAAACGGTGCTCCCAGTTTTCAGAAAAAATAATTTTTCCACGATGTTACGGGACCTCAAATATACAAAAAAACCGTCTTATTGCCCCTTTAGGTTTGGATGTCTAAAAAAACTTGACGCGATAGACAAATTCTAACTCCAGATTCGAATTCTACGCAAAAAGTTACTTCGGAAATCACCTTCAGTTTGCCAACAACAAAACCATGCAGATCTGTGTAATTAATAGTGACACGCTGGATTTTGAATAACTTAAGCAATTCATTTTTCTCCTACGCGCAAATTTAAGGATTTTATTCAAATAATTCAACTTTGTAAGGAATACAATAATTGCAAGTCCAGCATAAAAAATAATTAATTTACGTCGACATAATACATAAATACAAATATGCACGTATATATACAAGACATTCTTGTAAATTCGACAGCTACCGATATTATTGTGTTGTTCGTCCATAGTTGGACTCATGTTTGACGATATTACGCTTACGGTTATGACTCCAACCTGAATTGATATTGGTTTGGCTAAGCACAACCAATGAATTAATCAGTTCACGCGTAGCATTCGTATCGATTAGACGTGTGATATAATCGCTCCTCGCGAGTGTTATTGTTACGTTGTGCGTGTACGGGCCTAGCCTGTCTATTCCTCACAATCAAGTGAAAATTGTGCAGTGAATATAACCATGACACCTACATCTTCAACCCAATCCCCAAAAGAAGTCCCAACGTTCACAATCAACAATTTCTACACCAGCTATGCTTTAATCGCTCAAAAAGACCAAACTCCCAAACGTGACCAAGCCATCCTTATGGACTGTGTAGGAGACCTGACACTCACGGACTACACGTGTGTCATAGGAAAAATTGTCAAACCTATCAATGTCCTGTTCGCTTCAAGAATATCTAAAAACCGCATCTGTATATACTTATCAAACAAAAATCTAGCTGACGACTTCACCGACAAGCATAAGACCATCACAATCGGCGAGCACGCAGTACCTGTCAGACCACTAGTAAGTAAATTCAAGAGAGTAATCTTCTCAAATGTCTCTCCGAGTATACCAAACTACATATTTGAAGACATTCTCGACCAACTATTAGTAAACAGAGGGTCCCCTGTTATACCTCTGAAAGCTTCAATCACACAAGAAGGATATGAACACGTAGGTAGTTGGCGCAAACAAGTATATGTCAAACCGGAAGATATCGAGAAAATTCCCACTCTCTTCAAAATCAATTATGATGAAGTTAGCTACTTTATTTACTCGAGCACAGACACTATCAAATGTTTTGCTTGCAACATAGAAGGCCACCTAGCAAAGGACTGTACTAACGTAGAAAAAGCAAACATCGGACACATGGAGATAGACGAAACAGCTGACTCGCAAAGCCAGAACGATTCCACGATACCACAAGCACCGGATAATACTACTCTCGCGCAGAAAAGATTACATTCTGAAATCAGCTCGAACGAATCACAGATTAGTCCTACTCAAACTACCAACACAAGCATTAGTCCTAATGAAAATAAAATCAAACAAGTGCGCAAACTAAGTAAATTAGACGCCGATACATCAAAAGAAGCAACAGTAGGCACTGTAATGACTAACAAACAAGACGAAAGCGATGAAAATGTCAAAATGTCCCAACAAAATAACGAATTCGAAGATGATCTAGACGTTAAACTTCGCAGCATCAGAGGTTACTTGAACACAGATGGAACACTTCTAAACTATAATCAATTTAAAAGTCTTCTCGAAAACACTTGTAGAGTCAAACAACCCATCGACATTATCAAACAATACAGCCCTAATCTAGAAAAGTTTAAACAATTTATTGAAGAAGAAATTAAACCAAACGTACGTAACTCTAGCATCAAAAATCGCTGCACGAGACTAGTAAAATGCATCGAACTACCAAACACAAATCTTACACCAGACCTAACACCAAACAACTCAGATGTAGAATAAACTTACTAAAAATGGCTAGAATCATGCAATGGAATATAAATAGCTTAGCACAACAATTCGAATACCTGCAGTCCCTAATTTCCCAGGAATAGGCTGATATCGTATGCTTACAAGAAACAAATTTAAAAGGTAACGAAAAAGCTAAAGTTAAAAACTTCTATT